GCTCGGAGGACCTTCACCGTATGTACCAAGGAAGAAACTTGGGCTAGTGTTGCCGCCAAGTTGAGTTGAAGTCAATTCCAACTCAACTCAACTTGCAAAAACGACAACTCAACTTGGCTTGTGGGCCTCGAGTTCGACTTGCGTGAGCTTGCGAGTTGGCACTGCTGTTATCCCACGTTCAGCGACACTACCGATTGGTCCATGCAGAGAATCGGTTCACACGATGAAAACGTGGCCTTGGCTGAACGGCTTGATTGTCAGGGTGCCAAACATTGACCTGCCACAGCTCAATGTCGCCGCTAGGTCCGGTCGCAGGGTGGGAAACTGTCCGCCAACTCGCAAGCCGAACTCACAAATTGGCTTGTCGTAACTTGATAAGCAAGTTATTGCAATTTTGTCGACTCGGCTCGACTCAGCTTGACTTGCGGCAACACTAACTTGGGCTGATCAAATTCGGATTCATAGTCTATCTTCGCACGCCCAACTTCACTGGGTCTCAAACTCTCGGACAGCTTTCTGCTGCATTACTTCTCAGTATTTGCCCTTGCACCTCATTCTTCCGTATTACAGGCTTCTGTAGAGACCTACGATGAGCTCGCATAAAACTAAAGAAGAGGATGAAGTCCCCCAGGCACAACGGCCTCCGTCACCCCCGTTGCATACAACACCTGCTGCAAGGGGCGTACATGTACGCGTCCACCAGATCCATGTACTCGGTACATCACTAAACTCTCGTTTACTCCTTCTCTGCGCCTGTCCTATGCTCACTTCCAACGCCTCACACAACTTTCCGCGCAATGAATGCACTTTGTACGATGAAGAAAGTATCCCAACTTCTCCGCTTTTAGACCCCGAGACGTCCGGATACCCTGTGCTCAAGGGATGAACCATGTCGCATGGAGCTGTGATGGACGAAGACTTGCCGCTGTGGGCATTGATAAAAGCGCGAGAGTCTTCATGCCCGAAACCAGCGTATGTTCGCTGCGTCCTTCACTGAACGATGCGAGCTGAGTCGACGCGCGCACACATAGATGGAACCCCGCCAAGCGTCCCTGTTCTCTAGCGCACACAAAGACGACGTGGACTATGTCAGCTGGAACCCGACACACCCCGACTTGTTCTGCACGAGCAGCTCGAAAGACCGACAGGTCGTGTTCTGGGACGCGAGACGTGTGTTCAGATGTTAGATATCTACTGCGTAAAACTGAGGCGAGGGCCCTGATCACAGAATCGCGACACACGCAAGCGATCTCGCTGCGGTTTTCGCCCTTATGGACCGACTACTCGCCAGATGGACGTACCCTCCTATATGTCTCTGCGGGACATAGTCTATACTTTCTCGAGTATGGCTCGGTCGGGGACGATCCGAAAGAAAAGTGGCATACAAGTGACAAAGACTCGGTCAGTCCTCTTCTCTCGTTCTCCCAGTCGATCTTGGCCAACTCTTGTCCACCGATCCGTTCATAGCCTGTAGCGTCTACTGCGACCTGGAACCACACGGGGGATGCCATTGTCCTCACGCATCACCAGGAAACTACGCTGCGCGTGCTTGAGTATCCGAGCTTGCGCCTCCTGGAAAAACCTGCTGCGCATGTAGCGGGTTGTATGGCCGTTGCCTTGGACCCCAGGGGAGGGTGAGCACCCTGCGCAGTCTGACCCTTTTCGATTTTTGATGATCGGACCAGCCATCTTGCCTCTGGTGGGCGAGACTCTATCGTCAACATATTCGATTTATCGGAATGGATATCAGCAAGGACGATAACAGCCTGCGAGTACGTGCCAGCCTTCTCCCGCTTGGTCGGTTGATTTATGACGGCGGACAGTCGCTCGATTACCGCGCTGAGTTACTCGCACGACGGCGAATACCTCGCGATCGCCAGTGCGGGCAGCTACATCGATATCGTACGTCGCTTACGTCTCCTCCGTGCTTGCACGATTGAACGCTCGTTACCAGTGTGCGACAGAGACGGGCGCGCCGTTGCACCGCGTCCCCGCTCTCGGGGCGTCGCAGACTGTATCATGGCATCCGTCCAAATATGTCATCGCATACTGCGGACACGCTGTAGGACAAGAAAAGGGGGCGTCACCTAGCGCCGTAATTGGTTTGTTTGGGCCGGGCATGTCGAACTAGATGTGCATTTGTGGTGGACCCTATATCGCAGCGCCGTCGCTGCTGTGAAAATTCGTTGTCCCTGACGTAGCAGGGCGAGATCATGCTCAACCGTTGCTGATCGACGCTCCATGAATAATTAGATATTACTGTCGTTCCGGTGCTTCTGGGCCTTCGCTTGGGAGCTTGAGTGGTCTCCGGGCCGTTTCCCTCGTCTGGATTTCGCAGCGGTATCGCTCAGATCATCTTTCGATGTTCCGCGACGGGTTTGCACCAGGATTCTACGCGCTATTCAATGTCAAACTCGCCAGCGGCCAGCGTCGAGCCTGAGCATGGCGCCGCACCGCAAGCTGACCGCGAGTCGCGCTGCGGTGTGAGAAATTTGAGTCTTTGTCATCGCCATCGCCGACGTCCTCGACGCCCTCGTCCTCGACACCCTCTCCAACGACCGATCCCCTCTTCTATCGCCCTCCCATTCCATCTTCCTGCTAGTGTTTGCGTTCAACGCCAACTAGACGACACCCCTGACTTTCGAGAGGTACGTCAGGTCATGTGGCATCGTGACTGACTCACTTGGACACTGACTTCATAATGTCTCTTTTCTTTGTAGCGAACCACACCTCACCTCCTTTCTACCTACCGCGATGGCCGTCCCTCTCTCTGCACCTCAAGTCTCCGCGCCCTCATCATCAGGCAAGACAGTTGCGTCTGCCAAGCCGGCGGCCAAGAAACGGACCCGCATTCCCCGACGCCGCGGGCGCGTGGACGAAGACATTCACTCAGACGATGAGATAGAACGCGAGGCAGGCTCGGATTCCTCCGATGACGATTCTTTCGTGCCATCCGAGTCTGAGTCGGAGACGGAGGACTCCGAGACCGAGCCCGTCTCTGAAGACGTGCCGTCAAACGAGCCTTCACGCATTATCACCGCCAGCACGTCCCAAAGCCCCGATGCCCAGCCGACAAAGCCACCCGCCTTGGTAAAGGCTGCAGAATCCACGAATGGCTCTCACGGGCCTTTCGTCGCAGACGCTCAGAACTGGTCCGACATGGTCGCTGACGAAGATGTCAATGGGGTCGCCGACCTTCCTGTTATCGATTTTACGGACCTCAACGAGGACGTGGTGCAGGCTGCCACACCCGCTGCTGGTTCGCAGAAGCCGAAGCATATCAAGCAGAAGCCCCGGCCTACACCTGCTCCCGGATCTACCGAAGCTCCGGATGTTCCATCGCTCGAGCATGACGGATTCGAGGAAGCTCAGAGGGACGAACATCAACCCATCGCATCTACCTCCCGCTCGCCTACGTCGACTCGAGGTCGCGGTACGTTCCCTCGTCGAGGAGGTACACAATCCGCGCGGCTTGCCTATCAGCAACGTTTGGAGAAGGATCCCTCCTTTGTGCCCACCGTTGGCGAGTTCTGGAGTCACGACGAGAGGCTACTTGACAAGGATCTGCGCTCCTTGAGTGGATGGTGGCGTGGCAAGTGGCAAGGTCGTGGACGAGGTTTTCCTCCTGGTATGCGTGGCAGGGGTAGAGGTGGGTTCTATGGACAGCCGCGAGAACCACAGAGGGAGGACGAGGAGAACGGGACTCAGGAAGAGGTGCCGCCGATCGAGAGGATGTGGACGCACGATGGCTTCGAGGAGATGAAAGCCAGAGAGGAGCGGCGGAGGCAGGCGCTGGAGCAGAGGGAGCGGCGGGAAGTGGTTCAAACTCAACGAGGCGGACCTAACCTTCCATCTCGTGGTGGCAGGGGGTGGTTTGGTGGACGCGGTTCCGGCTTTGTGCCTGCACCCACGCGCGGAGGTTTCGCCAACCGTGGTCGCGGGGCGTCCCCGATCGTCGCTAATGGTCATGCAGACAGAATCTGGTACACGCAAAAGCCCGAGCGCGTCTGGACGAAACAGCACGAGGGCTATCTCTACTATGATATATCGATGAAACCTCGTCCAGGGGTCGGCCAAGGATTCAAGATCAGGTTGCCAGGAGGTGATGGGTACGTCGTACGATCCCCTCCGACTCCGAGGTTCTGGGGTGGAGAACGGCAGGAGCGCCAGGTCACGTCGACATCCAAAGCTGCGGACAAGGCAGGATCGGAGTATTCCGATGTCATCGTTGTTGTACGGCTTCCACAGCTTGAGGCCAGCAAGGAGGAGGCGTTGAAGGTTTCGGAAATCACGCAACCAGAGCCTCCAACCACGGTCCTTCCGACTCCTAAGTCAGATCACTCTCCGCTGTCGCCACCTACTGCTCCGAAGCAGACTGTTGTTGAGGAGACTTCGGTCAGCGCAGCTTCTGCTGAGCTGCCCGGCCCTGTCGTTGACGGTGCCACAAGTACTGCCCCTGCCGATATCCCGCAGCAGGCATCATCTCCTCAAGAAGCTCAACCAAACCCGACTGCTCCTTCCGAAGCGCCACAGCCTGTGCAGCCGCCTAGACTTCAGCCACTCACTATCCCCGTCTTCGCACCTGCCTCTGCCCCGCCCGCTCACATTGCCGAGCCGACGCCATCGTATGGCTCCCCTTACGGCTATCCGCAGCTTCCGCCGGGTGTCGCAGTGGCGCAGAACGGTGTACCCTATGAGGTCTCCACGGGTCGTCCTGTCATCCTGCAACCTACTCCGCCGCCTCACCCGCAAGGACCGTCAGCTCCGCCGATGTTCTCTCCTCGTCCATACGCGGCGCCGTTCGTTCCCGGGCACATGCATCACCACTCGTCCGTGTCCACCCCTGACTTCGCGATGAGGGCGAACCACTCGAGACCGGGTTCGATAAGCGGGTTCCTAGATCCGAACACCGGCACGCCCATCTTCACGCCGGCAAGGCAAAGCAGTAGGGTAGAGATACGAGCACCCTCTGCGGGGGGTCACGATGGGTTCGCCTCCAGTTCGGCGCCACGCCCATCGCCGCTCAGGACCGCCGTCGCCGCCGAGGGGCAGCAAGGCTTGTCGGCACCCGATTCTACGTCCGCGGATTCGCGGGAGCAGCACCCGCAGCAGCAGCACATGATGGACCCGACGATGATGCCATACAATCCCTATCAACCACAACCAGGCCCCCAGTACTATTACCCTGACCAGTACGGGTACTACATGGACCCGGCCATGCAACCCTACCCGCAGTACGACATTTATCACCAGCCGCCTCCAGGTTCGGAGCACCACGTGCCGATGCCACCGCAGGGCACCGTTTATTACTGATTCCTATTTGTTTTCGTGGTCTCGCTTCCGTTGATCAGCAATGCATCTTGGCATACGTACTTTAGCGCAACGCATCTTTCAAACCCTCAATTACGCATACCCACCCTCATGTTGACGTGTCATGACCTAGTTCGCAGTTTGATTTTGTTCTGTGAAGCTTTTTGTCCTTCCGCTTATATGCTCTTCAATCGTTCTGATACATTCCGCAGTACTGTATTCCTGTCCGTTGTTACAATGCCATCTCAAATAATTGTGCAGACTCTACAACCGAGAAATCGCTCTTCACATGCCAAGGCCCATCAGCGCTGTGGTGAGGCGCTCCGCAACAGCCTCGGGCTCTTGCCTTGCCATTTCGATCATGCTCAGCAGCTTCTTGATGCCGATGTTTAGACCCGTATCCTCGTTCGCTCCAAGGCCAGCTTGCTGGATCATGCCCATAGCTCGCTTCCTGTCTTCGCTGTTGGGGAAGAGTTGCAGCTCCTTGAGAATGATTTCCAGGTTACGAAGCGTCTTAACCGGAGGAATGCGCAGCTCCGAGTCAAAGGTTTCGGAGAGGCCGAGCTCGGTGAGAACGGGTCGAAGGGAGGTAGTGGCGAGGATGAGAAGGCGGCGGCCTTTGGGTGGGCGACGGGCGAAGAGCACCATAAGGGCTTGGAGAACCGCATTGGAGAACCGCGGACCAATTGGTGTCCATTCTACGTATGAAAAACGTCAGAAATCCTTGTAGGAAAAACTCAGACATCTTGGGCTCACCAAGCAACCGCTCTATGCTGTCGACGACGATGACACTGAGAGGACTCTTGTAACTGTCTGCGAAAATCTTGCTGATGGCGGCCACTTTCTGGCTTTCCGAGAAGCCGACCATGTTGTCCGGAGAGCATAGCTTGATGAACGGGAACTGTGACGCCTGCGCAATCGTCGCGGCCAGCGCCGACTTGCCCGAGCCAGGAGGCCCGTGCAACAAGACACTGACAAGAGGCGTACGCTCAGAGGTTCGCACTTGGTCTACAAACAATTCACCGGTGCGTAGAATGTCCTAAGATTGGACGAAGTGAGTCAGGAGCACAACTTCGCCTTGGGTATCGGCGACTCACGTCTATGACGCTGTCGTAATGTATTATACCGTTCTGGACAACCTGTTGGAGCTCCTCTTCTGAAACACCGAAGGCCGGGTGGACCTCATCCAAGGCAGCGATGAAGTCGGCGCGTTTCACTCGCAGGTTTTCGACATCGTTCGATATGCCAGCCATGGTTCCAACCTAAGGACGGGTCAACGCAGGCTTGCGATGCCGTCCAGAACGCGCTTACCTTCACATGACGATTAAATGCGAAACTCGTCGCGCTCTTGACAAGACCGCTGATTTCCGCACCAGAGAAGTTCTTTGTATTGGCGGCCAGCTCAGCCAGATTGACATCGGAGTCCATGACACCGTTCTGGCGCATTTTGGCGGTGTGGATATTCAGAATCTGTAGGCGACCGTGCTCATCCGGGAGAGAAATTTCCATATGCACCTCCAAACGGCCTGGACGAGTGAGCGCCTCGTCGATCATGTCGAGACGGTTGGTCATGCCGATGATCAGGATGTTGTTCAGCTGGTCAACACCGTCCATCTTGGAGAGCAGCTGGTTGACGATGCTATCGCCGACACCAGTTCCATTGTTGGTAGAGCCTCGTTGCTTGCAAATAGCGTCGAGTTCATCGAAGATGATGATGTGCAGTTCGCTCTCGTCACCCTTCGCTTTATACTGGTCGAGCATCAGCCAGCATCTCACGATCAGGAAAAGGGACACTAACCTCCTTTTCGGCATCGGCGAAAAGTTTGCGGATGTTTTCTTCGGATGCACCAACGTATTTATTGAGAATCTCGGGACCGTTGACAACCTTAGGCTCCTTCGCGTTCAGCATCTTACCAATTTGCCGAGCGATCAGAGTCTTTCCAGTTCCAGGAGGTCCGTACAACAAGATACCTACAAACAATATTCAGTACCAGGAGAAGCGGTTCTAGTAATGTTTGAGGCGAATAGCACCACTGACCTACCTTTCACATGTTGTATACCAAGCTTCTCCACAAGACCCGGAGGGAATACGCGTGATGCGAATGCGCGACGGAAGATCTGCCCAAATTCTGCATCGAGACCACCGATGCCCATGTCTTCGAACTTGAAGTTGGGGGCAATTATGGCATTCGTTCGCGCCCTAATACAGCATAAGAGGACATCATGCAGATAATCGCCGCATTCACGCACTTCGTGGCACTCGCCTTCAACTTGATGGAACTATCAGGTGCCTTCATGATTGTGACCTCCGTCTTCTCCATAAGCACGCCCAGGTCGGGCGGACTTCCCCCTCCGCCTCTACGTTGGTTGGCGGACAGGTCTAAGGGTCTCAGCCCCTTGACGGTCGCCTTCAGGTTTAGACCATGGAACTCGAAGACGATGACTTCTTGTAAACCGAAAATCATATTGTTGAACGCCCTGACGAAAATCTTCCCGATTTCGTCGGCGGAGAATTGTTCTGCGATGTCTTGGTTCCGCCGTAGGAAGCCAACCTCGATGTCGATAGATTCAAGATAAGGCGGATTGCTCAGCGGTTGTACGGAAGCGGAGTCTCCCGCGAGCGAGAGGCCGATCCATTGGCGTTGCGTTGCTGAGCATGCTATCGTTCCTGGCAGGACCTTACCGGTGTTGTCGTGTCTGGTGCGCATAGTGAGTAGCAAGACAACCGGACCTGCAGACATGGACCTACATGGTGGTCAAGGGAAACTGTTGCTTCACCAGAACGTGCTGGTTCGCGGGAAAGTCGGAAGAGTTAACAACCAGGCGATTGCTCAGTGCCAGCTGATCGTTCGGAGAGGCTACGATGCCATAGCTGCACAATAAGCACCTCTTCCAGTGCGCGTCGGATAGCGTACTCACCTTGCGCCGTTCAGCGGGTATGCAGAGGGCGCCGGCATCCCTCCACCGCGATCGTACGAGCGCTTCTCATACGCAGATTCGTCGTATCGCGCAGGTGGCCGCGCGCCCCCCCTTGGTCCAGAAGGTAGAGAATACTGCGAGGAATCGGGCACTCGAGAGTACGGAGATCCAGATGGCGGTGGCGGCGGATTGCTGCCACCTCCTCTGCCAAAGAAGCTACTCATGATTGAGCTCGAGGGATATGCTGGCACAAGGAGACCAAGGCTGCAGGTATGTGCTGAGGAGGTCGAAGCTGTCGTGACCGAGAGTAAGCGGAGGCGCGCAACTGCGCCGCATCACGGCAACTGGTGCCCTTCGAACCGCCACCACTGCGGTGGTCATCCGCTGGAAACTACAGTCGCAACACCCCGCCAGAGTCGAAGGCAACATGTCTGGCATGTTGGACGAGATATCCGACGAGAGTCCTGTGCTGGACAAACCCTCGTGTCGTCTCTTGGGGCCTGTCGCACTGGTGAGTGTCGTGCACCCCGTGGACCTTCGAGGTGCTCCGCTGACCTGGTCTCCGCTAGATTGTTCAAGGCGCCATGGGCCTGATAGTGATATCAACCCTCGTATGTGCCCTATGTATCGCGCAGTGTTCACCAATTGAGTAAGCGACAACCAGGTGTACAAGCGATATCGAGAGCATCCCCGAAGACCATGGCGCATATGGTACACCCCTACTTGCTTGTACCTTCGCAAGTGCTCATGCACCTTTACAGGCTGTTTGACGTCTCGAAGCAGATACTAGGTCAAATGTTCGTGCACGGTGTTAACGTCCTTATATCGGATGGTGGGTTGCCAGTGTTCGAGGGAACGCATCATCTCATCCTCGCTGCAGTCATATCGCGAATATCCTCGGGGAATGCATGCATCTTCTACTTCCTGAATATTCTAATAGACACCACTTTAGGTCAGACCATGCGGCTCACGCGCGATGACGGGTATGCACTAATGCCCAATTACAGGAGTGGCCATAATATACTTTATGCTCCATGCTCTGCAGAGCCTGTTAACAGATAAGATGCATTTCAAGGGATTCGAGTCGGGTGTCTATGGAAACCCACCTTCCCTCAAATTTTGGGGTCGTCAAGCCGCTGTTTACGTGCTGTCGATCACAACAATGAAACTTGTTGTGATTGCACTTTTCGCTCTATGGCCGGGTATCTTCGAGGTGGGTATGCTCCTCGCCCGATGACGCTTGCGCGTTGCTCAAGCACCTTGTTTTGTCAGATTGGCGACTGGCTTTTGAGCTGGACAGGCGACGGGTCCAATTTCCAGATCATCTTGTAGGTTTGATATCAATATGACGTTTATTCGGAGATCTGATGAAGGTGTACAGCGTGATGGGCCTTTTCCCCATCTTCATGAATTGTCTGCAATTTTGGCTCATTGACTCCATCGTGAAGGCCTCAACGCCCCCCCTCACGCTTGCGTCTGACTCACTGGACGACTCCGACGAGCGCGACCGCGAACCGCTATTCCGAGCCTCCTCTGATGACGAAGAAGACGCGCCCGGAAGGCCACATGATATTGAGAATCAGCTCCCACATTCTAGTTCCACATCCCCGCGCGAGCCAAGCGTCGGGAAGGACGTTCCGGATGAACAGAAATCCGCTGATACAATGACGGGCTCCAGCGCGCCTTCCGGAACCCAGGCTGCGATGCATTCGTACCCGCCCAGTCTCTCCCACTCGGACAGCCCAAACAGGTCTCCGGCGTCTTCCCGGCTTTCGAGCAAGTCCCCGCAACGGCGCCGCCGTTCCCCCCCGCCACCGTTGCTGCCTCGCTCTCCCCTACAGCCAGCCATCAACTCTCCTTCGTTATCACAGCACTACCTTGACCAGAAACCCGCGGAGAAACTCGGCAGCCATTTGAAGACGGAAGTTCGTGTGGCTGGCGAAGACCCCAACGAGTCGTGGGACTTAGACTGGGATAACGACGGAGATGACTGGGCTAATAGAGTGGGTGAAGAAGATTGGACCGGGAGACGAATGGAAGAGAGGAAAGATTATGTGGTGAACAACCATCATGAACAGTCTCCAACCGTAGACCTTCGATGACTTGATAACTTTCGATATTTGTAATTTCCGACCATCGTACCTCCACTGCTCGTGCATGACTATCGATTAGGTCTCGGGCCTTTGAGCAAGTTCGAGTGGAAAACGACGTGGCGATGCACGGCGCCGATTATTCCTTTCGGAGAAACCGACAGTTGACCAAGACTCCGTCTCAGTCTCTCGTGGCAAATCATGTTGGAAACGTTTGTCACCCTGCTCACCTAGTATCGGCCGGAGGGACCTATAGGCCATGTATGTGCTAGAGCGCAGGAGCTTTGTTGTGACCCGGATCCTCTTCCGAGCGTGTTCCTGCCATTGCAGACGTCCCAAGCACCGCGCCCAGAGCATTTCCAGAAGTTGACGACTTCAGGGATGATCAAACTCTCCGATGTTGGACGGCAATCGCAGTTACGGTTTGTTCTCTGTCGTTCTAGTCATTCTACGTCGGTGAATCGGTCCGCAGGCTTCTGTTGCATGAGCATGAATCAGCGTCCCTCAGCCTGAGTGTGGCGATAACGACTGGAACAACGTCTCGAAGCGAGCGGACCAGGTTCTGTTCATCTCATGGCCACTCGTGAGTCGCACGCAGCCAATGAGCCCCTGCAACTAGAGGCCGTCGGACCATCGGCGTGTGCACGTCTATATCAGGCCATGGCAGTTTTCCTATGCTGTGTCAACAGAAGTCCTTATCTCACTACTGGAGATGCCAAACGGAGGAACGCCTTTCCAGGGACCAGCGCACGATCGCGGAGGAATCCCGAGGTGTATTTTTGAACGCCATCCATACTCCACGGGGCCTTGATGTAATACTCTCAAGCAAAGCGCGCGAGAGCTATATAGTTAGCTGTGAGTGTGCGATCCCCGTTTCTTCTCCTTTCTCGCGATGCTTGCAAGAGTTGAAAGTACCACAGACAAGACCGTTGAAAAGGCATCTGAAGATGTTGAAGCCGTCTCTTTCGTGTCTACGGTACACAAACCGCTTCAGAGAAAACTCAAGAACCGCCATATTACGATGATGAGGTGAGTTTTAGCTGTCTATGCGAGATAATGATCAAACAACGTCGATTTCCGTCTAGTATTGCTGGGGTGATAGGCAAGCATAAAATCATGACCCATATAGTATACTGACCATACATGATCAGGAACTGGGTTGTTCCTCGGAACCGCAACCTCGCTGAGAAATGGTGGACCGCTCGGGCTGCTCTTGGGCTATGGATTGATGGGGACTCTCTGTTACGGTGAGATCGAGGGGTTTAGCACATTGAAACTGGCTCATTTGTACTGACTTGCAAGATAGCTGTCATGATATCAGTCGGAGAGATGGTAGCATTCCTTCCAGTTGTCGGAGGGCACATCAAGCTAGCGGAGCGATTTGTAGATCAAGCATTCTCGTTCACCATGGTACCCCAACATCAACAGATGCATTGCTGCGGCTCAACTCACTTCGACAGGGCTGGAACTACGTTTTCAACTGGCTCATCGTCCTTCCGGCAGAATTGAGCGCCTCCGCCGTCTTAATCGGCTTCTGGGACTCAGAGACGAACCCTGCTGCGTGGATCAGTCTCTGTTTGGTGGTAAGTCAGATGGCCGTTTGGAAATGGTTGTATCGACTGTTCATCACCAGGTCGTTGTATCAATTAACATGCTTGGAGCTGGCAAGTCGACTTCGACTGCTCCCACTTTGTATTGACATACCGCCTTCAGGAGCATATGGGGAGACAGAATTCTGGTTTGGTAAGCCCCAGTAGCCGTCTCTTCATACAACGCCCCGACGTTGACAATATTTCCCAGCGTAAGAATTCTATGAAATACATGCATATCCCCCTCAGACGGCTGACGAGTTGCTTTCAGATCGATCAAGGTCGTCACTGTGACGGCATTAATCATAGGAGGGATTGTGCTCGACCTCGGCGGCGGGCCACACCACAATCGCATCGGATTTCGATATTGGAAAGACCCTGGGCCTTTTACACAATTTCACGAGATCCCGGGGGCAAAGGGTCGCTTCTTGAGTTGGTGGGCGGTTACTATACAAGCTGCGTTTTCGTTTGTTGGGACGGAAATCGTGGCCGTAAGACGACCTGTTTTGCGCACTGGATTGCACTGGAATAATTCATGTATCAGATAGCAGCGGGCGAAGCAAAGGATCCCCGTCGCAATTTGACGAAGTCGATTCGTAGGGTGTGCTTCCGGATCATAGTCTTCTACATGGGGGGAGGTCCTGGTTTTCCGTGGTTTTATTGATTATAACATGTCTGACTATACTTTACTCCTTCTAGTCTTCATCATAGGACTTCTGGTGCCTTCGAACGATCCCCACCTTGCCCTTGCCGATGGTACTGCTGCAGCCAGTCCCTTCGTAATAGCCATCAAGGCTGCCGGTCTATCAGGTTTACCTTCCGTGATCAATGCCGCCGTCTTGACGTCCGCGTGGTCTGCCGCTTCCAGCGACCTGTATATCAGCTCGCGCGCTGTCTGTGAGTGTCCTAGCAATCGCTCGTTGCTCGGCTGATTCATGAGATAGACACCCTCGCGCTTGTCGGAAGTGCCCCAAGGATCTTCTTGAAAACCAATAAATATGGGACGCCTTGGATCGCTGTCTCTTTCTGCTCGCTCTTCACTTTGCTTGCCTACATGAGCGTTAGCAACGGGGCAGGAAATGTCTTCCAATGGTTTGTGAACATGACAGGTATGTGGTCTACGGCTTGTTTACATGTTTCCGAAATGGTCATGCTTATACATGTGAACAGCGGTAGCGGGCCTTATGGCGTATGCCGGATAGTGTTCATTTGCATGCATTATCTTACCTTTTGACTGCTCAGGTGGTTCGGCATTTCATTGACGTACATCAGATTCTACCGCGGGTATAAAGCACAGGGGCGCAACCGACGTGAACTACCGTACGCATCAAGGTTGCAGCCATATGCTGCTTGGTACTCTTTAGTCGTGTCTTTGCTGGTATCCATTGTACGTTCGTCCGGATCGAGATCTCAGCTCCGACATTGACGTCAAACTGCTCGCAGTTCAGCGGTTGGACCGTTTTTCTGAGCAACTCTTGGGTGGGTCCCCTCCATCACTGCGAGAAATCCGATCGCTCACCTTGTTTTGAAGGACACGGCTACGTGTGTCACCTATAAGCCACAGCCGCTATTTGCTGACTCTATTGACGTTGTCTCTGATTGGCCAGATTTGTCACGAATTATATCCCGCTGTGAGAACCATTCTGTCGCTTGTTGCTTGTTTCAGCATCTTACAGTTACATCAGGGCGGGGTTCCCATTACTATATCTTGGCTCTAGGATGTACAAGAAGAGTTCCTTCGTTGGTTTCATGGAAATGGACTTCGAGACATCTGTGGAGGATTTTGACCGAGATGCTCCCGAAGAAGATTCTACGCGGAACGGGGTAGAGAAGCTATGGAGCTGGATAGCATAGATTACGATTGGCTACGTTACGTTAGCACCATGATATTGATAAGTACGTGCCTGCCTGCCTAGCCCCCCATCAAGATGCAAATGAATTTCATCACTGAAGTATTCTATAAAAATGTGGTTACATTGAAGGTCGACCTTATGCTGAGCATCGTGCTGCATAATCCTGATCTTATAAGCTGGTACTTATAGATTTGAACCTCAGAGTCATGGTCTCCTTCCTTCTCCTTCCTCCGGTAATTCGGGCACGTGACATAGTTACGTCACATTGAACGCCCACTGGTGCTACCGAACGACCCTTCGTTCTCTTCCTCGCCAGCATCCGCATTCAACATGCCCAAGATACGGACTTCTCGTACGAAGAAACCTCCTGAAGGCTTTGAGGACATTGAACAGGTTAGCTTTGTCTGTTCTGGGCTATTCTCGTCACACACTAACGATTGGTACTACAGATCCTTGACGACTACGCCAAGAAGATGCGGGATGCAGAGAACGAGAGCCACGAGGGAAAACGAAAGGCGGAGTCCCTGTGGCCTATAATGCGCATTACGCACGCTCGATCACGATACATCTATGAGCTGTATTATAAGCGGGAAGCTATCAGCAAGGAGCTGTACGACTGGCTGCTGAAGCAGGAATATGCTGATGCAGGGTACGCGATCATAGTTTGAGCCGTGTACGGTATTTTGACCTTCGTCAACGCAGACTGATTGCGAAGTGGAAGAAAACGGGCTACGAGAAATTATGCTGTGTGCGGTGTATACAGTCTCGAGTACGTCTTGTTGAAATCCTGCTCCGTCCACAAGGCGTTAAACGTTTGATTTCCCCTGCAGGATATGAACTACCAGGGATCAACATGCATATGTCGTGTTCCCAAAGCTCAATTACGGTCGGGAACTGTCGTTGAATGTGTGCACTGCGGTGAGTCAACTACGCTACCCAACCTCGACTTCTTTCTCAACGACTAACAAATATTTAGGATGTCGTGGATGCAGTTCCGACTCATGACGAAACGGGATTCGACCTATTGCCCTTCTTGTCATCGAGCCCAGGCGTTCAGCGATATCATCTTTTCGATTACTTTGTCTTTGCCTCTGTATTGCATATATCTCCTTGACAGTGCATGATCCAACCTTCAGGGAGTCCAGGGCGCCGAGTCACCTGTGAGTCACTCTGACGGCGACCACATGGTGACAGCGGCCGAATGTGCGCCCTACCTTCCCTTTTATGGTAATTGCGACCGCCATCAGGCGCGCCTTTCCCGCGCTTCTCGGCACCGCAACTTTCCTCCCGAGTATATGAAGGTCGTTTCCTTATCTCGAACGGCAGCGATCGCGAGCTGCCTTCCCTTTACTCCGTGAACATGCGTTCTTCTCGCTCAGTGAGAAATCGATTGGAGTCGGAGGTTGGGATGACTTTCCGGCCAACCGAGAGTCGTCGAAGCATCTACCGATTCGGCCCCAAACGACGTAGACCTGCCGTCGAGAGCGCACTCGCCAGCAGTTCCGATGCCCCAGAACTATACAAACCGCAGCGTCTGAGGGGTATGCTGGCAAACTTACCGGAAATGCCCCTGGATATTCTCTATGAGGTGAGCCTGATGCTTCATAGACGTTGCGCGTTTCAGTCCGTTGATAATTTGTAGATTTTCAGTTACTTGGCACCTGCAGATATCCTCAATCTTTCCTGGACCTCGAAGGGGCTACATGATGCGCTCGTGCGTCGCTCGGCCCAATACGTTTGGAAACGAGCTAGGGCGAATGTACCGGGGCTTCCTGATTGTCCGGAAGATCTCACGGAACCGGCGTATGCTCGTTTATGTTTCGATGACCATTGTGAGGTACGTGCCGCATCTTCCGCTCCATGATACGGTATTTTAATGCCGCGTGCCCCAGATCTGTCGTCAACGGGTTACAAAACCACAGTGGGTACCTCGTACGCGGTGCTGCAATCAGTGCGCTGGAAAGTCCAAGTAGTGCGTCGCATCAAAACACATTCTCGCAAACCTTACATATCATCTTCCAACAGTTTTGTCATGGCGCGGGACTTCGGTCAGCTGATGACACAAGATATGATTGAGACCGCCGCAAATATATTACCTTCCTTTCCTGATCCTCGACCTGCTCGCAGTACGTGGCTTCGCTATGAGATCACGATCCAGGGTGCTGATATATGCGCGCACAGAATATAACCTGCCGGCGCTGTATATGAAGATCGACGTGCAGAAATATGCTAAAGAGGCCATTCCGCTGCGTTATGATAAGGAGAAACTCGAAGCTCTGCGTAAAAAAAGAGCAGGCGCCTTGCGCAAGGCCAAGGAGGTGCGCTCATCCCTTTTCTGATATGTCGCTCTGCCAACGAGCTGTCAAGCATGCACAAATGTGCGAACGGTGGCATCAGTCGTGGGTGAAAGAACTGAGCGACAAATCCGACGATGTCCGGCGGAAGCGTCGGGACGCGTACGTATCGCGTTCAGTACCTGGCCTTTTGCAGTGATTACAGCGCTGTGTAGAATCCGCAAGCGTCTTGCTGACCTCGGATGGAAACAAGAATTAGATGCATTGTTCCGATGGAACCCGGATCTCTTCACCTCGCATCCTCTGATCAAGCAGCGGAAATTGCTCACCGAAAGAAGTAAGCATGTGCATTGACTCTATCATTCACTGATTGTGCTAATGCACAGGTAGTGTGGACTAACATGAAAGACCAGATGGAGAAGTTCATGGAAGAAGTCAAGGCTGACCGCGAAGACCGGGAGCGTTTGCAAATTGTCATTCAGCGCCGACGCCTAGTGCACCAAATTCGCGATCAATGGGCTAGCACTCGAGCTCCGACGGAGATACTTCCCTCCGCGGCGGATGTTTGCGAGATGCCGTCTTTCAAGGCGGTTATCGGGCGTCCTAGCGATGTGCAGGTGGACGCCTCTAGCTTCGAGGATGCTGTGGAAGGGCTAGACACATCGCATGTCGACTGGCTCGCGATGATACGCCAGAAGTTGGCGAAACTAGTGCCTCACACAGCAAGCCCAGGAAAGGCCAGGAAGGGCAAAAAGAAACTAGCCACCCCTCCTCCGGACGTTTCTTGCTTAGATCTTGCCACGACATGGTTTAGATGCAAGTCATGCTGGACCGCTAAGCTGGGAGCCTCTCGTGCACTAGCTCACCATTGCCTGACAGAACACAGACGGCTGGCAAAGCGTCCTGACGAGGATCCCGGTCTCCGCGCGCTCCGAGATGACATCGGATCCGTCTGCTGGAACGATCTGGACCTTCTGGATTACCATCAGTCGATGGCGACTATATCTGCAGCTCTGGTGGAGCTATGCGGGATGGACCCGGCCACGACGACTCTGGGTGATGTGGTTGGCGTACGCTTCAAGTGTAAGAAGTGTGAACACGCCGGCAGAGGAGCATGTTATGAGCAGTCCAAGGGTGCTTGGATTGTTGACTTTCAGGGCGCCATTAATCACACGCGTGACATGCACGACCCCAACGATTCGATCCTCACTCTCTGGGCTGTCTTGACCGAAATGGAGGTGAGCAAGGTGCGGAAACTCGAGGAGTCGGTGCTCCTTGGGATATATCGGGGAATCAGTACTCGACCCGGCGACGGACCGGCTTGGACACCTAGTTCTGGCCTAGAAATCGCAGTTTGGTGCATGCATTGTAAACAACGGACAAGCTTCAAGGCACTGCGGTGGCACCTGAAGAAGTAAGCACGTAAGCGCACCTTCGCGACCCTCGCTCACATCTCATGTTCCAGCCACAAAATCAATACTGAGGGAGACCCTGAAGAAGGCAGGGACTATTGTTACGCTATAGACTCCGAAAGGCCTCCTCTCTCGTTGTGGGTGCCCTTCGATGTCCTTATTGAATGATTGAACCCAGCGTACCTGTATTGACATATGCATGCGGTTTGCTTCATCATGCAACGCGGACCATTGAATGTGTTTATGTATCTTTGCGAATGTTCGTCGAATCAGACTGACCTCGTTTCCCCATTCGGTGCTACACCCAGTTTGACCGACGCCAAGTACACGTATCACACGCATTGCATCGTTGCCATACTTAGTGAAAATCGTCATCAGGACGGCTGACGGGGAAGTGTTCTAATCGAAGCAGGCCTCCCAATCTCCCTCTCCATCGCTCCTTGCGTATGCTTGACTCGCAACGAAAGCGTCCAGTCTGCACATCCCGCTCCCGTCCCCGCAAAATTCGAGCGGCTGCTGCGCATCGTTGACCAAGATCCTGACATACTCCTTCCCGACGGTCCCGCATTGCAGCTTCTCGGTGACCATCCGAGCGGAGAACGGCACGAGCATCGACGCAACCCATGTGCGACGCAGGTCAGGCTTCGTCGCGTTCAGATTCCCCACGCCGACGGTGGACTGGTTGAACAGCCCGATCGCCGCGTATATGGCGGTCATCTGTAGTGGGCCGGTCAGCGTCGCTGGCAATGCGGACACCAATCAGATAACGAACCTGGTTATCGTGCGAGAAGTCGGCGTATATGGTTCGATTGAGAGGGAAGGTCATGGGCGAGCTGTCCAAGGTCGAGTTGGTTTGAGTGTGATCGCGGACGGGCTTCCCGGTCAGGCGGGCTATGAGCTCGTTGACGTAGCCCACACCTTGAACTCTGCCGAGAGCTTGCCCGTAACTGATACCAGGCCATTGTGAGCAATGGAGCTGAGCGGACACCGAATGAAGGCTCACCCTGTCCCGTAGTACTTATTTAAATCGCCCGAGTACTCGAAGCCGGCGAAGTCAGAAGTCGAGAAGAGGGCGCAGAACTGGCTGGTTTTAGAGTGTGCAACGCTATCGAAGGCACATTGAGAGATCAGGTTGAACGTGTCGATGTCGGTCAGATTGGCGCCTGGCGCGGCGGTATTGAGGCGCGAGGTGATGGGCGGCGCAAAAACGGCCAGCCAAGCGTTCGTTTGTGGGTTACTGCTGCCCGCATTGGTACACATGTTATCGTCCAGGGTATCATTGGCCTATTCGAAGTATATGGTTGAAGTGGCATGGACACTCTGAATATCAACGATGGACTCACAGCTTCGTCGAGGACGACGGAGATGCTTGGCGGAAATTTGCCGTGGCTGGCGGAAGCGAAGCCTGGCAATATGATCGTAAGGGCGGGAACAGATGCGCGCTTCCGAAAGTACCTGCTGTCCAGTTCGATGCGGACGAGATTACGCGGTCCGAGCTTGAGGACCGTACAAAGGGCAAGTTGCGCGAGGATACTAATGCCGAATAGCGTTTGAATTGCTGCTGCCCGGATTCGAAGGACCTACGTCAACTGTCATTACACTGCACGGACGTACGGTGGAGATGCCACCTACTGGAGTGCGCCAAAGGGTACCAGATCATTGGTGCCGAGATCATAAACGTAGTCTCTCAAGAAATTGAGCCGAGGATCCTTGAAATCACTGACGGACTGCAACTTGGAGATAGCTGACTGGATTTGCTGGCCCGGCCCAGAGGTAGGGAACCTTGCACCATGACGCTGGATCTGATTTGACTAAGAAACATGTGCGTGAACTATCCGCCCAACGCGCACCAGGTTGACCTGTGTTCAGGTTATGAGCGACTGCAACAGCATACTGGAATCACCGATGTAGAGTACATCAGTAGAGGGCCTCACCTGCGTGACCCGGCATCCTTTCGGGACTTCGTAATCGCCCGATGCGAAGTAGGGCGAGTATCTGGCAGTCGGATCGAATGGCCTGTTTATCGGTTGCTCTGTATGGCGACAAAGGTATACGCACTGTGCCCACAGTTGCTGGACCGCTTCGGATACCTGGATCCCTTCTATCTGCTCTGTCCGCTGAGAGCATTCGCCTAGCAGGGCGTACAAGGTGAAAGCAAGCAGGACGATAGGAAAGGCTACCGTCATCTTCGAATATCGCTCTTCGCGGCGGGGAGGCTCAGGTTGCTGAGCGGATCGGGGGAGTAGCAATTCGGTGACCTCGATTTCATCGTCGACCATTTATTATAAGGATAATCGGAACAGCCAAAGCCAAGGGAGACATAGTCGCGGGGGAGGGAGCTGTTATGGAAGCTGGAAGCACGTTCGTTGCATCGCAGGCGCCGCCACGCCTCGTGCGCCCGACGTCCTCGGTTCCTCGCGGTGGCCACGCGGAGTACGAGTGTCAAAACCTTTGAGCCCGACCAAACGTGCACTACTTAGCACGATCCCCACTTGATGTTCGTCCTCGTATGACCAGTGCCGCCATAGCGCGGTGCACTCCGCCGCGGTTCTGAGTCGACATCCCGTACGCTTCGGCTTCCGATCAGCATTGCATCCTAATTCATCGCGATATCCGTTGCAGCGTTCTTCACCCAGGCGGCGATCACGATGGCTTTTTTCTGCAATTGAACATGACTGCTACATCTTGCCGTATCGCTCGATGTGGCGTTATCACTAGCTATCCCCATGCGTTGAACATTAAACTCTGTGGACAAGTCAATGGCCGGATCTCTCATGTCACCGACTGTTCTCGTGGGCAACCATCGCAAATGCCGTCTTGCACCTCAGCCATAGAAGTCCATGTCGAAACTTCATTCCCATGTTGGCTCTAATGTAGTATAGGCCGGGGTCTTGTCTATCCATCACAAGCTCCGGTCAACCCGCCGAGCACAGGTGATTGGATCGTTCCGTGCTCTATTCCGAGCCACCAGTGTTCACGGTATCGCAGACTAGCTCGATTCGCCGATGGCATAAGAAGGCTAAAAACGAGGATATAAACGCATGAACGAGAACAGACCACAGCCTCCTGAGGATACAGTTGCGATATCTTCCAATCGAAACTGACTTGTGCCAATGTCCCAAGACAGTGTTGACGAGTATGACCTGATCTTTGCTGGAGGTGAGCGACTGCCGTGAACCTCCGGATAAATCGCGAAATAACCCATCATGCCTTTGTAATAGGCGGTACCGCAGCTGGCGTGATTGCTGGGCGTCTGGCTGCCGCAGATCCAAGACTCAGGATCTTGATTATGGAGACTGGCCCGTCTACCAAAGACCAGCCTTTCCATGTCCAGCCGGCACGGTACCTTGCTCACCTTGCCCCTACGACGAGCACGGTGAGGTTCTACGTTGGTCGCGAGAGTGAACACCTGGGTGGCCGGCGGCCTATAGTCCCGGTGGGAGCATGCCTTGGAGGAGGCTCCAGCGTGAACTTTACCATGTACACGCGTGCGAGCCCGTCCGACTACGACGACTGGAAAACCGTTTACAAGAACGATGGGTGGGGATACGAGGATCTTCTTCCCTTATTCAAGAAGGTTAGATTAGTCGTAGAATCATCACATATCGCCTCTGACCGTTAGCGCTCCAGACCGAGACGTATCAAATTGCAGAAGGCAAGCATGCACATGGATACGAAGGTGAGTCGAGTTATTCGTATTACAGTCCACACGACGACTTATTTCTACATCCAGGGCCTTTGAAGGTTTCCTATGGAGGCATATTCACTAAGATCGGGCAGGACTTCCTTGAAGTCGCCGCGAATTACGATAAGGAATTTCCGCTCGTCCAAGACACCAGCCCTTTGGCAGCCGTCAATGGATATGGGGTGAGCTGGGTCCGTCATAATATGAGTACCTACTGAGACATCATCCACAGCGATGGGCAAAGTGAGTCAACTGAAGGCATGCACGGATTCGGCTGACTCACCTGGAATACGCACAGGTGGATTAGTGCCGATAAGGGTACACGGTCAGACGTTCCTCATCATTTCCTCTACAATCAAGCACACAATCAAAACCTGGTCATCGAGACGGGATGTTCGGTAAAGCGCGTGCTGTTCGAGTACGTCGCTCTTTCAACACGCTTGTCTTCGTGTAGAGTGACTCACCGACCACAGAGGGACCCGCGCCGTGGGAGTAGAATACTCCTATAATCCTCGCGTTCGGCCAAATGAAGAACGGGACGTCCTAAGAGTTGCTCGTGCGGGAAAACTTGTCGTCGTCTCAGCGGGGGCGCTTGGATCTCCGCAGATCCTTGAGCGCTCGGGAATTGGCAGAAAAGACGTGCTCGACAAGGCGGGCGTGGATCAGCTCGTCGACCTACCGGGAGTAGGCGAGAACTTCCAAGGTACGTTAACTCTTCGGTAGACGGTTGCCGCGGTTTATAACGATTTCATGCAGATCATCAACTGGTCTTTCAGCAGTACTACGCGGCGGAGGACTGCGACACTCTTGATGGAATCGTTCGCAGTGATCCTCTCGAGCTGGAAAGTGAGCCTTGTCGCTGGCCTGCGCGCGATTTCTATTCAACTAGCTCCCGTAGAATGGGAACGGATGTGGGAGAAGGATGGGACTGGCATGATGGCTAACAAGCGAGTCTTCGCGGCTTGCACCGCAGCACATGTCAATTGACACGACCTCTCCTTAAAGCGCAATAGATGCTGGCAGCAAGTTACGCCCAACGCCGTCCGAACTGAGAAAGATCGGGCCCGCATTCGGGGAGCGTTGGAAGGAGTACTATCTATCCACTTCTCACGAGGACAAGCCGGTGTACTTTCTAGGTGTGGGCTCAAGGTCAAATCGTTTTAATAGTTTCGCATGGTTCGTATTGACAGCCTTTTTTCAGCTTCTTAGGCGACAAAATGGCGGAATCTCCATATAGGAAGTATCTTTCTATCGGGTATATCTTAGTGAGTAGCTGAGGTTCGGAGCATCGAGCTGCATCAAGGCTCATTGGCGTTGGTGCGGTCAAGTGGTATCCCTCGTCTTATGGATATGTTCACATCACATCCAAAGACGATACGGAAGCGCCTCCCGATTTCGACCCCGCATACTGTAGCACGTAAGCTGTCATCGCTTGCTTATCCCACATTACTGGACCCCGCTGATGCCGAGCTCAGCACAGATGATATGGAACTGCTGAACTTCTTGTACAAGAAGGCTCGGGAGTTCGCCAGACGGCTGCCGTCTTTCAGAGGCGAATATCCCCCTAGTCAAGCAAATTTCGCTCCGGAGAGCAAAGCAGCAGTTCAAGAGGACTGTCAACCTATTTCGTTCGATGCGCCTGACATTTCGTACACTGAAGAGGACGACAAAGCCATCGAAGCTTGGAATAGAGCAAACGGTGCGCATCCATGTCCGATCAGCTATGGATACTGACGCTCCAACCATCTCGTGTGTTATAGTCAACACATGCTGGCATCCTGTGCGGGAACTCGTCACTTTTGCTCCGGCCTGACCATGCTCATGAACTGTAGATCGGCACCTGCGCCATGAAACCCCGCGAGGAAGGTGGTGTAGTGGATCCAGCGCTGAACGTATACGGAACACAAGGTCTCAAAGTAGCAGGTAGTCTCGTCGAACCATGTTCCGGTATCGAGCCAGTCTGATGATCGGAACCTTCGGGTGACTCCAGATGCCTCGATAGCTCCTGGAAACGTCGGATCTGTATGTGTGGTTCCTATCATAGGACAGACGAACGACTCAAACGCCGTTGCAGAACACGTACTCCACGGCTCTGGTCATCGGGGAGAAGGCTGCTCTCATCATCGCTGGTCAGCTGGGGATCGAGGGGGTTTAGGATGAGCGCGACGAGTCGGTGCAAACCTCGCCGATGTCATCGTCTTGTCTTCAACCTTGGAAATCTCACTGCAACCTTTGTAAGATCGGGTGTATCTGCTCGAGCTGAATGTACCACGGGGTCACCTATTCTAGCTGGTGCTTGCAACAACTTGCACGAGCATACCACGATAGAATGTGATGAGAGTGCCGTTCGGAGCGAGGTCCGGAGGCACCCGCGATGTACGGCGTTACGGGAGATCCGTGCCCGAAGGCATGAGCTTGATACATGTGCCACTCTCCATGCGCTCTATTACTGTACCGTATTCTGAGTTTTCGACGGTATCTCTGTTAGTGCTGTCCCCGATCTCAGCATGTTCGAGGAGCGTGAGACAGCACATGGGGATGTGCTCCATCGTACAGGGCGAAGCTTGCATGAGAATTTGGAGGCGGTAAGCGCGTGTCCGTTGCAAACGAAGAACAACGGCTGAAAAAAGTCACATGACGGCAGACGCACCGGATCAGCGTCATCTCCGAGAGCGCGCCACAAACGCGAAGTCGACACCGATCCTGCATCTGACACCCGTCCGGTCCAGTCACGCTCGGTTGTGCTCCCCGCGCCGTTCTGTAGCCGCCCTTGGTCGCGTTCGCTGCGGATCTTCCATCCTATCCGTCGCCTCCTCCGGCACCGTCACCCGAATGGGTGGCCCTGTGATAGCGTACGCCGACGCCGCGAGGCGTTTCATCTATCATCATCAGGCGGCACCATTGGAGCAAGCGGCAAAGCGAACAACTTCTGCGACGTCTTCTGGCGCGCCGGACCGCAGCGACACGTGCAATGCGATCGGTCCTGGACGCGACATACCAGGGTGCTTCGCACCGCCGCAAGATAAAAGATGGCCGACGGGCAGGCTCTGACACTGACAGTCCAGACCCCGTCCGTTGCAGTTCTCGAGTCGGTTCACTTCTGCTGCCATGTTCATCTCTATGCGTCGCATCGCAGCGACCCTGTTGAGCGCGCTCTTCATTCCCCGCGTGTTGGCGGACGTTCCTATCTCGAACGGCTTCAAGTATGGGACCGACAAGGTCTACGGTGTCAACTTGGGTACGTAGCACACCTTCGGTATTGACCATGCTCGCCGTTTGACCCGTTGTTTTCAGGTGGATGGCTAGTACTTGAGGTAATGATCGGCAATTCCTTGCGTGCATTACTCCGTTGGCTTATATGCACATCTTGTCTTCCAGCCATGGATAACCCCAAGGTGACGCATTTCACGTCCGCTCTCGTCCATCTCCTAACAGTTTGTGCAGTCTGTTCGACTCGACAGGAGACAGCAGAATCGTCGACGAATGGACATTCGGCCAGTATCAAAGCAAGGCCATGGCTACTGCTGCGCTGCAGGTCCGTTATTGCTTCATCTTTCATGCCTACGCTCACCTGTTCGATAGGCACATTGGGCAACATGGATCACCGAGAGCGACTTCGCCGACATCGCAGCAGCTGGGTGTGTTTAATACTCTCCTTCCATCCCGAGGAAGCCAGCCAACCATCATGATAGCTTGAACCATGTCCGGCTACCTATCGGTTACTGGGCTTGGGACGTCTCCGAGGGCGAACCCTACATCCAAGGTCAACTCCCCTACCTAAGCAAAGCCGTTACTTGGGCCGGCAACCACGGCCTCAAGTTGATAGTCGATCTGCACGGCGCACCCGGCAGTCAGAACGGGTCAGTTCTCTGCTCCAGACCTCCGCGCAAATTTCTGGCGTAATTCTGACGTGGTTTAGATTCGACAACTCCGGGCGTCGCATCTCGTACCCCGAATGGCACACAAACTCTGATAACGTAGACCGCACGACGGCAATCATCAAGAAGCTTGCAAATATGTTCAAAGATCAAGCTAACGTTGTCACGACTATTGCTCCACTGAACGAGTGCGTCATCTATTCAGAAAATCCCGGTTGCACCCACACGTCCTGATGCTTTCTCAGACCCGCAGGCTTCTACGGCGATGACGTCCTTACCGTCCTGAAGCAATACTGGCATGACTCCTACGGCAACATTCGGTCAGCTCTTCGTCTCGTGACGATCGAACATGCTCTCATTTTATCGTTAAGATTCCCGTACGGCTCGGCTAAACAGGGTAACAACCTCGTCTTGCTGCACGATGCTTTCCAGGACCTCAGTTATTGGGATGGCTTCATGCCATCCCCGGATTACCAAGGCGTGGCATTGGACACTCATCAGTACCAGATCTTCTCCGATGCCGTCAGTCGTCGTCTACCCCTGCCTGTCGCGATCATTTGCTTATGCCATCTCCTAGGAGGTCGCCCGATCAAATGCGGACCACATTAACGTCGCCTGCGCCAAGGGCTCATCCTTCTCGAGCTTCTCCAAGTCTCAGCTCTGGCTCATCGTCGGAGAGTGGACGCCGGCCGCGACCGACTGTGCCAAGTACCTGAACGGCAAGGGAGTTGGAGGTAGGGCATTCTTCTCCTGTGGATTAGCGATAGCCAACTGAAGGAGACATCGTTCGATAGCGCGATACGATGGTTCGTATACTGGATCTCCAAAGATTGGGAGCTGCACCGGGAAGACCGGCAGCGCGTCCTCGTTCAGCTCCTCTTACAAGACGTGGCTCCGTCAGTATTGGGAAGCACAGGTCCGCACTCCTCGCTTCCCTTCAGCCAGGGCTTTAACGCTGACATCACTTGTCACGCAAATAGGCTATCACGTACTCCAAGGGTGCCGGGTGGATTCAATGGACATGGAAAGCAGAGAACGCCGATGATTGGACATACCAGGCTGGACTCAAGGGTGGCTGGATCCCACAGAGCCCGACAGACTACAAATATCCGACCATTTGCGGGTGATCCGAGATTTACCACTTGCCTCAGTCATGCGATACTACGAGCACGCACGACCAACACGCCTACGTCAACGATAGTTTTGTTGCAATTCACCGATTTGTTTCCAACGCTGGCACGGACACCGGGACTCCTCGTTGTATATCATCCTACCTCTCCCTTGTACACGATACCTTGTCAGATAGCTGAGAATGGATCTCGTTCGGATTCAAAGTTTTCGTTGAATCGAACTGATGGAACATGGAGAGACCGAAGGTGCGTTTGTGCGGCCCGAGCTGGAGAAACCCTCCTCCTCGAGGGAAGATGGACGCCCATTCGGCGTCGGAGTCCAGCTGGTAGTGAGGAGATGGGCTGCATGAATAATAACACCAGCGTAGTACTTACTGTATGTTCGCTCTACAAAGATCGTGCTGGTTGGTGCCCGTCGAAGACGTAAGACCAGGTCAAATGTGGTCAACGTGGTGAGCAGGGCCACGACAGCTACACCAAACGTCTGGGCTCCCATACGCCGGAGACGAGGAAGGGATGTCATCTGTACAAGTCAAGATTGAACAACGATTAACCTAGCATAAGGTCTTGTTTACTGACGGCAAACCTCTGAGCTTCGGTCTGAAAAGACGGCAAAAGAGCAGTCAGTTCAATTGGCAGCACCAGTGAGGAGGAGCTACCGCTCTATGGGTGATCCGAAGGGGGCTGTCCAAGGTATTGTAGCAGTGCTGGCCACTTCCATCTTGAATTTCTGATGCCCTTGTTCGCGACGTCCCGTGCCCGAAGATATGGCGGCGATATCCCCGCCCGTCGCACGATTCAAGCCACTCCTCACCCCACAATCGAAGTTGGTCGTGGGCTCGTGGCAGTCTCGTGGCAGTCCCGAACCAGGATTAACGGTTTGAAACTGCACGATTTCAACATCAGGGATGTTGATTTACCGTGGGTGTTGTCCATAAGTATCGTTCATGCAAGAAAAGACGTCGGCGATATCCCATTCACGGTTTCATGTGCGCGGACTTCGAAGCTCTTCGAGGATGTGGCGCATGGAACACGTGTTCTCATTGCCACAACCAACTTTTATAACCTCGCTTCCCTTTCGCGACGAAGGTCGTCTAGAATGGACAGAGTACATCATTGAAGACGATTGCCACACGCCAGATGTAGACAGCATCACCGAAACCCCGCACACATAAACCGAGCGTCGGGAGAGTTTCTCCCACGTTGTCTTTCAACCACCGGTACTGTCTTACAGCTCGCCACAGTCAACTCCATGGGCGCCGAACAGCACTGCAGCAGGCCTTCAAGTCCTAACAAAACATATCGAACGCTTCTGCGCTATGCCGCTGGCAGTTTGGCTTGTTTTTTCTTGGCTATCTGGGTGTCGTACCGACGCCCACCCCGAGTCCTATCGCTGCTAGAGTCTCCCCCTCGGTGTAGCTCTTCACTTCCCCCTGAGCTATTGAGCAATCCTCCTTCGTCTGACACGCCAGCTTTCAAACACCTGGCCCGGCGACTGGATCAGAAGTTGGCTCGACGCGTAGCCCATCCTGACATGGACAGTCTGGCAGTTGCGGTCGTAACGTCCAGTGGGACCGTGTTTGAAGGAACGTATGGGGTGGTAAGAGCGAATGAGTCATCGAATGCACACGTCGACCGCGACACGATCTACCGACTCGCTTCCGTATCCAAGATCTTTACAGCTCTCGAGACGTGGTTGCTAGTGGAGAGTGGAAAGCTCGAATGGTACGCAGTCACTCGATTATCCAGACGTGAAGCACGCGTTTAACTTCATCTCGTAGGGATCGTCCAATATCTGACTATATTCCCCAATACACTCCTCCATGTGCAGCCTCCGGCAGATGTTACTCGCCGACCCTCCGTGACCTCGCATCGCACAGGGCAGGCGTCGGGTCCAATTTGCCCCCTGGAGACATGAGCTTGTGGCCCCATTCACTGCAAGGCGCTGGCACTCCTCCCGAGAATGGGCGCCCCTTTCCGTCCGAAGAGGAGGTTCTCGAAGCCATCAACCGGTACTCCACGGGCGTGCCCCTGGGTAAATTGCCCGTCTACTCCAACACCGGGTACGCCTTCCTGGGCATGGTGAACTCCGCTGCGGCGGCCTCGAAGTCGGGACAGAAACCTAGTCATGCGGAGCTTATCCAGCGTGACGTGTTTTCTGTGCTCAACATGTCCGGCTCGGGCTTCCTGACCAGCGTCTTCGAGAGAGAGCGGATCGCGGTACCGTCATCTTTCAGCGATGCTGCGGTACGGGGTTGTTCGTGACTTGGAGGCGCTGGGTAACTTACGCACTTTACTCCGCTTCTGGTAGGATTATGACTTCCGTAACGCCATGAACCCTGCTGGCGGACAGGTCAGTTCGTTGGCGGACATGGCGAAGGCCACGAGTGCCCTCCTGAAGTCACTCGATCCCGCCACCACAGATAGTCTGCTATCCAGCACGCATATGCAGCAATGGCTGTCTACCTCATATGCCTGGGACGACGGCATCACAGAGCCCGGACATAGCTGGATCGCCCTCCTGCGCAAAGACAAGTGGAAACGGACGCAAAGACTGTATCAAAGCTGTGAGCATCATAGTCCCTTCCTGGTCCTACACAGCCGTATCCTAACGTTTGCGGCATACTCCAGTCGGGCAGCTCAACACGTTCCACAGCGCGTGGACCATCAACCCCCGCGCGGGCTATGGTGTCGTCGTACTCATGACCGGGGACTACCCCGACTCACAGGACTTCACCATACAGCTCGTCGACGCCTTTCAGCCCGCTTTCGACGACCTCCTCGAGGTTGAAGCGCGCAAGTCATACGTTGGCCGCTGGTCCACAGCAGGTACCAGCAGCCCTGATAGCGAGATGGTTACCTCCCTGCGCTCGGGAACGCTCTGGGTCGACAAACTGACACTCAACGGGACCGATACGCTCGGCTTGCTCCAGGGTACGGACCGTCCCGAACCTGTCATGCTATGGCATACGGGTGCCCCAGGTCGATTCCGGTGGGATGATCGTACCTTCTGCTCGTCTTTGTTCTCACGTTCGTTGTATCATCTCTTTTAGGTTGGCATCAGGCATACCTTTCTTCAACAAAGCGCCGAACTACGGCTGTCTGAGCTACTTCTATGCGATGGACGTCGGCTATGCAGCAGGAGTCCCCGTCACTGAAATTGTCTTTTCCGGAGCAGGGTCTGCGCGCGCTGCGCACTTCCCTTCCGCCCTTGTGGACCTGCACAGGCTACAAGATTGAAGGCCTGCCATGGTGGCTTCACGCGGCTCTCTTCGTGCCTTGTCCTGATATGACACTTATCAATGGGAGTGTTTCTCGTGCCATGAGCCTTGCTATTGGCCATTGATATCCAGCGCTTTGGTTCAGGAGGTTGTATGGTACAAATCAAATGAACGTAGCAGCACTGCTCGTTGGAAGCATGGCTGTTTTCCTAACCCATGCATGGGCAACAGACTGCACGAGCATACTTGTAAGTTGTCGCGACGAACCCTATCGCGCATGTCTCAGCTCTCGGCACGCCGGCCGCGCATCCCGTCCAGGCTCACGATCCGGATGTCAAACCCTTCAGGCGGGGCGGGGAGGGGGGCGCGGGGCGCTGAAACATCGCTCCATGATCTTCTCGTATGGTACTTGTTTATTCCCGATTAGCCTAATTAGGGCCAACAAACTGATATAGAATGCGTCGAACGAGTCCGGACAGATGCTGTGGATCGTTCTGCACAAGATCGTCACAAACGGCGAATGATGCAAAGGACGAAGTGACCAACCTGATAGATACCCTAGAAGGCAGTGTTTGAACGTACAAAACAGAGCGATGACTGAGTGGACGTACCATAACCATACCCATACCAATCGCGGTCAACTGAGAAATGAATGGTAATCAGCAACCGGGCGTCAGCCTGTATAATAAATGCCATCACCAAAGCCTCGCCGTATTGGCCCGTCTTGAAAATCAAACCGCGCTTCCGCGCCATCAACCACGCACTCTCCATCGCCTTTGGCAAGACATACATCGCCAGCTCACTTCTCCGCCTCGACTCTTCGACAAACAAACTCAGCCCGCAAAGGAAGCCACCAATCCAGTACGTGGACCTGTGCGTGATCGCATCGAGGACCCACCGCGGCGTGTTCTTCCAGGGCAGACCGATAGACGTCTCTTGGGAGAATAGCTTGTGTAGGTTCGCCTTGCTGCATAGCATGGTCTGATAGATCAACACGAACGTGCCGAGAAACGCCGAGCTCCGGGCGGAGCCCAACGCAGCCCTCAGCAGCATGGGGATGGGCCGTTTGAAGACCACGTTGCGCTTGAAGAGGAGCATGGGGATGAAATGAAGGGCGGTGTAGATAGGCAGAATCCAGCGGAAGACGGAAAACCATCTATTCAGCTGCTCGAGGAGGCAGCTATCGATCCAGGGGTGCACGACCTCGCATGGGCAATAAGGAGGCCCAAAGACCGGGTTCATGGGCGAGGAAGCGGCTTGTAGTTTCGCAATCAAGGAGGTACGATTAGATGGGGTGATATCCTGCCATACAGATTAGTCGCAGTTTCTGTACGAAAATGGTATCCGTACCGAGCGATCTATGACTTTCTTCATCACGTCTAGATCGAACCGGCGCTCTCGCACGATCGTATGGTTGATATTGATAGCCTCAGGACTGACTCTAGAGGCCTGCTGGATCCTGCTCAAGGTCAGATCGCGCGGCGTCATGACCGACGAAGTGTACAAACCAATTCTGGTAAGACTTTGGTAATGTATCCGGACGCATGAGCCAGCCGTACATGATCTGGCCACAGCTATATGGCATTGAGCATCCTCGTTGGACCTGCGCACCGAACAAACGCACCAGAGAGAAAATACAAGTACTGAGCCATACGGTACTTTGACTCCGAAGCGAGGAGCCCATGCGCTATATTCCGCCTGCAATCCTCTGCTCGCAGCATTGCATGAGCACAGCACAGGCTACATGGCAATAGGGGAGACTCACCGTACAAATAGTTGTTGTGCAATCGTTAATCGCCTGTTACGCTTCTCAAACAAGACTGCCAAGCCGCCGGCAATGGCTCCGGCGACCACCGAATGCCATCTTCGGGTGCGCTTCCGAATCATGCCATATTCTCTCATGGCGTTCGCGCTTAGCGACAATCGCTGAGTGCGTCGCTCGCGATACGTGGCATTGTTGTAAGGAGAGATGATATCCACGTCAATGTTGGCACTTCTTGCACGAGTGTCGCTCGCGGAGGCGAGGTCATCATCTTCGTCAACGGCTGATTCGGAGGATGATTCCTGAGATGGAGGGAACATGATGGGGAGCGAGTTGAACAGGAACTTGTAAAGGTACACGAATGACCCTGTTGCGAACGTTAGTTGGAAGGCCACCGTGCTATCCTCTGCGTATACCTAACATAGCCGCGAATCTGAACGAATCTGGACCGAATACGGCATGGCGGAGAATTGCGAACCGCAATCGTCTAAGAAGCCCGTCGACCTCAATACGTTGGGAAGAGGTGACGAATACATACCTCGGTATTGTCCTCGAACGAAACAAGACCAGCACAAGGTTGACTCCGGCTCTGATGCAGAATGCCAATGCCCCGGCTCCTACATACCGGTCAGTACCAGGCTGCTGCGGACTAGGTTGAGGAAAGAGAGGAGAACCGTATGGCGGTGACGTCGCGGACACAGAGTGTGCCTCTCAAGACGCGTTCGAGAGACCATCGCCGGCAAGCCAGAACTCGGGGGAACGCAAATATGGAGGGAGGACTGATATACTGAACGTGACTCACTCAAACCTCCGCGACCAGCATGCTCAAAGGACTCGTAGATATCTTCAATATGGGCGATCGGCTCGCCTCTGTCGCGCCAGATGACTTTACGCGCCTCTCGCAAGCGCTCTTGGTGGTTAGCGAGCGCGACGAGGTTGTCGAACGATGTCATGGCCCGCTTGGGCACGAATTCCATGTACGACCGGGCCCTCTCGTTGAGAGGCCTTGAAGGAACCGACAGTCCCCTCTCATTGCGTGATCTTGAGGGAGCGGGCATCGCCAGCGAACCACAGAGCGGAATAAGAGTGTAGGATTCAGGGACGCCATTACATCGGACATGGACCAGAGCACCCCAGACGCAGCGTGGGGACCACAAAGCGTGGGGTAAATTTCACATGGCAGTCGCTGCCCCATTGCAGAGCAAAAGATGTCGAGTGCTGCTAGTCTTGCCTGCGTGTACAGGGCGTCATGCAGAAATAAGGCAAAGGACATCCATGTCGGATACAACAATAGTACATTGCGGAAGCACGATACATATGTATGCAATACATCCACAATGCTCGTCCCAATCAGTATCTGCAACGAGGAAGGTGTCAGCATGAACCATCAAGCGTAAGTTGACGAGTATCAGATAGATATATAATGATTCCGGATAGACTGGTATCCTCACACAGCAGTCGGTAGAGGGAGTCTTTGGGTCATCATTGGGAACGGCATTAACAGGAAACTCACTCAGCGGTTCTTGAAATAGTCGAGGAGGACGTGCAGGCCCTCGCTCTCAACACCGTAGTCCTTCACCACGACGCAGGAGCAGCCAACGACCTTGCGGGGGTTACCGTCGCGGTCGATCTTGCAAAGACCAGCCCAGGTGCCGAGGACCTTGGCGTCTCCGACCTTGATCAGGTTGATTTTGTGCTCGGCACACAGAGCCTCGATGAGCTTGAGGTACTCGGCCTCCGTGCAGGTCTCGACGAGAACGCAGAGGTGAGCCTGGCGCTTGTCCAGGGCCTTCGCAGCCTCGCGAAGGCCACGAGCGAGACCGTCGTGGACAAGAGCGTTCTTCAGAACTTGCTGCAGAGGATTTCAGATATGTAGAGTTCGCAAGTTACTGGCTCAAACGTACCTGGAGAGCATCTTCGACGGACATTTTACCCTTGGGCGCCTCGGTCGCAGTGACCTCGACCTCGGGAGCGTCAACTTGGATTTCATCTCCAGCGTCCGACATCCTTCGAGCCGTATATGAGCCTGCATACTGGATGAAGAGAATGTTCAACGCACTTGGGATATAGCAAGGGATGTCTTCTTCCGCGTTCGTTGATGATAGTAGTGGAAAAATAGAGTTCAACCGTTACAGTAGTACTTGAAATTAAAGCTCCGACATGAGCTCCGCTTCTCCGTTTTCCCTGGGGACTCCGCTCGCGAACTTCATCACCGACCGGATTCTACCACGTCCCGCCCGATTGCAAAATTCATAGGCATCGCGTGGCTACGGGGGCCGTTTAGCAATGTCTAAGTAAAGAAACTGACTCTGAGCCTGACTGACTCATGACTTATATAATCCAGAATCGCTTGCAAGCGCTCGTTACGTATACGCGTGTACTGAAGGACTCAGCTCAGGTGGTCCTACCAGACTCGTCGACTTCGTCGAGTACCGACTCTTATCGCTGTAGCCAGAACCAGATTCCGCATCCTCCAAACCAGCTAGTCATCCGTCATGCTCGCGTCCTCATCGAGTGCTCAGTGCGTCCAGCTGTCCGAGTTCCCGACAGAAACTCTCACGCAGATCTTGAGGCTCCTTGATGCCAAAAGTCTGTATCGCTTCTCGATGGTAAGGACAACACCTGGATGTCCATGTATATCAGTGCCAACTGATATATCATCATGTATCCCAGGTATGCACACCGTTTCACGCCATATTCCATACCGCTCCGGTGCTGCGATACTTGGCGGAACTTTCCAGGGCTGGCAAGGAGGACGGTATTGATTCTCCCTTCACCCTCTCTGACCGCAGGGAACGCTTGAAACTGTCTGAGGAGTGCTGGTCCAAAGTCGATTGGGCTGAGATACACAAAATCCCACGCGGGCCTGGAGCTATCTCCAATGCATGTTGCCAAATACAGGACGGGATCTACGCAGAGTTGTTGACCAGCAAGAAAATACGTTTCACTCAACGCTCTCTGACGTCATATGGCCGAAATTGACTACTTATGAGCATCGGTGACATTGTCGGCAATGTGAAAGCTTTATTATTATCATCCAGTACCAACTGCGGTCAAGCGGTGTACAGACCGCAGTGTGAAGCCGCAAGTAAGTACACGGCACCTCCCGATCTTTACGTTGCCCCTTCTACAGCAAGTTGCATATCGATAGAGCGCTCGAAAAATCCTGTCCCTCACGAAGCTCTGCAACCGACGTGCTTCGGTAATGCAGATGCCTCATGGGCACTGATTTTCAGCTGTATTTCAGCTGTATTTCAGCGCAGTTCATTGTTTCCATTGCCTGATGCTCCACCGGCGAGCTTGGCCGACCCTTCTTGAGCTGATCCGTGGCGACCACAGACTTTATTGAACGCTCTATCGATATGCAATCTGCTGTAACCTCATGATGGCGTTTGTTCCCCGAGTCGCCGTTTCAAACCCTCCCTCATTCCACCCAACCGCTGAAATCGCGCGCCCCATGTGAACACAGCCATTCATCCTTCTGAATACAACCATTCATCATTGTGAATACATTCATTCGTCCTTCTCCACTGCGGTGTGAAAGGGTAAATGACAGACCGACGTGGTCACCACTTCTTTCTGCTGCGTCTCAGATTTATGACGAAACACCGCCGCTGAATTCTCTCTCAGCACTCAGTGGTAAGTAAAGCTGGCAGGGCCACTAGAGCCGGTGCGTATATATACACACGCTATGCGCACCGTAACGGCATCCAACATTCAACCCACGGCGACATGTGGACCGCGTTTACGATAATGACTGCTCTGGGTCTGATTGTCACGGCTCGCGGTCTTATCCTGAATACCCCCGCTCAGCAGGTAGTCTCTGGAGGAGACCTGACAATTACGTTTGCGGCTCAGGACGGTGATCGGTACGTGCTTTCGGATTTTAAAAACCGAAACCCTTGATGAATAAACCGTGTACTTTCAACCAGGCCGTTCTCTCTAGAACTCGTCAATAATGAACTGCACGACAAATTCGCGATCGCGAACAACATAAGTCCGTCGTCTGGATCCCTCACCGTTACGCTCCCGATTGTGCCTGCTTCTGGGTACAGCATATTCTGTTGATGTAGAGTGACTATTGCGCTAACGACCGCGTGCTTTACATAGGGGATATGAGTTCTGGGCGGTCAACATTAGGTATATCGTCATTTTGCTGGTATAAGAAACCTCAGCTGATACAGGCTGTCAGGAATATCAATGACGTTTTCGCATCAACTGCGTCATTCACCGTCGAAGACTCCTGAACAGCGCTAGCAGTCCCAAGATTACGCACTGTTCGATGTAATTACGCAGCAGAACACATCACCTCAACGAAGCGCGCAGTGTCTCCCTAGAGCGGGCATCACATTGGATGATGGATGTGACATTTCTGAGCGTTCAAGGCGCAGAAATAATTCTCGCTACCCCGCGAAAAGGCTAGGCTCTCTGGAGGTACTCGAATGGCGATCTTGCTGAGCTGCGGCGTATGTGTCACAATATGCGCGTACACGCGCGTCGTGGGCCACAGTTCTTCCCACTATCCGACCCTTGAGGTGAATTCTAGGGTGATATGGGGGATAGGAACATGATCGTTTGGTCTGGCAGGCGGTTGGCCCGGAGCATTAGAGTGTATCTGCAGGTGGTAAAAGTTCTCCGCAGTGGTCAAAGATGTCCGCGGGGAGCCACGCCAAAACATGCAGTGCATGGTAAAAGTTCCACCCCACTTCGCCGTGCTGCAGATACACTCTATTGAGCTAGCCTTAACCGCCAGAACGCTGTGTAAGCAGAAATCGTTTCGGCATAAGTACCCTCGGATCCTCATCATGAGAGGTGTCAGTTTCCAGCGTAAGGGCGGTCACAGGTAGACCATGCAACCGCGAGTAACCGATTTTTGATATGCAAACTGAGGAGATCGTAACATCTGAGGAGCTGATGAGAGTCGGGTTAACGCAACAAGAGAACGTGCGTAAGAGCGAAGAAATGTACCATCACGCGTCTTCCATGCGTCGTTCCGTACGGGCGTCATTTATAACGGTGCTAATCATGATGGGTCTTTGAATCTTCAAGCTTCAAGGTCCAGAACTGTGGTTGCCGGTGTTGAGCACCTAATCTAAACTATTCCGTGGGTATACTTGCTTTCTCAATATATAAGTTAACATGCACATTCAGCCAAAATTCCCCGGCCTGAGTCGGTTGCAGGAACTTGAACTGACATAAGTAGGTAGACGAGCCTGGAGCGTGGACATGTATTGATGTAGACCAAGCCTAGTGCATTTGAACAGCACAATTTAATGACACGCACCGCATATCGTCCAACGGAGATAAGTACCAGTGAAAAACTACAACGGTATCTCCTCGGTGGCGCCCACGTCGTCATCACCTTCATCCGTGAGCGCACCGGTGCTCCGTTCCTTCTCGACGGGAGGGGGTGGTGGGACTTCAACCTGTGTGGGCGTGAGGACACCCGAAGCGACGTCCTTGTCCGATTCTGCAGGCTTCGAAGACGTGGCTTGAGTCTCTTCGGAGGATAGTTCGGAGTGTGTTGACGGGAGAGGGGGGACAGGGGGTGTCGCCCAAGAAGGCCCTGGAGACGGGAACCGGAATTGCTTGTTCATCGTACCGGTCCGCCCTCTCGCCTGGCTAGATGTTCTTGATGCGGTTTCATGTTCGCCGTCCTCCTCCTCCTCCTCCTCCTCTTCTTCTTCCGGGGTCGGCTCTATCGCAGGCTTGGAAGCCCTCGCCTGCGTCTCGGCGCTCGTCGGGGACATTGGCTCGCTGAATTCTTGTTGGGAGGAGGCAGCGCGAGACATGGGTGGCATAGATGCCCGATTCTTAACACCTGGCGACGAGGGCGATACGGCGCGTTGGAGTGAGACCTGAGACATGGACTGAGGACGAGTGAAAGGGGCAGAGTTGATAGGAGCAGAAGGCGTTACACCAAGGTAATATTGCGCTATGGGTACCATTCTAATTTGCATATCAACAACTGACATGATAGGGAGATGAAAGAACTCTACCTTCGGTCGGCGTGACACGCCAAGATCCATTGAGGCTGCACAACAGGTATACTCAGCTGCAGAGCACGCTGATACTCCACACCCGGTGCGCCACTCATGCTACCGCTTGCCTGCGAGCCTGACGGTGTTGCTGCCGGCGTCGTACACACGAAGTGCGTGGTGTCAATTTGTATCTTGTCGCTCCATTTTGCTCGCATCTCCCTCAATGCCAGCTTCGCATTCTCGAGTAACACGCTGTCTTGCACGTTTCCAAAACAGACAGAGATACCGGAGGTATCGGTCATCGTGTGGGTGCGAACGCGTACGATATTGGAGGGATAGGTGCCAGCGGTGGTACGCAGGACAAGCTGAAAGGTGTATTCGTGATCAAGCTCCAGACCAGAAAGCTTCGTGGAGGTGTTTTGTAGGGGTGCAGGAATGGTTGCTAGTCGCTCTCCGTTCTTATATATATCGAGTGACCGGAGCTTGGCCGTCGCAAGAGACAGCGATGGCCATTCAAGAGTGACCGATGTTTGGGTGACATTGCGCAGCTAGGAAGGTGGCACATGAGGTTGACCGTTGCATAAGGCGAACGCACGCATGATGGGGCATACCTCCAGCTTCGGCGGTTCAGGTGATTTCGTCCCAAATGTCTCGAGTATGTCATTCTGTAGTTCCCAAAACTCCCTGTCCCGGCGTTCTTCCTCAGCAACGTTCTGATGAACAGCGATGTTGACAATGGACCCAGTGGTCGTTCCAGGCGGCAGCAGAAGCGATGGAAATTCGATTAAATGGGCCCGCTCGCCGAGCAGAATCTATCCCAATTGTCACATCAGAATATGCCAGTCAACTTGAAGTCGCCAGGGAACCCACAGCCATGCCCGCATCTGTATAACACGATGAACGTCATGCAGAAATATTGCGTACGGCTTCTAACATACCGAGCTTGCCCACAGTGAACGTGAAACTATCATTGGCTTTCGACATGACGAGGTGGGATGGAGGTTCGAAGCCGCAAGTCGCCCAGCCACACCTTGACTCTCGATTGGCTCATTCTGGTAGCTACTCCTTCGAATTGGTCACGAAGCTGGGGACTCGAACTAGGGACTACTTAATGAGCTTATGTCCGCGAATGTAGAGCTCCATAGCCAAGGACAGAATGCAACCATGGACGAAGAGAAGATTCTGACCCAGAGCCCAGCCCACATGGGTACCAGCCTAAACGGGTCTCCCTCTGGATCAGACGGAGAAGCAGAAACTGGTTCCAGCGAGGAGGAACCCGAGCAAGAACACAGCGATACGCCAGGAGGACCCCCGTTAATACAGTTAAAGGTCGGAATATTCGCTGACCCAAAATGAGTCGTATTGTCGGCAATTTTCTGCTTCCATCGGCACGTTTTTGTCGGCAAATATTCCGACATCGGGCCTGCGGCGCCCATTTCGTCCGCGCTCTATTCCGGCATCGTGGGAATTAATGGCTATATCTGGGCTGTTCCTCTCCGGGCCCTCGATGGTTCGATCCTTTTGTCGACAAATATTCCGACCTTGGTTTGTCGCTCCGAACGGATGTCGTCAAAATCATTCCGGCCTGCGGCGCCCTCAGACGTGCTTTTGTCGGCAATTATTCCGACGTACGGCCCTTTTCAGGGCCCAAAATGTCGTCGGAATATTCTAACATTAAACCGTATTAACGGGGGTCCTACGCCAGGCGGGGACCAGACCCGTGTCACTCAGCACCCATCGGACGATGAGGATTTGGACGAACACAGCGAGGACGACGACGCGGAGTACGAGGAAGATGACGAAGATGAGTATGAAGATGAGGAGCCTGCTCTAAAATATGAGCGCCTCGGTGGTCCCATACATGACCTCCTCCAAAGAGATTCCGCGTCTGCACTTGCAATAGCAAACAAGCTGCTCGTACGCGTCTCATGCGTATGTCGTTATTCTCAACTCATGGTCATCAGGCTCTGGGCACGCATGCCGGAATCGTGCATATCCTAGACTTGGCGGGCAAGCGGATCAAATCGTTCAAACCGCATGGCGCATCGGTATGCGATATAACTATGGATAGTGCTGCAGAGTTTGTTGCAACGGCGTCCATGGATGGTAAGTACCAGTCACTTTGATGTCACGATTAGCCGGGCTAAGTTGGATTCACCAGGACAGATCGTCATCCATACCCTTAACCCCGCCTCCACCGAATCCTATGTTTTCGACATGAAACGTCCTATGCGAACTGTTTCACTTGAACCGGACTTTCACAAACGAAGCACACGCGCATTCGTTTGTGGGGGCATGGCGGGTGCGCTTGTTCTGCACGAAAAGGGTTGGCTTGGACACAAGGAGACCACGCTCAGCTCCGGAGAAGGTCCTGTATGGGTAGCGCGTTGGAAAGGCAGACTAATCGCATGGGCAAATGATCTAGGGGTCAAGGTCTACGACACAACCAGTCAAACGCGGATCACATACATAGACCGACCTTCAGACAGTCCCCGCGCGGATCTCTTCAAGTGCACGTTGCACTGGCAGGACGATTCCACGCTCCTTATTGCCTGGGCGGATCAGATCAAAGTGGCTAGAGTCCGCGCGCGACCGCGCAATGCAACCGCTCCCAACCCTGCGGGTCATGCACCGTTGATCATCGAAATCACGGCAGTATTCCAAATGGATTGTATGATCGCCGGCATCGTCCCTCATCCCACACCTTCTCCCAGCAATCTCGCTCCTCCTCCCATGGGCAAGCTACCAACTCCATCGCTCACGTCTTTCTTGTTACTGGCATATACCCCCCCTGATTCATCCTTCCACGACGAAGTGACCGCAAATCAAGCAAGGAGAGCAGCCGAGAGGCCGGAACTTCGTATTGTCTCTCGTGCAGGAGAAGAACTGGCCGCAGATGCTCTGTCCGTGAGCGGCTACGAACGATGGGGATGTAATGACTATATCCTCGCCGAAGTCGATGACGCGGACAGTCAGGGCCGATGTTACATAGTTGTTAGTCCGAAGGATGCCGTGGTTGTGAAGCCAAGGGATCGCAGGGATCATATCGCTTGGCTGGTGGAAAGGCGAAGATACGAAGAGGCGTTGGAGGAGGTTCAGAAACTAGGCGATGCGGATGCAGTCGACGACGGCGTCAACGTCGTACAAATTGGCCAACGCTACATCGAGCATCTGGTTTCTGAAGGTCAATATACAAACTCCACCTCGTACGAATCATCAACTCACGATACGTACCCTCACAGGCGACTTCGGCAAAGCGGCCCATTTGTGCCCCAAGGTCTGCGGCCAAGATAGCAAACGATGGGAAGACTGGATATTTGTCTTCGCTCAGAAGCATGAGCTTCAGGTATGGACTGCGCAACACCATACATATATCGTTTATCACGGGAACATTGGCAGGCGATCATCCCGTATGTTCCGACGGAGTCACCGAAACTTAGCCATCTGGTTTATGAAATGATCCTGGGGCATTTCTTAGCCCATGACCGAGACGTGAGTGGTCCTATTCTTGCCAACGTATCTTCTGTCGAAGCCTGCATTTTAGGCGCTATTGCAGACGATCAAGAAATGGCCGAGAACAATCTACGATATCTCTGCCATTATTGTCGCAGTACACGCTGTTCTTGATCGAACTTTGACTTCGTCGCCTACGGGAACACAGAGGCCTCTCAAAGGAGAGAGCGCGCTACTTATGGAATGCCTTGCTGAGATGTAAGGGTTGTATATCCTGGGATTCTTTGCCTAATCTCATCGTGGCGACAGGTACACCGCCAATCGCCAACCTGGAAAGGCCCTGCCGTACTTCCTGCGCCTGCGCCGACCCAACGTATTCGATCTTATCCGAGAGCACAACCTCTTCACGTCTGTGCAGGATCAAGCTTTGCTTCTTATGGAATTCGACGCGGAGTTGATGGAGAAGAGGAGGATTGCCGGGGAAATAGAGGACGCGACACCGAAAACCAGCGTAGAGCTGCTTGTGGACAATACGCACTCAATACCCGTAGGTCTCGCTTCCTACGTTGTGAGCCATGTCTTACCTGTGATACAAGGTGGCTCGAGTTGTACAGCAGCTGCAAAATCAGCCTTATTTCTTGTTCTTGTACCTCGACTCCCTCTTTGCGAAGGACCCACACCTTGCGTCAGATTTTGCAGACACACAGGTATGTCTCATTTCTCATTTCGCTAGAACAAGATGAATTGTGATTTCCATAGGTCAAACTGTGTGCCGAGCATGCACCGTCTCGTTTGATCGATTTCCTCCGCGCTAGTAACTATTACAGCTTGGAACAGGTGAGTTTGTATTACAACTACGAACTCACGCCTCGTTCTTATCGGATTTTCGACACAGGCATATCGAATTTGCCAAGAAAAGGACCTTGTGCCTGAAATGGTGTTTCTACTGGGTCGTATGGGAAACAACAGGCAGGCGCTCACTCTCATAATTGAACGACTGGGTGATGTACGGCGGGTCAGTAGTATACTTAGTGACAAGGTTCTACTGCACTAATCCTTGGTGTGCCTAGGCCATCGATTTTGCGAAGGAGCAGAACGACGACGACCTTTGGGAAGACCTTTTGCGATACTCTGAAACACGACCTCGTACGTAGTATGCCGGACTACTAGCGGAATGTCCCCCCTCACATCGCGTTATTATAGCTTTCATTCGTGGTTTGCTGGAGAATGTTGGGCCTGAAATTGATCCTATCAGGCTTATTCGCCGTATAAGGAACGGATTAGAAATCCCCGGGCTGAAGGGTGCTCTCATCAAGATTCTTCAGGATTTCAACTTGCAAATATCATTGCTGGAGGGCTGCCAGACCATCATGCACGGCGATTGCTCGGACTTGTCTAGGACTCTGCACAAGGACCAAACGAGCGGCTTTTTGCTATCGGGTGAGCGTCTTTCCTTCCCCTAGCCAGATCGTGCTGACAAATGATGACAGCGCAAACGCGATGCCCTATTTGTCGCGAGCCTATCGTTCGTATGCCGCAGTCTTTGACGTTACTGTTCCTCTGTCGACACGTCGTTCATGCGGGCTGTGTACATGGCCTGGAGGATCTACCGCAAGACCCGGAATCAACGCTCATTGGCATTAGCGGACGAACGATCAGTAGTAAACTCGCGTTGTGAGTGCGCAATGCTGAGTTCTAGCTACATGACTTCTGACAAAGTGTACAGCGCGGCCGTCGTCCATGCGAACATAAATCGGGGATGTCCTGTGTGTCATAAGCTTGCCGAAGGTGAACGCACGTAATACTGCTCGTGTAAATTGTTGGATGGGTCTTGGTCCTGAACAGCTGACGAATCCCGTCGGTCCTGAAAGAAACTGCGCCGCCGGCATCGCGCTTCTCTCGAAATATTTGCATTTCCACGACCATGTTACGCGTCGGTTCGTTCGTTCGCTGTAAGTTCGAGCTTGACGGTTGTCTGGTCACAGCAGCTTCTATATTTTATAGTCCTGAGATCTGAAAGTTGGAAGCAAGCTTGAGATCACGTGTGCAATGCTAGGTAGCACGGCTCGCACGTGATCAGGCGCGCGTCCTCATTTTCGAGTTTCCCGTCGGCCGTGATCGCATCGAAAGCTCTACTGGTTCGTCCCGACGGTCGTGATCTGGCACCCCTGGGCGGGCTTGCTGTCTTTCCAGCTCCCCGCAGCGTCTTCTGTGCCCTTTGCTTGGGGCCAGATTCTTTTGCATATACTCTGCAGAATGGCCGACTCGCCCGTGGAAATGCTGGACATAGAGGAAATCATGCACACAACTACTCCACCACCGTTGGAGGTGAAACCGGCCTCACGCCAGCCCGAATTTGTGCAGGGATCTAGCAGTCGCCCCATGAATTCAAGCATGCCCTCCATGGGCCCCCCAATGCTCGGGCTTGATGACCGTGCGGACTCCCTGGAGCCTGAAGTTGCTCAGTCTGAGCAACTTGTCCGACAGGCGGCCACAATTGCAGAACTTCAACAACAGAGAGCATATCTTGTCCAGCGGATGGCGGAGGAGCGAGCGAGGTGGGACGTGAGTTCCATTCCTTTTGATTGCCTGCTTGCCTGCGGCCATCTCCTGTTAGCAGGTGCTCACAATCCCTAATCCACGTTTAATCCATTGTGTTCTCCAGGCTGAACGAGAACAATTTGCGCGCTCTACGGAAGCTCTCCACGCTCAGTTCCAGCGGCATAAAGCACAATCACAGGAAAACGGAATGAGCTACCGCGAAATGGTAAGTGCAAGTCCCATATACTCGCTCGCTTCGTGGCGCACTTCCCTCCCTTCAGCCCAGCATTGGAACCGTTTGATGTCATTCATCATATTCTTGGTTCCCTGTCCACCGTGGTTACCTGTATCTATCGCAGCAGCATTGACCTTCTATGCAACAGGAACTGACACATGCGCTCTCTGCTGTCCAGTCGCAGAATGCCATGTACAAGCAGCTCGTGCATGCATTGGGTCGACAACTGGGTGCCGTTCATAAGGAGCTTGAGCAATTACGTCCATTTTTGTTAGGAGGCACTCGCCCATCCGAAGCACCCGGCCTCCCACCGCCTGGTCACGGGAGCAACATGAACGGTGAGCAATATCTCGACGTTCGCTGCTGAAGAACGATGCGACGTGCTTTGCAGGCATCCCTTCAGGTGCGCGTGGCGTAAAGCGGAAGCGAAAGCAAGGCACGGCTCCGAGTGCACAGAACGTTCTGACAAACACCCCGAATCGTACAGTCAAAGATTCTGTCCATGTGCACATTCCCCCGATCACGTCAGAATCCGAAGACGCGGATATAGAACCTGACAGCGATGATGCATCGGAGGTAGTCCTGCCCTCTAGCCGGACAACCCACGAAGTTCCTGATAGGACAGGGGAGGAGCGAAAACACGGACCTATTAGCTTGAACGCGGAGACAATGAGTGGTACGCCTGCACGGCGTCGCCCGCCTAAAGAGGCTCGTGGTAAGGGAAAGAAAGCCCAAACGGAGAACATGAACTTCCATGACTTGGTCGACAACGGCATGCTCAGCGACGCGTTGGCAAAGTTGGAGGAACCTGGCGTGAGCCAGAGATCTCCCGACAAGGAAAAGGACAAGGATCTGAAGAAAGGCCGTAATCATGGAGACCGGGTCAAGACGGAAGAGGGCGAAGAGGTCAAGGCGGAAGGTGAAGCGAAGCATCGCGACAAGAAAAGGGTGATAAGAAAGCTAGCTGGCAACACATTGCTTTCGGATGCCCGCGCCGAGCACCTCCTCATTGCCGCGCGGAAAATCGGTCGCGAACGCGCTTGGCAAATCGTTCAGAGGGAGCATCAGCGCTTGGAAAGGGTGTGTGATGCTGTATTGACCATTGAAGTCAATCTGAGGACCGTTAAAGGAACGCAAAGCGCACGAGGATGTGTTACATCAGGGCATGCGATCCGCGGCACCCTCACCACAAGAGCCTCCGCGCACTCCGACGGCGAAACGCGGGCGTGGTGGCTTGTCCATGCAAACCAGTTCCCCGCATGCAGCTTACTACTACATGGTTCCCGCGCCGGGTAGCGTTTCTCATTCCCCCTCATCTCAACCCTCGGTTTCCAACAGGTCCCCGGGCCAAGGCCAGACCCCGCTAATGTTCATTCCCATGCAAGTAACCCCCGGCATGGTCGGCATGAGTCCTTATAGCCACCTTGTCAGCCCCCGTACACCTCATGGTCCTGGTTCTCCATCACCTTTTCGTCCCAACAGCTCCACCATTCGTCAAGGCCCTGCGACTCCTCATATACAGAACCACATAACTCCTTCGACGCAACAGCGACATACGCAGCCGTTTCCGGCGCAGACGCCCAGACCCAAGACGGCTGGCAGCACTGCTCCCCCGACACCCTTCGATTCTCTGATCAACGCGATTGACCGCGCCAGGAGGGAAGAGGATGCTTCGAAAGAGGCTGGCACCTCTTCATCACGCAAACGACGTTCCGAAGACGATGGCAGCGGTACCGACATTGAGGACGGTAACGATGGCGATTTGAAGCCACGGGGCGAGATGAGCGCTCTCGACGTTCTGGCGGATCAGGCAGCGAGCGCAAGCAAGAACAGGGAACGCGAACGCGAGAGGATTCTCGGGCAAGATCGAGAAGGGTCGCCGACGCCCACTAGGACAAAGCCTAGATTAGCATTCGAAGACCAGGAGCCACATCTGGAAATCGGTGTTGATCCGGATGGCGGAAGGAGGAAGCTTGACTTTCACCGTGCATCAAGCAAAGGATGATTGTGGTTCTACAGCAATTCATATGCGTTGGCGGATTGGATATCATTATTGTTTATATTAACTTCTTCACGATATACCACATTGGACAATTGATTGTATGCTTACCATTGTGATTCATTGGACGTGGCCTAGGCTGTCAGAATGCATTTCATACGTATGAGTTTCAAGAGTCATACCCGCGAATCGGAGGGCGATCCGAATGACCGAGATGATGCTTTGTAGGCCAAAAGTCGCAATTTGTTCCTCACCTCGAGTCATTCGGAGGATTGAAGATCATCACACCTTTATCGTCGAGCTCATTAGTATTCCAGCTTCCACCCCTCTGAACTATCACATCGCGATGTCACCAGAACAGAAACCTCTCAGTTTGTTGCTGCTATTTCTTATAGCGGTTGGAAATAATGAACTAACGGTCGGTGGCGATCTGCTCTAGTATTCGTCACAGGCAACGCGAATAAACTTCGCGAGGTCAAAGCGATACTCTCTTCAGGCGGCGATCCAGTTGAAATTGACTCTAAGGAGCTCGACAGTGCGTACGCCTTGCATTCTCGTACGGCTATACACTCACTGATCTGACTATCTGCATCCAGTTCCGGAAGTGCAGGGCACCACACAAGAAGTAGCTCTTGCTAAGTGCAAACGCGCAGCGGAGCTGGTGTGTTGCTACCTACCTACCTACCTGCGCAAATTATAAATGCCCCTAAATCTGACGCTGGCGTCGCCTTCACACCATAGCTAGGCGGGCCTTGCATTACGGAGGACACAGCACTTTGCTTTACCGCTCTGAATGGACTGCCGGGCCCATATATCAAGTACTTTCTCAACGAACTTGGCCATGAAGGACTCAACACTCTGCTAGACGGTAGGAGGGACCCACAAAGCGTCCCTTTCTCTAGGCTGCACTTATCCCGAGAGAAATATAGGGTTTCCGACCAGATCAGCCCACGCGTTATGCACCTTCGCATACTGCGCCGGACCAGGCCAGTTGGCATGTCGATGTTTCTGTGCTATCTGATCAATGATCTCCAACAGGAAGTGAGCCGGTTCTCTTCGAGGGTAAAACAGATGGCAAGATCGTGCCCGCCAGGGGACTGCCGACCTTCGGCTGGGATGCCGTGTTTGAACCGGAAGAGGGTGGTGGCCTCACGTACGTCCAACGCAATGCCGTGCAGCGCCAGGGAACCGCGAACTTATGTATCTCAGCTACGCGGAGATGAAATCGGAGGACAAGAACAAGATATCGCACCGATATCGAGCCCTCGAAAAACTACGGGCATACCTGCAAACATTGCCTCATTGATAGTATGGGATAAGGAATTTTGTGTAGACGCCCCCAACTCGCAGGTTGGTTCAGGGCTCGATATCGGTCCTAGCATACGATGATTAATTCTCCCGGCTCTTATCCCATTCGCTCAGCGAGCCTTCGCGTACTGCTGCATGAAGCAGTTATCCCCTTAGGGTAAGGAGGCCATTGGCGTTCAGGATACGTGTGGTGGCGGGCATGTGTTCAACTGGAGATGCCTAGCTGTAGATTCGAGATGAGATGAAGTGCTGGGCGTAAGTATCTCCGCGCCAACTATACATAGTCGCCGTAGCTCCCTTCCCACCGTCACTTGTGTCTTGCTCGGTACATAACTTGTCACCACGAGAAATAACCTACGATGGTTCGTCGCGTTGCGTCTATATCATGCATATATTTCGTTGGTTGAAACCAGCATCAGAGCATTCCCTTCCTTCATATACGCGATGGGACGGAGGGTGCGCCAAAAGTCTGCGTGTTCGTATTCAGGCAGGGTCCTGATACATACTTCACAGCTCACGGCGACTCTATCTGGGGAGTGCGATGGTTACCAGACGATTCCGCGGTCACGATATCTGCGGACGGTACGGTTCGCCAGTGGGACTCGCAATCCGGCCAGATATCGCGCAGTCAGTCCCCGCATGCGCTTGGCCTTGTCTCTTTGTCGGTGGCGCCAAGTGGCGAACAGGTGCTATACAACAGTCTCGAGGGTCTGACATGCTTGTGGGACCTCCCCAGTGGAGAGGTGGTGGGGAGGCACGAAAGCTACGTTCGTAGCGGAGAAGAACCATCTGAACCATGTACGTCCATCCACCGTACGAATTGCCGAACGGAGGCAGTCTTGATAGTGATGGAAGAATACACCCGCGGCAGCATGGTCCGTTTCCCTCAACCCGAAGGGCGGAACGTACGCGTCTACCGGTGGCTCGGGGAATGTCACTATACACTCCGCGGATCCTTCATCGTTCGGACAACGCCAAGCGACACTCACCAGTGGGCGAATGAAGTTTGGCATGTACTGCGTCCACGTGTGTGCTGTTCTATACGTTACTCTGCACATTGTCGGCCATCTAATGCTCCTCCTTCGGACCCAAGAGTCCCGACGGGTCCCGTGTAGCGCTCTCCACCGAAACCGGGCAAATCTACGTTTTCGACATTGAATCCCAAACACTGAAGGCGACGTATACTTCGCACGCGATGGCCGTCCGTGTTTTGGCGTGGTCGCACGATTCACAAGTATGCGGCATTAACAGGATTGATCTGCGCAGGGGTATACGATTAACACTAACGATAGCTCCTACTCTCCGCATCGGAAGACAAACGTCTGACGCTCCACGACGTTCGCGTGTCTAGTGCATCAGGGAAAACGTCCGGTGCTGTGGCGACGTTAACAGGACATTCGTCATGGGTGCTCAGTACCGATATATCGCCCGACGCCCGACTCGCTGTCTCTGGGTATGATCATCGGCCTGTTGTGTGCCTTACGCGTCTCTGATATCCCTTCTTGCAGTTCGGCCGACAAATCCATCAAAGTGTGGGATATCGGTGCTCGTGCAGCAGTGTCGACAATCCAAGAAAACGGAGAAGTGTGGAGCGTCTGCTGGAGATCGAAGGTGTCGGCCGCTGCTTCAGCTGGCGCCTTCGTCAGCGGCGGTGAAGATGGTGTCGTTAGGTGGTGGAGAGGGGCCGGAGCCAGCTGAATATGCACGCGGCATCACAAAATGTAACCTTCCCATTAGCAGCTTGGCCCGCAATCAGGTCCCGCTGTTGCCCATGAGAGCGTTGAGAGCCCGTGCAACGCGTCCGACGGCTTCCTTCACGGCATCTTTATCTTCTTCTTTCACCCTGCGCATTACCCGGCCTTCAAATTTGTCGGGATGGAACCGGAGAAGGGTTGCGCGAATCGTATCCTTCTTTTGCTTCGCGATATCGTCTACCGTCTGATCGACGCTGAGCTTCGAGAAGAGGAAGACCGAGATGTTATCCGGTGTGAGGTCCTCCGCCGAGACCGTCTCTCCTTTGGTCCCGATAGGCCAAGGCACGTCTGCGAACGCCATGGTTCCGTCCTTGCCATCGGCTTCTGATATTTCCCTCCACGCATCCTCGTACTCCTCCCACCGCCGCAGGTTCTTCAACGCCTTTCGTTTCCGCCGTTCCTCGCGTTCTCGCCTCATCAGCCTCTTCGTCTCGATTCTGAGCTCGTCTTCCTTTCTTCTCCTCTCCTCCTGCGCGCGCAGTCGCTCCTGTTCTGCCTCGTACTCCGCACCATGTTTCCTCCGCCACATTCCAGCGCGCACCCACTCCGCATACTCTTCGTCGTCCATTTGGTTCGGATCGTACCGCGAGTCGTCCGCGCCCACACCCATCCTCGACGGAGGTGACTGCCATCTTCGCGGGAGGTGCTGATACGAGTTGAGACGCGCTTCGAGCTCGTCCAGCCGGCTGTTGCCATAGCCGTAGCCCTCGTCCTCCGCTGCGTCGAGCAGCTTCTCTCGAAAACGTTCTTCCTCCAGCTCACGCAGGATAGATTCGTAGTCAGCTGCGCTGAGGCGCGCAGGTTGGGGCCCGTACCCATCATCGTCGTCGCTCAGTGAGGGTCGGCGCGCACGGGGCGAGGGACTCTCTGTCCGTCGTCGTTTGCGCGCGCCATGACGAGATGCACGCTCAGCTTCGTCTTGGGAGTCCCAGTACGGCCCCTCATCGCCGGAATGATTTGAAGTGGCAGCGCGCGGGCGAGCGGCTTTCTTGGCTGCCTTGCGAGCTTTGCGCAGTTCACGCTCGCGCTCCTCGGCAGGAGTGCGCTTCAGCCTGAGTTTGGGCATGTTGGTCGAGTTTGCTCGGGCTGCGAACGCGAGTGTCTGTGCAGCTGCTCAAAGGGAACGGCACCGGATTACGTCACGCCAACGCGGGGATTGCCGTGCCGGGCACGTGGGCATGACCTCAAATGGCGACGCGCTCGGACACGCCGCTACACGAACGTCGTCCCAGCAATCGTGCCACCGGACTGCTTCCCTATGTTGGCTCTCCCCCTGCCCACCATGCACCCCAACTTCCCGACCGCCCTCCTCTTCTCCGTGCTCGCCATTCCCGCCCTCTTCGCCCTCAGTCACATCTCGTTCCCCCATCCACCCACCCAGTCCGGATTGCGCATCTATCCTGGCATCGACGCGTTACCCGCAGGTCCGGTCCGCGATCGCGCTCTGCAAATATACGGAGAGGACTACTGGACCGGCGGAGGCTGGTTCAACGGTCCGTTTGGCCGGGTTCGTACTCAGGTCTTTGCCTTCGCGACTATCCGCAGGGGCTGAACCCCGCTCGCGCTACGCGTGATAGGTACGATATTGGCTTCTTGGTCCCGAAAAGGGCAAGAAGGTTGGCTGCACTTTCATATGATGCACACGTCCTCATCGTGACGTATATAGATCGTACTTATACATGGACTATCTGTTCCCGCGATTATCTGGAAAGACGTTGCACCGTACCTGGTGAAGAAAGGATTCCGTGTGCTCGTATATGGTTCGTCCATTTCTTATCCTGATTGCATCCCTCGGTGCAAGAGACTCCCAGGAGACTTGCATTCCGTTTAAGCCGATTGGCAACGTGTTACAACGTCCACGCGCTGTTCTTGTTCATCCATGAGCCTGGCTGACGCTTGATGACACTCGAATCTTTTACCTAGATCTCCTCGGTCGCGGTTACAGCTCCGCGCCAGACGCGACCGAAACATCGTACACAGCAGCATTGTACGCCACACAGCTCGCTTTGCTCATGCAACATATCGGTGCGTCCGAGCGCCTGCTTGAATGCGCACCACTGGCTGAACGCTTTTGATCATGCAGGCTGGCAGAAGGCTAATATAGCTGGCGTGTCTATGGGCGGTGGCATTGCTGCCGCCTTCGCTGCATATTTCCCAGCCCTGATTGACGAGAAGGTTGACTTCCAGACATCCGGAATTCATTGACCGTCGTCTAACCTGTTGTTCAGGTAGCACTAGTATGTCCAGCTGGTCTTCTCGAGGCGAGCGAGATCCCGAGGACCATGAGATTCATGAGCGCCCCCCTCCTGCAAACCGTCACAAACAGCCCTCCCATCCGCGTGCGTAATAGCCTTTATACCTTGTCGCGATGGTAGTGACCGTGCTTCTGTTCTAGTACTATCTCCATCGCCTGGCATCATCGCGTGCAGACGTTGCCGCTAAGGAGCAGAAAGCTGACATTGCAGAGGTGAGTTGACCGCCATCTTGTATCTCTTCACGTACTGAGTCTTCCGCGCAGCTCGTTCGCATTCAGAGCGCTCTTCTTCCAGGCTACAATGCTGCCATTGCATCGTCTCTCAGAGAGGGTCCGGTCCGTGGTCAACGTGCGTCTTACGAAGCTCTGGGGAAGAGCGGCAAGGATGTGCTACTGGTTTGGGTACGTTTATCCGACGTGACGACAGCTACTCGCTTTTCCCATTGACGTTGTTGCGTCGGGTAGGGTACGGCGGACACAGTTGTGCCCTTTCACCATGCGGTCGACGTACAAGGCATGGTACCTCAGGCCAAATTGGTGACGATCGAAGGTGGCCCTCACGACATAACATTGACTCATCCCGACCAAGTCGGCACGGCTCTCGTGGACTTCTTCGTCCGCTAAACGCATATTGGCCCATGAACACGAGAGCCGGCGCCTTCCACGGACCGTACCGGGAAATATACGCTCACTTACGCCTACACTACGAGGATCCTGCTAATTCGTATTCGATCCACTCGGTACTTGGTCATTTCATTCGTCCTTGTTGTTGCTTCCCATTACTACTACTGGTTTGTAGCGTCGTCCTGTAGTTGTAGTTCATCTCCTGCGCACGGAGGTCTTGCTTTACATGTTTTGTCACACATGATATAGTAACTATTCATCGCATATAGGGTAAAGATTCGTGCAATGCCGTTTAGGCTGAAGTCTGGCAGCCGCACCATACTGGTCGTGATGCAGCTCAAGATATTCAGGGACGTGCCATTGGCTTGGGTTCGCACTCAAGCTATCATGAGGTCAGACAGCCCATCACAGAGCGAAAATAATAGGATTAAGTGTGGTCGTAGAGTCTAAAGCATGCTTCATGCGGTGGGCAACGTAGTACTCGATGGTGCGGAGGCAGTCTGGGTTGTTTGGCGTGCGGGTAATGTGCCGTCCTCCCATCGCTTGATAATGTTCGCCTTGAACGGGCCCATGTCCTCGTCTGAGAATATCCGTAGTCGTTCCAGTCTACGGTCACGGAGCTTGTTCTTCGGAAGCATACCAGCTACTGCACGGCGGATGATCTTGGAAATTGGAGATGATTAGGCAACGGTGACGGACGGGCATTTTCCCAGTGCCGCGGCCGGATATGCGCACCTCATCCGGCTTCTTGTCCATCATAGCCTTGTACGGTATCTCCTTCAACCCTCCAGGATGCATCGTGTGGTGACGATACACCTTCTGCTCTGCCTTGAGCCCCGACACCTTGATCTTCTTCGCGTTTGTCACGACCACGTAGTCTCCACAGTCAACTGAAAACGAACCATGAGTTATCCGAGCTTTCCGACCCGATGCATACGCTGCGACGCACCTCCGGGATCATATATAGGTTTATGCTTGCCCATGAGGACGTGCGCTATGCGAATAGCGAATTTTCCGAGGACGCGGTCAGTCGCGTCCGCATGGTGCCACACTCGCGCGTATGCCAGGGCCGTCTAGGTGCAAGTTAGGGGAGCAGAACGACGTGGAACAGTTCCGGAATGAGTACATTGCCTATTGCTTGAGACATGGCCGTGAACTATAGACTGCGAGAAGCCAAGGTGCGAACGCCACCACAACGCGTTCGTCCGTACGCTCATAACCGCGTGCTCATAAACAACCTGTGACTAGCTTCAACCCCGGTATCTACTCCTAAACCATCCGCAATCGTACAAGAAGAATCGTTACTTCTGTCGATCACGCGCAAGAATAACCCAACAGCAAACAAAGGCACCAGCGGGACCAAAGATGAAAGTCGAAGACAGAGCCACGCCTACGCCTGCTCCTGTGACACCGGCACAATTTCCTGCTACCAACACATGGGGTAGTCGTAAGCGCTGCGATGGGTCTGTATTGGATACCATGCGATTGATAGCCCGTAGAGATACCCATAGACCCTGCCCTGCAACAGCAGTCTCAACCGCAACCTGCGTGAGGGAACATTCATCTACAAGCGCTGAGATGTGCTGATGGACGGTTTCCAGAACTACCTATTATCAACAGTACACCCATTACCCTGCGACATCGTATAATACCAATTATCAACATCAATACCCAATACCAAATCCACAGACCCCAGTTCCGGCTCCTGCGCTGCGACAGAATGCTCCGACTAGCTCCCTCGATACTGCTGACGTTGCTACGCTGAACGACGCCCTTGCCAGCGGAGGTGTAGATCTCAGGGTACGCCCAATGCTGCAGGCTTCATGCAAGGCCGTCTGAACCAACATCTTTCACCAGGCTGAAGAAGAATCGCTTCATCGCCCCTATGATCAGCATCAGCCTTACCGGGCATGGGAGGATCGGACACGCAAGCAACCTCCCACCCCGAATTTCAGTGTTCACTTCATAGGATCCACCATGCGGTCCATCGGCTCGCAGCACAAAGTCACCAAGATCCCGGAGGATTCAGTCAACTACATCGCACTGGCCGTGCGCGCTCGATTGCAGGACTTGATTACGGCCATGATTGCTGCGTCCGCACACCGGACAGATGCGCAATTCGATCGCCCCGCATCGCTATATCCCGACAACAGCCCGATGTGGAGCATCGTCATTCGGAGCGACGTGCAGAAGCAGCTCGCGGCTCTCGAGAAGGTCGAGCGCGAGGAGGAGCAGAGGGTTCGTCGCGAGCGCAAGGAGCGCGAGGACATGGCGGCGTCGCAGGCCGCCGCGCTTGCCGCACAGACGACGGGCATGGGCGATGGGCTAGACGAGGATGGGCAGCCGAAGAAGAAGAAGAAGAAGGAAGGACCCGGGGTGACCGCTCGCAACATGTCGGAAGATGTACGAAAGAAGATGTCCAACGCGGCGGCGAGCCATGCGGCGGGCTTGAGCACTAACAAGTACGCGTGGATGACAGCAGGCAACGCCAACGCCCCCACACCGCCCAAGAAGGCAACGCCTTCTGGCGCGTCTGCGTCTGCGCCGGCGCCAGTGGCTACGTCCTCTGCCGCTGCACCCAGCTCGGCATCCGGCGGATGGGTGCGGCCCTACATCGGCTCGCAGAAGCAGGCGCCAGCTGCAGCTACTGAGGACGACCCCCGAAGGCTCATCACCCTTCGAGACGCTCTATTCGTGATAGAGCAGGAACGAGGCCACGGTGGTGGACGCGGGGCCGCGCGGGGCTGGGCCTAGTTTTGCTAGTTCCTTATATCGACCACGAAGCTTGAGCCGCTTTCTGAGACTGTAGCGGCAACGAACGCAGTCCATGAAGGACTAGTGGCCCTCAGCCCTGCCTCTTGGTTAAGACGAACACGAGACAAAGGGATCCGCGCGAAAGGCGAAGAAAGACAGCCATTGGAAGGGATCGGGCGGGGTAGTAATCAAGGACCGGCACGTACAAGCTCTTTTTCAGGATGCATCTGCTCCTTTCTCGTATAATACGCATTTCGGACATAATATATCGAATCATGCAATACACCGCGTGCAAGTATAGATCCTACTGAGTTACTGCACAAAGATCCGATGTCTCGCTGATTTGACACCGCTAGCGCTACATGGCTGTACTCGTGCGAACTTTGTCCCGCTAGTCAGCAGTGTCATGTACAGCCGATTCCGATGCTATTTAAGCTGTATTCGTGGTACGCATTTCACAACGGTATGACCCATGGAGATTCCCTCTCCCGACCCTTCCACTTCTCGATCCAGCCTCAAGAAATTCTATGAGGGAAGTCAGCGATAGTTCTGATGCCTTGCTCTTCCTGCAAAGACATGCGATCGCAACAACGTTTACGAGGGAGAAAATGCGCCTTCATTATGAAAGATATACCGGAGTGCTCAGTGGGCGTCTGCATCTAGATAGCCCCACTTGACATCGCGTACAGCTCCATTGTGCCAATCCTGTACACGTCTGCGAGCTAGCATGCTCACTATAATCATTATAACACCACCTTCGATGACGCTCTAAGGAGGTACTCACTAGTGCTGCGGTCAGTTCCAACAAATCCCGCGCCCATGCTCTGTATTACCGCATCGATCAATATGGGATACCTAGGAAATGTTGAGTCCAAGTTCATCTCGGTATATGGTCGAGTATTCACGCACCATTTCCCATGCATATCCACCGTTCGCAATGCTGCGTGATCAATCGGCACCCAGCCAAGCTTCTTAACATCCTGCCACCATTCCGGATCTTTCTCATCGCTAGTCATCACCACTGTGTCGACAGCCAACCCCTTGCGCTCGCGGAGCTCTGTTCGCACTTCTTCAACGCGACGTGCGACGACCGGCAGAGACGCGAAGCACTCTTCGCGGGGGACATCACCGCACCAATCCAAGAAATCATTGTGCCGCACATGGACGGAGATAAACTATCCGGTCGGGTCAAAACGCGGGATTCACAATCGAGGCTCCGAATGTAGCTGACCGGAGGGATGGTTTCCTGTTCGGGGAGCCCAAAGGTAGCGCGAAGGGAAGTCCTTGCTAGATCTTCCATTTTCGATGTCCAGCGGAAGTGCTTGACGACCTCTCGCCACATCGGAGCATAGTCTGTGTCCCATTCCCATGGCTTGAGCACAGAATCAGCGAACGCATCGTAGCGAATGAGTTCATCACGCCTACTTTGTTGAGTGTTACGTAGTATAAAAAGTCGTAGCAAAGCATATGTTCGTCCGGGTCTAGCTTGGCCTTGTGTATCGGCGAGGGTAGGATGTTACCGAGGCTCGCATTTCGCGCCTCCGGGTAAGCGAGGGGGGCAAGAGACCAGAACGTGCTGTGCTGATCGGGCCCAAAGCCTGGTAGAAGCTTAACCCAATCCGGAGCACGAGTGTAAGATATGTCTACGGGAATATGATTAAGCAACGTATCAATGAGATTGCGGAGGAAGGTTGACCTAGGTTCAACCAAGTAGGGACGTGACTATGCCTGGGGTTTTTATGTTCGTACTGGACGGCTTCCCATATGTTCCAGCAGCCGATGTCCTCTATTTCCTCGCTCTCCGGGTCTTTGATATCCCGCCATTCCAAGATAGGTCCGACAGCCTTACGCAGTCGAAGAATGTCGAATATATCTCCGAAAGGTACAGGTTGAGCGAAGCCTATGTGGCCGGAAGAAGTGAAAGGTGGAATGACAGGCACGCGGTTTGTGATCATGCCGAGGTAGATGAGGTTACCCTACAGCAAGTTGAGTTACAAAGTTGACTCGCTGCAGACGATCTACTGACATATGTCATCCTGTCCGTCAGAATATGAGATTGTGTACGATATGGCGAGACGTCAAAACAACTTACACGTCGTTCGTCCAACCCGCAGAAATCCACGAGGTGATGTACTTCGTATCATTTCGAATATTGTCCCTGAATCGCGTCGTTGGTGGTCCCAGCACGAGAAGCTGCTCTTTCACTGGCTCCATCGGTTTGCACGTATTGTCCACGTGCTGGGCATCCTGAATCCGCACGGACGAGGACAGAATTAAGAGCGACGCTAGGGACAGAAGACAGAGCAAGCAGCCCAGAGAGGCAAGTCTTCGGCGATTACTGAGCAGTGACCGAGCCGTGGAGATCCACTCGTCCGCTGAATGCGTAGGGGACGGATTTCGTCGTCGGTGCACGGATGCTTGATCCTTGTCAGCCATTGCTGGAAACAAGGAGACAATCAGACTGGAAGGGCGAGGTATAATGGACCATGCTGCAAGGGGCTCCAGGTAGATAAACGTGTTGTCGACAGATTGATGCCGGAGTAGATTGTCCGGTGGTGCCTGGAGTCAATCATCGCCCTTTTTTCACGGCGAAGCAGAAGGGGTGGAGGCGAGTGGCTGTACTCCATATCCTCTCCGATACCTCCGTCGACAAGCCATGCAATATCCTAGGGATTAATTGGTTTATTCTACACTAATACTATCCCTAATATGGTGCATAACATGTTTCGGAAGCCGAGTCGAAGCCTTAGTTATTTGCGCTTCCATACCAAAGCTAGGTAAAACAACAAACGATATACAACGTTGATGATTAGCAGTATGCCAACATAGAGTCCTACATTCATTCCTCCGAAGCCGAGCTCATCGATGAGCTGTCTTCCTGTAGTTTCTTGAGAGATGCAACCTGAGCCGGAGCAGGGCGAGGTCCACGTAAGATCATGCATATCGTTCCAGACCAGTAGGTCGAATGCATATGTTTCGTAGTCAATCCAGTGAGCCCAATAATACCAGAAGCGAGGAAGGTTGCTGGCTCGAATGAAGAAACCTTGATTGCACATCCAGAAGCTGGATGCGGTTGTCAGTTTACATGACCGAGCTGAGAACGAAGGTGCATACCCGTTAATGAAGCTCGCCAAAGCGAGCGCGGCGACGAATATCGGCGCGAAAGCGGCAACCAGGAGACTCTGCCCTTCCGCCGCATAGACCGCGAGGAAGAGATACGCAAGGAACCTGAAGAAGTGCCCTGCGCCCACGTGCAGCCCTATGCTCCAATACGCAATCACGCTGAATACCGTGCAGCATACGAACAGGAAGGGGACGCTCGTAATCGAGATGGCGACTGAATACGCGCCGGGACCGTAAAGTGCATTGTGTCGCTCGCGGAGGAAAACGCCGCGCTCTTCAAGGAAGGCTGGTATTCCGGCCACACTCATGAATCCTAGAAACGCGACGCTAAAGAAATGCACGCTGAGTCGGTCTTGGATCTTGGCTGCGTCGTGCGACCGGGCATTGTTCGCCCAAACAGTGCCTAGGAGAACGCCCATACCGACGTACATGCCTAGCCGCACACCGTAAGCGAGGAGGTTACGGGAGTAGTTGAGGGTGTTGCGTTGGCATAATAGTCCAATCGTGCGCAGCTCGTGACGCATGGAGAGGAAGAACGCGGAAGGCTTGATCAAGGTATGCTTCAACACGTGCAAATCGTCGTACAATCGAAGCTCGGTCACTGTCTTCTCTGAAAGGCTGGGGCGAGCGCTGCCCGCACTATTCTTGGACCATCGTTCGGAGAGCCAAGCGACATGCTGCTCCGCATCTGTGCTTTGATCCAGGAAGTCGGTGCTGATGGCGTCGATGGCAGTATCCGCCGGATTCGCATGTTGGGAGGTAGGATAGCCCAGGGACTCGAAGTACGTAGCCATATCAGACACAGGACCGGAGTAGGCAACACGACCCCGAGCTAAAAGCAGGGCATGGTCGAAGAGAGAGAAGGTCTGCCATGAGGGTTGATGTATAGTAGCGATAACCATGATGTTCGATGCTTTAGCCAGTCGTTTGATGGAGGATACGACCTCTTTGCTGGTAGCACTGTCTAATCCACTGTGTGCATCTACTGGTGAGTTCCTCTCTGTCGGATCCATGCAAAGGCGCTGACCTTGTCGGCTCATCCAAGAATAGGATCCTGGGTCGGGCAACGAGACTGGTGCCGATAGTGACTCGGCGCTTCTGGCCTCCACTGATGCCCCTTTGAATGGGTGTCCCGATCCTGTTGTCGGCAACGCGGCTCAAACCCAATGCCTCGAGAGTCTCTTCGACTCGCTCGCTGATAACAGCTGCGGGGGTGCCAGGCACGAAGCTCAGCTTCGCAGAGAATGCCAATGTCTCGCGAACGGTTAAGACACCGAGCAGGGCATCATCCTGCTCAACATAAGAGGAGACGTCGCGCATAGAAAACTCTGAGGAACCGTTGAGAGTGATCACCCCACGGGCACCCAGCCTGGACGAAGTCCCGAATCGTGATGATGTGCGCATGCTCAGGACGTCCAGAAAGGTCGACTTGCCCGCGCCTGACGGGCCCATGACGGCGAGCATCTCTCCGCTCGATATGCTTCCAGAGACATGGTCGAGAATGGTAATGCTCTCGTTTTTGCCCTTGGACTTGATGGTGAAGGTGAGGTCCTCCCACTCCAACCTTAAAGTCGGATTTGGAGTTGCACGGCCCTGCTACCGGCGATAGGTTAAGCCATGATGCAATGCATCTCAAGGTATGACCAGCACTCGCCTCGACGTCCATGGAGAGCCTTGAATGAGTCGGTAACAGGCATGGAATGGGCGTGCCCCGTGTTACATATATGTCGGGGATGATGCTGTGCTTGTCAACAGCAGCGCCTCGGCTAGCGTGCCCGTTTTATCCTAATCAACAATATGTTGCGGAATCAGATCTCTGACTCGGATACGGCTGCTAGATGTCCTGTCACGTCGGAGTCCGAGGCAATGGGGTTAGTACCGCATAGTGGCGCCGGGCACGGAGAGAACGGTATCACTTATTCCTGGAATGCAGCTAATGAACAGGCTGTCGCTAGTGTATCCCCCCGGCCTGACCGAAGCGTAGATTCCAAATGCCTTGGGCATGACAACGTGTCAGCTATAGAGATGAATGTTACGTTGTATGTGGGTTGAAGCAGAAGCGCAGAAGGGCGGTCACGTGCCCGTTACTGTACTAAGTTAGGAAACGCAAACGTTTCATTTTTTTTCTTCTTTCATCATTAGTCCTGTTTTCATCTACAATGTATCTCTATACATTGCGTATGAGCAGAGAATGCTTGAAGCGTGCATGCGGGCTTCATTGCAGTGAACGAAACGGCGATCTCCAGCTGCTCTGCCAACCTCTGCCACAGCGCGCTGTCGCGGTCGAGCTTCTCCTGTCGCGGACTGTATGACATCGCCGGATAGGTCACTAGAGCCGCGGGCTCAACGGGATCTTCGCTTTGACCGCAGAGTGAGTTAATCCTCAATGCCCCTCTGAAAGGTGAACTAGACCCGGTATGGTCGCACATTCCAGTTCGAACCTTCGGAATCGGCGCCGATGGGCCACCGCGGTCCCACCGCAAGGCCGGTTTCCGTCCAGGTTTCATCGGAGCTCGCGCTCCCTGCGCACTCCAACGAGCACGCATATTGCATTTTTATGCTATACCACCGCTGAGTAGTTAATAAAGAGATGAGAACGGGCGGGCTGCGAAAACATCGCATAATTCCGAGCTGGGCGTTCAATGCTTGGCTGCTTCGTCACAGCCTCGTTGTTTCGCGCCACACTATGCCTGGGTCTACCGTTCCCTGATTCCAACAAGTTACAAGCCAAGCGAGGATTGAGTCGACGAACCGACCCCCTTCCAATTTTAAATCAGAGAAAGGCGGGCTCCGCACGTGACTGCACGCCTCTGTTCTCCCCGCCACTTTGTTCCCGTCGCGCGTCGCGCTGAACGCCTCCAAGTTCGAAGGGCGTGCACAAATCCCGCGTTGACAGATATCTGCCTCTCGACTATAACAGCGGAAATACACGGGAGACGTCTGAGGTGATACTTCTATCATTCGCAACATTGAAAACATTACCGACCTCCGCCGTGGACACGTTTGCGGCGTAGTTTCAACGTCCTCCGAGCGCGTCTGAACACCAATGTCCGCGGAGTCGTCGAGCAGGCGGTCGAATCTCATTGATGTGTGAGTATCCTTTGGGGTTTCTCTTCGCGTCGGCTCAGATCGTCTAGCACCTATCAGCAGCTGCACTCCATCTTAACTGGCCATGCAGAAGGCATCAGCCCCGACCACACACTTGCTATCCTTCGACCAAGGATTGAAAGGCTGCAGAACATAGTCGAACCTTTTGGTACACCCTCTGAGGCGTCGAAGAAGAAGGTCAACAGCGGCACGGTTACACTCGCGGACGGTGTGGACGTGCAAGTCGAGGATGCAGACAAAGAATTTGTCTTTGCCATCAGCGACAGGTTCAACATCGATCAGGTGGAAGCGCTCGTCCTCCTCCGATCATTTCTCTACAACGAAGGCTTACCAGCGCAAGCCGGCACGGACTCCACATCATCCCTGGTCGAGGAGTTAGTGGAAGCTATAACCCCCTTCTATCACTCGGAGCGACTCTCCCTCTTACGGACCATCATCCCACTTTTCCGCGCCCATGACGACGATACCTCTCCCTTCTTCGATGTTGCTGGTGAAGTTGTCCCAAAAATCGTGACGGATGGTCAGACCTGGGCCGACTCTCTCGTGACCGAATATGGCCGCAAAACTCAAGCATCTCCTCCCGATGCCCTCTCTTCCGATCCTCGAGGGGCATCTAGATGGTCCAAACAGAATTTGCGCGAGCAGATCGTCGTCCTCGAAATCCTCTTCTGGACCATGTGGAGCTACGTCTCATGCGTCGGCCCCTTAGTAGTGCGCATCTTCGAGATGGCATACACGACAAGTCTCGGTGGTGCATTGCAAGACACTACCCTGGTCCTGGACGAGGAGGGCTTGCAGCTCCAGCAAGATGCCAAGGCGCTGTGGATCCTGATCATGCTCGAGGTACTGGAACTTGAACGGGTTGCCGATCCATCAGAATTGGAGGTCTCCACGGATCCCGCCGATCCAAGCTTTTATGCCCACGATCCGCAATCATTAACGCAGCTCCACGAACTCCTCACCTCCTCAGGCCACCCTCAGTATTCTTGCATCTACATGGCTTGGTCGTTCGTACTGTCACGGCTATCGGAAAAGGTGGCGGTAGCCAAGGAAGTGCCGGAACGATATCGTGCGTTCTTTGAATCGGTCAGACAGAAGCTCGGCAGTCGTTACACGGACCGAGAGCCCGTTCACATACTCATGGCACGGAGGGCACTGGGTCCTGATGTGGGCCTCTTCCAGCTCATGCTAGATATGCTCCTTATGTCCCCCTTATTTGTGACATCAATTGCATGGAGAACGGGATCCACGGTGACTGACCCGAATGCCGTTGCATTCCGCTCAGTGCTCAAGGGTACGTTTGTCGATCCTCCCCTGTACCCAATCTTGACACCTACCATCAGGTTTGTTAATCGCCATCCTGGAGCTGGTACCAGTAGAACTCATGCCTGACTTCGACGCCCTTGTGGAAGTCTGGGTGGCTCTCTTCGGTCGCAGCGAGCCTCAGTCCGTTGCAGGAATCTGTAGGCAGTTCTGGCAGGTCGATTGGCATACTGGAAACGCACGTCGGGCTATTTTAGACGTGGCTCGCGCCAGGTTCCCTATACAATCTCGCCCACTGATACGTTTACTACGGTCGATGACTGCGAGCGGATTTCTGGATACGGATCCTCTCTCCACGGGCGACGTTGCCGAAGGCACCATGGACGAGGAGCGCGAAATATGCGACCAGCACGTCTTTTACTACCTTGACAAGCTACCCACCTTTACTCAGGCCATCCCGATAAGCGCATGCACGGGTCCAAATGCTTTGTTCGAGAAGGCTCCAGACCGTTACAAGGATGGAAACCGTCCTGCAGGACTAAAGTACACAAACACACGGTCTTTGAGGCTTCCGGGAGGATCAGTGCTGCCCGCGAAATCCGTGGGACGGCTCTTGAGCGGCGATGGTGGCGATGTCATCATCGTGGCATGGCAGCACGAACACTCCGGGTGGAAGCTGCTGCTGGAGATCCTGACTGACTACGTCCACCGGAAGCGACCATTTCCCGGCTCACGTGGACCAGCTGAAGCGTCAACCCTGCGGCGAGGCAAACCGGACGGCCAACCTCTCCCTTTGCGATTGGAAGATGTCGGTTTAGAGCACGACGAAGACGGCGATGAGGCTCTGGTGACTGACGCCCTCGACCTGATTCGCAGCGTCATACGCGACGAGCCCGTGCTTGCCGAACAGCTCCTGCAGTCGATGGAGGCTGGCGAACCGGTCGTTGCGCACACGATGTCTGAAGCACAACCGCCAGATCTGGTGCAGTTAGCCGCCATGATCCTCGAAGAAGCGTTCTCTCGTTCGGCGTCCCAACGGAGAGTCGCGCCGAGGACAAATCTAATCACATCCGCCATGAGCATCCTTTCCGAGCTGCTCGCCTTGCCGAAGTACTCGAACAGGGTCTGGCTATACATCCGGTCCACAGCAATCCTCTTTGGGTCCGATCGTGCCTCTGGATCCACCTCAAGCATCTTAGCCGCGGAACGTATCACCGGTCACTATACCATGACTTTGGCCCTCCTCCACTTGGTGCAGCACCTATTCTATGAAGCATCATCTTCGCTGCTCCCTGTGGTTGCGGAGAACTCGCGATTGCAGACGATCAAGGAGGAGGTGTTACTTCGTGCTACACGTTTCGTACATGCCGAGATTTGGGTGGAGCATTCTGGATGGAAGTACGTTCATCTCGGAGATCGCTTCGAAATCGGACGCCGCATCTCCGTCTTGTACACCGAGGTCCTGAAGCAATCACCAAGTGGTATGGATCAGCCCTTCGCGACCCTCCGATTGGCGATAGTAGAAGCTTTGTTGTCCAAAGCAACGCCTTCCACCATTGGACCGTTGGTCAATATCATATCGTCTGCGAGCCCGATGCTAACCGCGCTCTACGCGTCACGTCGATACGGTGATGCGAGGCGTTTGATCTTCCTCCTTGAAGCGCATCTTCGCCTCATACGGACCCTGCTAGAGCATAGGAGCATGATCCCCGACTTCAAAGGTGTATCGCTCTTAGAGCAACTCCTGTGTGCAAGAGGGCCTGCGAATGGACTGTCGCTGAACGGCGCGCGTGCCCAGGTAGATCACATCGAAACGCTGGCCTCCTATATCAAGGACCGCGGCATGGGCAATGTCACCCCTTTGGAGGCGACCCGGGTCTTGCACACTCTATGCGCGTCCCTGGCGTCGTCTTTCAACACCCCTACGATCGTAGGCCACCTTTCGAATCCGGAAGCCACAGTCGCGTCCTTCGTTCGCATCGTCCAGCACCCCTACGACGATTTAGCTCTCCGTACATCATTGTGGGACTTTATGGCCATGGCCGTCGATAAGGAGCCCGCATTAGCAGGTCTTTTCATCCACGGGGAATTCCGCATACCTGATGTCAAAGGAAAAGGGAAGGCAGTCCCTGACCAAACCAAAAACTCCCCTGTCAGTGCCCTTGACACGGCTTTGGATATGCTTGGTCAATGGAAGGAACTGTGGAATCTCAATCCTCAGATATTGGCGTCGGTTCTTCGCTTCATAGTTGCCGTATGGCAGCATGGGATGGAACACCAGTCGGCCTTAGAATCCAGGCGGAAGGATGCTGAATTGTGGGCCTGCCTCGCTGCCATTGCTCAAGAGGATCTCGGCCCTGCTCCTGATTATCAATCAGAGAGCTGGATCAACGATGACGGTGTCCGACATTCTCCTTTACATGACGCTGTCTCGTCTCATGCCTACCATACGATCACGAAGTCGCGCGCTCTCCATATCATCGGCCTTGATGTTGACATGCACCTGCAGTTGCGCGATCGCAAGGACCAAATCCCTGACAGACCGGCAAGCTACCAGGCCATTGAAGGCTGTTTCAAAGACGAGGATCAGTTTACAGATTGCGTGCTGGAAGCTGCAGCCTCCCCGTACGATCCAGGGCTCTATGACAAATTCATCGAGGATGCCAAGGCGCGATATGGACATCTATCGCTCAGACAACTTCAGAATCAAACGCCCCTTGTGGAACATGAATACGGTGACGATTACATGTTTTCCATACCTCTTCTACAGCGGCGGCTCATACCGTATCGCCTCGTCGATGAGGTCCAAGCGCAAGAAGCTGACGAACTAGAGCGCATTCTCGCATCCATTAACCTCAATCTCTCCCTTACAAACGCCCAGTCCTGTTTGACCGAGTCATGGCAGTATCTGCTCCTGCGGGTCGTTCCTTTCTTGCGCGGGCAAGCTTCCACACGGAAAGTGGTTCTGACATTGGCAGTGTCCATTTCGGGAAATATTGCCTCGGATAGTCGCTCTGGTGACATGATGGCAGCTATACACGGACAACGGTTGTCCCTACTCCTGGCGATGTTGGAAGTCGCTTGGTTCTCAACAACAGACACGGCCGACGAAATCCAACATTTCACCGATGTCGTGCAGAACCTCCGTGATATAATTGTCAGCGATGCCCAGTCCCCTGCTAAGGCGGTCATCGGCAGGGTACCTATACCCTTCCACAAGCCCCTACTGCAGATCATATACTTCTGTGTTCGCCATTGTCGTGCATTGATTCGTCGGCCGAAGGCTTTGAACGCCCAGCAGCGGCTGATCTTCGCATCTACCGTGGACATCGCGTTGGTCTTCACGGTTGACGCTCTCCGATGCGTTTTTGAAGCTGCCAGGAGCCGTCTAGATCTGGAACTGGACCAGGACCTGGAGTTGCTCGTGGCGGTTTTTGAACAGTGCACCCGGACAGACATCACACCCTCTGCTGCCATGTGGCTTGCTCGATGCCAGGAGTCGGACGTCGTACGGTGCAGCATGGAGCTCTTCGTTCACAGCGATATCGCGGGCCTTGCGGATCTGGAGTTGCTTCGGGTGCACAGGAGGCCGTTATACTCTCTTCCGGTCCTCATGTTTCACCTTGCGCTTGCCAGTATACCCGCAGCCGCAGAAAAGCTAGCGAGTGAGGGCGTGTTGGTAGCGTACAGCAACAACAGCATAAGCTCTTCAATAAGCTCAGGCTCTGTGGAAGTATCGCTGCCGGAGTTACCCGGTGAACGCAGCCCCGCACACGAAGCCTACTGCACCATGCTCGCCATCGTCTCGGGAGTCGTCGGTACGCTCGGCCGACAACACCACTTCTTTGACGCAGAAGCGAGCGGGCTCGTTCAACTCTACGGCGGACAGATATCCCGCGCTCTGTCATGGTCGGTCGGCGATGCCCTCACCATGCCACTTGTCGAGGAGATGGAACAGGTCGTAGAACTCTTCTCCGCCATCGCCGACAGTACGCCGCACTCCGCAACCTCCGGCACCGCGGCAGAGAAGGTGCTGAAGGCATTTGCCTCACATGCATTATTCCTTCTGCAGCAACTCACGTATGCGTTGACGCACCCCAACCAACTTGCGGGCAGCCTGGAGCCGATAAGCGCGGAGGAGCGATCCATGCTTGAACAAGACTCGCGGGACACGTCGTCCTCGACGCTAATCGTCAATCCTGCGAGACGTCCGTTCCTGGCACGCGTGATCCATCGGTTATACGGGCTGTCGAGCACCATCCTCGCCACATTACTGAGCATTACGCACGCGGAAGACGTTCTCATTGGCGATGAGGAGGATTGGCCAATACATATGGCATTGGCAGCGCCGGTGAGTCTTCAGTCCTGTAGATCCGATGATATGACTAAAGTTGACATCCTTTCAGCATACAAAGGTCATCCCGGGCGAGCCTGCCTCTATGGGTACTCTCCTAGAACTGGGCAACGCCTCGCTCGACGTGCTTCGTCACCTTTCGAATCAACCGGTGGGACAAGCCATCTCGCCTGCCGCGTCAACATCGCCGCTCAGCAAGCCCCTGGACGTGGGAGACGCGATGTCGACCGCGGCCCGTAACCTTGAAAACGTCCTCGTCTTCGCGGTAACGCAATTTGCGATGTGGCTCGCGCGGCCGAACGCGGACGAGCTCGGCGAACGCGAGATGCAGGTGGAGGACTTTGGCGGGAGCGATGAGCAGCGGTCGGAGAGGGAGCGCCGGGCGGCTCGGCGGACCTCGCTAACGCTTGCGGAGAGGATGAGGCGGGGGATGACGGGCGAGATGGCGGGTGATCTGCAAGCGCTGTTGGGCAAGGTCAAGCCGCTGCTGGAGAAGACAAGGACCGCGCTTAAGACGGATAAGGAGGACGTGGACTTGACGGATATACTCGTCACATTCCTTCACGATCGGATGCTGGTGGCTTCGCAAAGTGTATGAAAAAGTATGATAATAGTTGTTACATTTGTACACGATAAATACTAGTTGCTCTGTACCCGTTTTATGTCGGACCCGCCTGACGAGTCCATGTTGCCGTGCACGAAGATGTCTTGCCCGTGGGAACCTCATGGATTTGGCCAGCGCGTCAGGACATCCGCTCCTGTCTCTGTGATGAGGACCATATGCTCGAATTGGGCACTTCTTGCGCAGTTCTGGTGATTTCGTGGAGAATTAGCAAGCTAATTTGAGATTATGACAGGGGAAAGGACTCGCCACAGTTGAACTGTAAGGGAGGATCCAAACACGAGTCATCAGCGCTTACAACGACCGGTTGGGACGATCCTTACGTTGTCCACCCGTCCGGCCACATGAATGCCTCTGTGTTCGTACCTTGTATCAGGCATGGCTGCGGCGACACGTCAACCGTTGGTTCGGGTGGGGCAGCGCTCCTGACGCACCTCTATGGTGAAGCATTGTCCGGGAAGCATCACGCCCGGCTCCTCATTGACTATCGTCGCGACGCCGGTGTCAAATAATGCGGCATGTCTGGACGAGACCATGAGGCGGCTCACCGGTGTGGTGTATCCACGGTGGCCGATGGAAAACGGAACCGATACCGTGCCCGGTGAACATCTGGCTGATTGAGTACCCGCGTCGACGAGCGACGTCGTCTATGGCGCGTCCGATGGCCTTGTATGGCACATGCGGTCCACAGACAGATATGCCCGCATGAAGGGCATCTAGAGAGGTCTTGACGAGGTTGCGGCCCTTGTCGTCCTAAAACGTGCTGTAAGTATACGCAGAGACCACAGGACCGGATCACGCACGACATCGCCAACGAGGAAAGTGCGAGAGGTGTCGCCGTGCATTCCATTCTTGTACACCGTGATGTCGATGTTGATGATATCGCCATTCTCAAGCTCTCGGCTGCATTTGGCGATGAGAACGGTCGGGGATGTGCATCGAGAAAGATATAACCCACTCGTCGGGTATGCCATGCGCGATAATGTTGTTCACGCTCGTGCAACAGGACTTGGGGAAGCCAGAGTATGTCAAAGGGGATGGGTACGCGCCCTGCGACAGAATGTATTCGTGCACTCTGGCGTCGATCTCGGCCGTGGTGACGCCTACCTACGACTCGCCCGTTTAACCCCTGCGATACGAGTTGCAGAGGCGCACGCATCGCATTCACCTCTACCAGGCTTCCGGCCCAGTCTAGAACTTTCGCAGCCAGCGCTGCCGACTCTCTTAGCCTCCTCGCGTCGTCGCCGTGTAGGTCCATCCTCCCGTGGCCCTGGTACGTGACTTGGCGTGGGTTGTTCACGTATGGAGGGATGGAACTGGGTGGCAGAGCAAGCGGAGGGGTGGGCTTGGGAGCGTTGTGCACGTCCCAATTGTAAGGCTCCGGAGGAAATACCACTGAGAAAGATCCAAAGTCTTCGGCCGCCAGGGAGTCTATGTCGTCGAACTCCGGGTCGTGTACGAGCTTGCGCGGAGGGGCGGGCGACGAGGAGACGAGGCGTGCATGCTGAGGCCGGCGGATAAGGGACTTTGCAGTAGCCTTGGGAGATGCGAGCGACGGAGCGCAGTGGGTTGTTGCGAGTCGGCGGCACCGCTGGAGGATCGCTCTCTGCATCTCGAGGGCGGGTGTTCAACAAGCTCAAGCCCTAACCCGAGGATGGGGGCACAAACGAATCGTGCATGGCACCGCCACCACAATCGCATCCTGTGGCAAATCTTCAGCATGCATCAGCCGAGCTTGCTGCTGAACAATCCACAAGCCTGCCCGTCTCAGGGCTGTCGCAGGACAGAGCGAGATGTTGCCGGCTGAAGAAGCGTTGCTGACCGGACGATGGTCTTCGGACAAGGAGAAAAGCGATCGTTCGACTACCGGCGCTGCCCTTGCCAAACTCGTGGTCGAAGGCGCTTTCCGTGAAGCCCTCACATCTGACGCCGCAAAATCCGTCTTGAAGGTCCCTCATGACTCTCATCTCAGCAATCCAATGTCTACCTGGTTTTCTGCCACCTCGGTCAACGCTGATGACGAGCTTCTACGACTCTCTGTCGCGGTTGCCTGCCTACACGCCTTCGTACAAGTCAATTGGACAGGCCCCGATCTGTCCATTCGTCCCACCGGTGTCCTAAACATCAGCGAGCGCATAGGAGAGGATGCTCTCAACCGCCTCGCCATAATGGAGCTGGCATATAGCGGCGAACCGGCGTATCATCTTGCGCAAGACGCGACGTTCCTCCGAATAGCCCAGATCCTGCTTGACTTTCCCTTCCAACACTGCGAGAGTGCCCCTTGGTGGCGCCTCCGCGCGTTCAACGTACACGAACAGGTTCTCGACGAGGCCGTTGCCCCCCCACCCTCCATTTCCTCCAACGTCAAAGAGCTCCTCCCCAACATCGCCGATCCGGATCTAAAAGCGCGCCTGCTTCTCGAACACGGTTTATTGCAACACCATTGCGCGAACGATCGTGATGCAGCAGATCGTTTCGTCGAAGCCGCGCAATCGACTGGAATGGAGTACGAGCTCACAGGTGCACTGGGAAAACGTACCAAGTTCCAGCAGATGGACGTCACGCAGCTGATCCTCCTCGCTGAAAGCCGAAAGCGAACTGACGCCCCCGAGCCCAACTCATCCACTGTATCCGAACCAAACGGCTCCTCATCCGGCACCGCACACGACCACATGCCGGAGACGCTCGCGCTCAACGACGACACCCTCCTCGAACACACCCAATTCACCGCCTCTCACTCCGCCGCCTCGAGCTCACGCCTCGCGCACCTTGATCCCGCAAACCAGCCCGCGCTCGACCCACTGGACCAGTGCATCCTCCTTTCCCTGTGCCTCAACGTCCGCAACACCTCCCCCGCGCACGGTCTCACGCAGGAGCAGATGGCACCTTACGTAGCCCGCGTGATCTCGCATCCTCGCAATTGGTCTGTGCACACTATGGCGCTCCTGCTCCGTTCGCGGCTTGAGAGCGGACGAACGCGGTTGGTTGAGCGCTCCGTGCTTCAGCTGCAGGCGCTCGTCGATCAGATGCCGACCACGGACGCGCCGTTGAGCGAGCGCCTGCTTTACTTTCACGATATCCCGCTTCCGTCCAAGTGGGAGCTAGAGCGTGAGCTGGCGACGCGGTTCCTCGAGCTTGGCGTCGTGCGTTCCGCGCTTGAGATATTTGAACGGCTAGAGATGTGGGAGGAGGTGGTCAAATGCTGGCAGGCGATGGAGCGCCACGACAAAGCAATCAAGATCGTGCGAGACTTGCTCGAGGGTAGGAAGGCGGAGGCCGACGTGGTCTTGGCAAGGAGCAAGGAGGGCACGTCGGGGACGAAGAGACAAGCCATGGATTCCGCTAGGGAGGCCAAGTTGTGGTGCATCCTCGGGGACCTCGAACCTGATCGTGCCGAAGAACATTACATGAAAGCATGGACGGTCTCTGGTGAGACCTCTGGTCGGGCGATGAGGTCGCTCGGCGGGTACCACTTTGCCCGAGCCCGCTTTGCAGAGGCTGTGTCGTGCTTGAAACGCGCGGTCAAGATCAACCCACTCCTCTCCCGCTCCTGGTTCGTTCTTGGCTGTGCGTGCGTCAGGCTGGAGGACTGGGAAGGTGCACGGGAGGCCTTCACGCGTTGTGTCTCCATCGACGACGAAGACTCGGAGAGCTGGAATAATCTGGCGAGCGTGTACCTCCGCATGGGCGAAATAGGGAAAAAGGTCGATGTTGACGAAGAAGACGACGAGGAAAATGTAGGCCGTTCTGAAATCGTGCGCCTTTCACGGACTGAAGTACCTCCCAGCTTGCATCCCAGGTTAACGATATCACTGTTACTTCGAAGGAGGGTAACGAGAAAGCGCATGTCTCTGTACCCTTTGCCAACAAACAACTTGCTTTCCGCGCGCTCCAGCAGGGCGTCAAGCGCAGCTACGACAATTGGCGGATGTGGAACAACTATATGATCGTCGCCGTCGATGTCGGCGAGCTCTCCGAAGCCTGTCGCGCTCTTGGGAGAGTTATCGAGGAGAGGTCGTCTCGGTCCCAGAATGAGAGTGACGGCGCCTACGCCGAGTCGTACGTGGACGAAGACGTGCTGGACCGTCTGGTCGATGCCGTTACCCGTGCGCCAGCTAATCCCGACGACGCAGTGGAAGGCGAGGGCACAGCGCGCGACGCCGCGCTGAACCCGAACGAGGGCCACGGCCTTTACAAGCGCGTGCTCGACCTCTTCGACCGGATTGTCCTCCCCCGTGTCTCTTCCCCGCGAGTCTTTCGCGCCTACGCTCGGCTCCTCACCTGGCAATCGCATTGGGTGGACGCGCTCAAGGCGTACATGGACGCGTACCGATGCGGCGTTGCGGGCACGTGGGAACGCGGCGAGGAGGATTTGCGAAAGTGGCGCGAAGCCGTGAGCGAGGTCGAGGAGATTGTCGACGTGCTCCGCAATTTTGGGCCGAGGGCGGAGGAGGGGCTGAACTGGCGGTCGCAGGCGAGGAGCGTTGTTAGGACGTTCATGGGCAAAACGAAGGACTTCGAGGACCAGCCTGAGTGGCAGCAGCTGGTGGACCTGCAGGAGGAGCTTAAGAAAGCCTCAGATTCTTGAGCCTGTTGGACATCCACGCGTTTCGCTGACATGAGTGTATCTCACCTGTATGTATGTATCCATGATATACAGAAGATCATTTTGCACGCGCTTTCCCACGCCCTAGTCCTCTGTGTTGCGTTCCAGCATACTTGCATCCGGGTTTCCCAGCTCTTCAAGCTTCAGGGTGCGACGCTCCGACTTTGCGTCTTGGAAAGCATGTCTTCTACAGACGCAGGATCTTCAAAAAGGACCGCAGAAGAGGATGTCATGAGAGCCTCCGTATTCCAGCGGCTTCATCCGCGCGCATACCTCGAGCGCTTTCTCGCAGAGGGCATTCGACCTGACGGACGCGATCCGGGCGCGTTTCGCGATGTGACCATTAATGTGGGTACGTCGCACCCGGCGATACTGCGCATCCTGGAACCAATAAACTGTTCAGGCTCGATTTCGACGGCGGATGGCTCGGCACTCGTCCGCCTCGGCGACACTACCATCGTTTGCGGTGTCAAAGCCGAGATCGCTGAGCCGGATCTAAACTCGCCTTCAGCCGGTTTCCTCGTTCCTAATATAGACTTGCCTGCCATTTGCTCGCCCAAATTCAAGCCTGGCCCACCGAGCGAGGAGGCACAAGTTCTTTCAGAAAAGTTTAACGATATACTGACCCTGTGAGTTCGCGTGTCGCACACCGAACGATGCTGATACATGACGTTCCAGCTCTGGCTTGTTACCGCTAGAGTCGCTATGCATACATCCAGGGAAATCTTGTTGGGTGCTCTACGTGGACGCCACATGTATAAACTACGATGGAAATGCTTTCGATGCGGCGCTTATAGCGATGGTCTCCGCCTTAAAAGACAGTCAGTGTCTGTTCCCCTGATCAATACTGGTCCTGTTTCGGCGATGCTGACGGAGATTGCAGCTTCTTTACCGAAGGCATCGTATGACGAAGATTCCGGTCGGACGACTTGCTCTCGTTCAGAAGCGATGCCGCTTCCTCTCAGGCAGCCGCCCGTCCCAGTTTCCTTCGGCCTTTTCAACTCGTGCGTATATGCATTCACACGTGTCGTGTTTCTTTTGCCAATTTCATCATGCGATCTTCATCGGATGCTGCATTCACTGCTCACAGGAACCATCTTCTGGCCGATCCCACATCTTTCGAAGAACCATTACTGGATACCACCATCACTGTCATACACAATGACATCGGAGAACTGGTTAACGTCACACAGCTTGGCTTAGCTAGCGACAGTATACTCAGCAGCTGTATCGATGCTGCTAAAGCGCGGAGTAAAGCTTTGTGCGATCAAATATACGCATGACCAAGGATGAGATCGACCGCAGGGTATATTACACCAGTGGTAGGAATGAGAGGTAGGCCATACTACTCTAAGATAGAGCATTGCGTATACTACAATAGACTCTAAGCGCGAATACGATATGCATTAAATTAAACAGGAATCTGCGATGACGAGACGAGTGTAATAGATTCTAGACGGCGCTCCTCCCCTGCTGGCCCCTCTTCGACACGAACCCCTCAATCATGTTCATCATATTGCCCAGACCTTGCGTTTCCGGTAACCACTCCCCGTTGTTAACGCAAAGAACCTTCATCAATTTGTGGTAGCGAAGCCCTGCAAGCAGCTTCGGTGTGATCAAGAAGTACTGCGCGGCGTCTGGGCGGCAGGTGGTCTCCACCATCTGATTGTGGACCATCTTCTCGTTCCGTGCGTCCATGCCTTGGTTTATCTCGTCAACGAGGGAGAAGGGCGCGCGAGCTTCCTCGGTCAGGGAAAGGAGGTAAAGAATAGTCGTCAGGGAGCGTTCCTAACCAAGTCACAATTTGTGGTGTGAGCTGTGACCACTTAACCCGAAGAGACGGAAGGGAACGTACACCACCAGATTGCCGCTGTGCAGTGAGCAGTTGTAACTTCTCATTGTCACGGAACTTGACCAGGATGTCAATAGCCCACTTGGAGTAGTCATCGTCCGGCGTGACCTTCACTTCGCCAGCGCAACCGATGCCTGCAACCGCCACCGTGATATAGGTATCCGTGTGAGGGATGAGAAATTGCAATGTACGTACGATCGAAGGCAGCCGAGAATTTCTTGCCAATGCTGGCCACGAGCCGCTGTAGTGCAGGTTCCCAGCTTTCCTAGAGATCCGCAGTTCATTAGCGCCGCTGCAAACGTGCAACGATGGTAGCATACACGGGCGTGCTTGATGTCTCGCTCGAGCTTCGTTGCCTGCTTCTCTTTCTGCTCGATGATTTTCGAGAGGCTCTCGATCTCTTTCTTGCGTCTCTCGTATTGATCAACGATACCGGGGTTGGTGGTGACGTAGAGCTCCAGCTGAGCATTTTGCGTGTCCAGTTCCTGGAGAACTTCCTCGCACGTCTTTCGTTGGGCAGCCTGTTCTATGTTAGCAAATGGCTAACCGAGAAGAGGTCCTATGACTGACATTCTCGTAGACGGCAAATTGCCCTCGTAGTTCGTCATCGGCTTCGTCGAGCTTTCGACGACTGAAGTCCAGCCTCTCCTTGGACACCCGTTTAGCGGCCTCGTATGCCATATTGGCTGTGGACATATCTCATATCGTGAATCGAACCCAACATCCACAATTGCACTAACCTTCGTTGTACGCATTTTGGGTATGTTTCAGCTCCTGGTCCTTCTCGCTGATCATCTCGGACAGCGCGGCAAGGTTTGCACCAATTTGTATATATTCCAGCCCAAGGCGCGTGGCTTCGGTTTGCTCCTGATTCGCCGCGCGCACATATTTCTGTAACTGGGTCAGCGATCGACTTGCAAAATAGTGCTGCATCGAACGTACGATGTACTCCTTGACCAGTCGGACCCGATTCTTGGTAACCCGCATGAGCCTTTTCCTCAGATCGGCGCGCTTATCGTCCATGCTGGGTTGCTCGAGCAGCTCTGCAAGCCTGCCTTCCTGGATGGCTGCGTTTAAATGTTGGTCAGTAGGTTTATCACTAACCACTTAGGATGTATCGCCAACCTTTCATTTTCTTGTTCCTCTCCAGACGACTTTGAGCTTCGAGAATGGCCCTCTTGCGCTTGGTGAGGTCGTCCTGCGATCCACGCCTCATCAACGGATCGTGCTTATCGGTATCAGAATAGAGAACTCACGAGCTTCTTTTGCAAAGCCGCCATCTGCATGCGGATCTCTCGTTCCTCTTCTGTAAGCTTAGCTGTTTTCTTCTCGACCTCTTTCAAAGCCTCCTGTGCCATCTGGATTCGCTCCTCAAGACCACGTTTAATCGCCGGGTCAACTGTTGCCGATCAGTATGAGCGATACACTCTTTCTCGATGATGTGATAAACGCACCCGCAGCAATCACCAGATTTCGAGCATCCCTGACCTCACGGGTCATGTTTTGCGCTGCACGTTTACCGTAACGAGATCGCGAAACCTGATTCATGGTCCTGCCGATGACATAGTTTGCTCCGCCGCTGCCGCCACCAGGAAGAATCCTCGCAGCCGCTTCCATGGCCGCTTTAGAGTCGACTTTGCTAGGATCGAGCGCGATGGCCTTCGATCGAGAATGAGACGTTGCCAAGCACCGAGATTGTGCGATCATACCATGCGATGAAGGTTGAGTTCCTTCTTGAGATACCACAGCATTCCGTCTGGGCATTGTATCTTGTCCAATGCATAGCAGTCGAAGTTCAACTGCGAAAGCTAGAACAACCATAAGAGCATTGCCTTAGGTGAGTACCACAAATATTACCTCTTCGGGGCTCATCGGAGGGGGCGCCAGTGTACCCTCATCCTTTGGTCGGAACCAAACACTAATGCGTGCCCGGCGGCCGAGTGCCTCGGTCGTATCGTTGATGAAATGGTTAAGAGTCCGCATATCCTCTTCGCATTGGCACACGAATGTCTTAGGCAGTTTGAGCGTCCATGCGGTAGAGCATCGAGAGCTGGCGCACCTGCAGCTGCATGTTTGAGAAGTTCGCCTCGATGGCATGTACAAATCGCGTGTCGGGAACAGTGACGTTCATATATGCCGGCTCCAACACCTCCAACTTGAACTTGTCCTGGTTGTTTCTCAACCATCTTACAGCATCTGCACAATCTCTGTTCCACTTTTCGAGGGTTTTCAACTTGACATGAGCTTGATTATCCAGCTCTTGTAGACTAAAGGATGGGCTCGTGAACTCCATGAGGTTGTATAGCAAAATGGAGCTCACCGCTTGAAGGCGTCGGTCCTGTCCGCTTGGTGAGTACCCGCCTCGCGAGAGTGGACGGCCTGCCGATCTTGCAAATCGGCATGTTTCGCTTTGACCGCAGTAGTATCTTGGGTGACAGCCCGCTGCGCATCCAGTCAGAGAGTTGACGTCTGCTGAGATCGATCATGCGCACTATCTGTTCTTGGATTGCGTCCATATCCTCGACCTCTGGAGGATTATCGATGGACTGCTGAAGGTGGCGGATTTGCTTTTCCAAATCCTGTATTTTCTTTACGCGAGCCTTCTCCTCTCTTTTCAAGGAGGAGAGTTCTTGTTGGATGTTTTCCGCCTCTTCACCCTGGTCAGAAAAAGCTCATGAGAGCAATCATAAAGCAGATGCATGTCAACGCGCACAAGCTTCTCATTTTCGTCCCACTTCTTGCCCATCTCTTTGAACTGCTTTTGAACCTTCTTCTTCTGCTCATCTCGTTCCTTGCCATACTGGTTGTACTGCTTCGTCAGTTCCCTAGGTGGTAGTTCAGGTGACAGCACGGGCAAGAGGGGAAGCGCGGCTACATACGCCTTGAATGCGTTTGCAGGCTTATGCTTATCTGAAAGAGTCTTCAACTTGTTGTGGAGTGCCCGTTGAACATCTTTCGCTGCCAAGTATGCCTCCTTCGCCTCAATGTACTGGACGAATGGCAGCAAAAGCTCGAGCAATCTGATCTGCCGTTGACTATGAGTTTCTGCATGCGAACGTGAGAACGTTCGATGACCAACGTTTTTTTCGATCTCCTTGCGCTGGTGATATCTTTCTACTTGCGATTCGAGGGCGAGATTGCGCTCCTCCATCGTCTTAAGATGCTCCTTGTCCGCTTTCAGATCCTGCGCCGTTGAACCTTAGCAGTAAGTCACGGCATGCCGGCACACACAAACCTCCTGAAGTAGAGAAAGATCCTTCCCGGCTTGTATGAGAGTGTCGTGCCACGCCGTGAGTCTCTCGTCGCCGGCACAACGTTCCGTCTCGCGCAGCAGCTGCTGAGGCGACATACGGGCGAACTCGGACACTCGGTCTTGCGGTAAGAAAGAACTGTCTTCTGTCAGTGAAGGGCCTTGCAGATGACAGAGAGAACATTACCAGAGGTTGCCAACTTGAATGTTCAGCTCCGCTATACGTTCGCTCACTTCCTTTCCGGTGGCGCTTACACCGTTGAGTGTGAAGCTACTACTCTTGGATTTCGCTTTAAGATTTCTGCGAATGACGATGTTGTCTTCGCCAGGCGGGGCTCGGAGTTCAATCTCGATATAGCCCTCTGTATGGCCGTTCTTGACGAACGCGCCAATCTCCGTTGCCCGTCCAAGTACCTTATTAACAATGTAAGTATAGAAATGGGATCAACTATAGACTGTGTCACGTACACTCGGGGGGAAATTCAAGCCGAGGCAAAGGGCGCAGGCTATGCTACTCTTGCCGGTGCCATTGGGCCCAAAAATCATGTTCAGATATGGTCCAGGGTGGAACTCCACGAAGTCGTATGTCACAAAATTGTGGAGTTTAACGCGTACGATCGAGCCCGGGATGTACCTGTGTTGTACAACCATGCCTCGAAATCACACGTCAATTCTAGAGTAAAGCGATTCCACATACCCGTCCTCGCGTCGAGGGAGCGTGACGCGACGCGGTTTGACCTCCACTTTCTCGAGTTTCGTCTCGGACGCGTCGCCCTCCTCGCTTACGCGCGCGCGTTTGCGGCTCCGTGGAGACTCGTCCTCATCTTCATCTTCCGGAATGTCACCTACGTAGTCTTCAGTGCGCTGTGTCAGACTGCCGTCATCTGCCGGGTCCCCATTGCTATCCTGCTCGTCAAGATCGCGTCTACTCGGCTGGGCGGTCTTCTTCTCGGACTTGACCTTCTCCGCCTTGACCTGCGTCAAGGGTGGTGCTGAGTTTTCTTTGAGTGAGTCGCTGTCCTTTGCTGCCGATGACTGGCCCCTGCGCGAACCCCGAGCCATATCCAAGGTCGATAACGCTTTGAGGATGGAAGGGAACAGAAAGAGGGGGTGGCTTATTGCACCCGGTCACATGTCTTTCACGTCTCACCTGCGCGTCTAATTTCTGCGCGTGCCGAGCGCTTCTTACTGTGCCTTTGTGCTGAACCCGTTCTGCACTCTATACATACGCCTTGCCATCACACAAGACATGAGAAACCGCCGCAGTACCGCTCATGACCTGGCTAGCTTGCGCTTACATCCAGATGGGACCCGCGTTGCGTCCAGGGAACCTGAGGCCTCGGGACTGAAGCTGGACCGCCGAAGGAAGAGCGGAAGGTGGAAGAATTCCACGAAAGATTTGAACGGCAACTGGATCGCTCAAGACGCTGGAGGATCTGGACTGGTGAAAATCTATGAATCCACGGAGCCTGAGCAGGAAGATGCTACAGAACATAAGTCCGCCTATCATGGAACTGGATGGCGACACTTACCCCGGTCGGACGATACAGTCGTCTCCGAGGGTCTCTCATCACCCGAGCGCACGACGAGCAAGCGACGTAAAGTCAACCCCGTTCCCCCCTTCGTGAACGCCACAGGCACGGTTTTACTATTATTGTTATGGCAAGTGTGCGTACTGAACTCGTCACAGCGGAGCACCACTTTGTTCGCCCCGACATTATGCCTTCGTCGGTATGTCTACAGTAATCGTGCTAGAAAAAGAGTCTTAGACTGTCGCCACCCGCCAGGATTTACTCAAATGCATACTGCATCTTGCATCCCGTCATTACGCGATGCAGGGTCAGCTGTCTGGCCGCTCCAGACGAAGTCGCCAATCGCACAATATATCAGAGGTGTCTGTTCAGAAAGCACGATCTATATCCGACGGCGACGATGACAACAGCAGTTCCATCGCGAGTCCAAGCGACCAGGACTCTGCACGAGAATTTTCCGATGCAGAAGATGAAACGGAAGATGAACTTCCGGATGAAAAGGCGGAAGGCGTAGGGGCTGACAATGCGCCGCAGCGAGACGCGGTGGTCAGGCGAGATATGTATAGGCGCCTAGATGGCTCGTCGCTGGTGGCAATCGGTAATGCGCCCTTTTCCGCACCGGGTGGGGATGAAATTTGATGCTTGCGATTAGGATTGTTACTACAAACACATATAATCAAGTTGACGGAAGGGATGATCCCTGAAGGCTGGGAGGATGAGATGGCGGCCGAAGGTGATCGACATAAGATAGGTGGTAGGAAGAGAAAAAGGCATAACATCTCAATCAGTAATCACGAAGGTCATGCTGGGGTCCCGTAGCGCCATGTGTAAGTATCCAATTCGCGCAACGTCCGACAATTCGCGCGCGCTGATTGTACGTGTATGTTTGTTTCATAGAATGGAAAGTCTAAACCTGAACAATGCCTTTCACTATCGCCAGCTCGGCGTTAATAATACTGCTAGTGGCTGCCCCAATGCAAACGTTGTTCGCCAGGACAACGAACTTGATGTCCAGGACACGGCATTGCCTCACGCGGCCTACCATAACGCTCGAACCTTGCTGGTAATCGCGGTCCAAGCGAGGCTGAGGTCTATCCGGCTCCTCGTGGACAAAAATTGTTCTCCTCGGTGCCGACGGGCAACCTAAGGCCTGGGCTTCCGTCGTGTAAGCGGAGAGCGCCTCCCGGACCTGCTGTGGGCTCGGCGGGGGTCGACGCGCGAAACGCACAGAGACACATTCCGTGTGGCCATCAACGACCGGAACGCGATTGCAAGACGCCGAGACGCGAAGAGGATGGCGGGAGTGCATGTCGAACGATTTGAGGCCGCTTTCATCGTCTGCCTCCGCTATGCCGCCAAGGATCTTGAGGGTCTCCCATTCTATCTTCTCTTCCTCTCCGGAAATGTATGGGACGACATTGTCCACTATATCCATTCCGGAGACGCCAGGGTAGCCAGCGCCGGAGATAGCCTGCATGGTCGTGATCATGCATGACTCGATGGGCCCGAAGGCCTTTTCGAGCGCTGCAAGGGGAATGACGAAGCCGGTCGTAGAGCAGTTGGCGTTCGTGAGGATGAACCCCCGCTTGAGCGCCGGCGCGTGCAAGGCACGCTGTTGTTGGATCATCGACAGGTGAGAGGGATTGACGAGGGGGACGATGAGCGGCACATGTGGGTCGCGACGGAAGTTCTTCGAGTTGGAGAACACTGCGAGCTCAGCAGCGCGGAAGGCGGCCTCTGTGCGGTGTTAGCTAGTATATCCCCACTTCGGCCGATGTGACTGACCGATGTCTCCCGCAACGTCCGAGTCCAAGCCAGAAAAGATCACCGCGCATTCGGCAAAGTGTTCAGCTTTGCATTCTTGGACAACCATTTCGCGCACGGCTGAAGGTATGGGCGTAGTCTGCTTCCAGTTGACAGCCCGAGCATATTGCTTTCCGGCCGATCTTGAGGAGGCACCAAGGGCATGAATCACGAAGAACGGGTGCACGGCGAGGAGAGCGATGAAGCGCTGGCCGACCATCCCGGTCGCGCCCAGCACGCCCACTTTGACTTTCTTATCGGGAAGCATGTCGTCGGCCTCGTCGACGTCGACGCACTCGGCGGGTAGAAAGGAGATCTGACAAAATCGGTTCAGCCATGAAGATGGGTCTGCATCGTCCTATCGTGGGAAAGAAATTGGTCACGCGAGCGCTACGGGCGACTTGGCTTGTCGACAACGCTCTGCTCGCCGTTCCTCACGACGTCGGCGCCACCTGAAGGATGGCCACCCCGGCCGACCAACTCGCCCAGCAACGAATTTACGCCCCGAATGTCATCCACAACAGCGCCCTGAGCAACGTCAAGTTCATCTCCTTTTGCTTCGCTGGAGCCGTTGCCGGCACCCTCGGCCTCGAGAACTGGGCTGGGTTTGGCCTTTTCCTCGCCTCCACGCTGTTCACCTCGGCTTGCATCTACACCATCAACTGTCGGGGGAAGCCGAAGAAGTATATCCCAGGTGGTGTGATGGAGATGATCAACCCTGGGCAGGAAAACCTGTTCTCCTTCCTATTGCTATGGACGCTGTTTTACGGTTAGTGCATCTTACGTTTGCGATCTTGCGATTGCTGACAGCCGATTGCGACAGCCATCGTGCATGGTGAGTACTTCCTGCCTTGTGCCAGACCTCTGGTTGACATTGTTGTCCACCACAAGTATACGATTGAACACGCTGCCGCGTCGGCGCGTCATCATCGATGAATGCGTCGCCTCCTGGACCACCTGTTCGACTGTATGTCGGACGTATCTTTGACGCTCACGGCCTCGTTTGCGCCTTATCCGCATCCTGTGGTACGGTTACGTTCTCACAGACTCCGGGCATCGCACATCGCATGAGCGCGTCTGCGCCACGAGGCGTGAGGGGGCGGGCATACTAGGGGTTCAGATGCACATCCGCGCCAATGGACTTGCATGTGTCAAGAGTATTTGTATTGCACGATAATACATCGCGTCTCCGGACAGAAGCCTACGGCGAACCTGAATCTCCCGTTGCTTTCCGCTAGTTGGGTCCATTTCCAGTGCTTGACAACTGATTCCCCGGCCATTCAGTCAGCAAACCCTCCCGGTGGTGGGGACGGGCCGTGCTGCGAGCCGACGAGCGCCCGGCAGGAACCTGTGAGACTGGCGAATGCACCGTGTCGCATCGTACGGAAGACGCATTGACTTCATCGCCGCGGTCAACTCCGACTCCGGAGAGGGCCACATGTCGGTGCCTGAGTAGACCCGGGCCACCACGTGGCGGACACGCGGGCGCCTTCGCCTCTCAAGCACCAATGCTGTGCACCTCCTCGGTTCTCACCCAAATCGGCTCGCCTTGTTCTGAGCGGTTAAAACGGCACACGATGGCGGTCCGAGATCATCCACAGCACTCCGCCCATTTTTATCCCGTCCACCGATCCCTCGTCTGCCGCTACCATGTCCGGCAGCTACGTCTTGATCCAGTTTGGCAACGATCCGTTCAACCTGCGGTTTGAGGACCTCGAAGGTCGGCCCGCGTTCGCTATGTGAGCTACCAGCGTTACAGCATGCTCGCCACTTCTGACACGTCTCGAGAAAACAGATGTCAGGTATAGATCTTGCCGTCGTAGCGTCATGCCCGCGCTCAACGGATTGGCAGCTTGATTTACAGGCGCCCAACGCCATTGTCAAGGTCGCCAGAGAGCCGTCATGGAGCCAACATCATCCGGAGGTTATGGGCCCCAGCAACGCTTTCCTGTACTTCGGTCCTTCTAAGACACCGGGATACTTGGCATATGGAAATGACCCGACCACTCACCCCATGGTTTCTGCACTGAAGCAAAAGAAGGATACCAGCAAGTGCGGACGTCGCCTGTTTCCCGATCACCGCCGTGCCTGATATCTCGCACAGCTCACGATATTTTCACGCACAAAACGGCAAAGAATTCAAATGGAGGCTGGGGCCACAACGAATGGAGGTACGTGGTTTTGCTCGCTGTCTCCGACGATCTATAACGACTTCGAATCGTACAGTGCCTTAGCGGTAGCACCATCGTCGCCGTCTGGGAAACGGGATCGCTGTCGAGCGGCATCGACTCACGAATGACGATTAAACAAGCAGGTCTACCGACCGTTACGGAGATCATGACTACTTTTGCCCTGAATCGTATAGCCCAGGCGCTGAATTGGCCTGTGGCATTGCAGAGAATCGGCAACACGAGCCCTTGATCGGCCTTGCATCTCTTCTCCCGTTTCTCTCTGTAGCATAGACTCTTGACTCATTCGACCTTCTCCCGGTCATGTCCGCATTGGCTGGCGTATTACTATCTCTCCCTCGCTCCCTCCTTCAATCATGTACCACCAACGCACGGCTCAAACACCACGTCTTGTCTCCCAGTCGTTCAACGCTATCACGTTACTATTGTATCTCTCCCAGATTATGAGCATTTGGCTAGAGTGAATTGACACATTTCAAGCAACTCCACGAACTAAGCGATCATTGACCACCTGCGGTATACTCTGTGCGACTATTGCGACGGATCATGTACGTGATCTGATGATAATACATCATCGAGATTACTTCGCGTATGCCTTCCGAAGCCCTCCGCAGTTGCCAGGGCTAAACAATAATCGATCATATCGGAAACCTGACCGCACCATCGTGCCGATGTATATAGAATCCGAATGTTCCGTACCTCAGGGTCTGCCGGAGTTATCCCTGAAGACTCAACAAAATATGTAAGCGCGGAGCTCACATCCTTGTAACTGCATCCAATACCTGCAGCCACCGCCCAGGTAATCCGTGGATGTAGAAATCAAAGGCACATCGGCAGTGCAACAAACTCTGAAGCTGACAGACAAAGTTCCAAATTTGCACAGGCTGTAGCGATTACCTCGTGGACGATGACCCGCGACTAAACGAGTCATTCTTTGGCACGTTCATGCGCAGAGAATAGATCCCGGAACATCCCATTATTGCACGGTTATTTTCTTGCAAGCCGACGGAGAAGAGCGAGAGTGCGCGCCCTCCTCGTGGACCGAACGAACCGGTCTGCAATGCAATCATGTGGGCTTGCCGATGCGGCTATAATCAAGGAGTCAAGACCACGCAGGCATGCGATAACCCGAGGAATCGTGAGAGCGTAAAGAAGCAGTATTGTTGCGGAGCGATCACCCGACGTGCGTTTCCGGACGTGAACGCACGTTTCAGGGGGAGAGTGCAGAAGCCGAAATCAATATCGAAGGCGTTGCGAAGGCACCTCAGGCCCCAGAGAGACGCGAGGGACAGTTGCGAAGAACTGAACTAATGGAGGAAACGAAGTAACGTCACGATACCGGAGTATCCTGATCGTCCATCTGATAGTAGTCGGCGTCGAAGGACACAGGAAGAGCTCTGTATTCACTGCAACCTGTACGCGCCGATGTATTGCCGCAGCCGTGACCACCTTGTCGGTGTGGGGAGGCACAACTGCATAGGAATTGATACTACTATCAGTCCAGACGAGAGCACCACACGATCGCGCGGCTTGCTCGAGATACAGTCATCCAGTCCTGCAAATCAAAGCAGAATGGTGAATGGAGATACGGTGACGTCAGCAGAATTGTAAGCAATCAAGAAAATCACCGATACGTTCAGCATGTCGTCTTACCTCATGACATCCCAGCGCTAGCATCTCTGTCCTAGCACTTTAGAAGGTTGACTCGTGGTAGCTGTGTGTAGCGTCCGATGACAGAGCAGCGAGCGACCAGACCCAGGATCGCAAACGTAGGTCGTGCGCGCAGTGCGCTGCACGAACTATGTCTAGATCGGAGGCTTCGATATTAGTATAACTCGTGCAGGAGGGAACGGTCGCACGCAGTGCCGCTGTAAAACGCTGGGCCCGCAGCGACCCTGCAAACGCGACCACGCACGAGGGCCTTATTAGTATCAAACCGGTACCGCTTCAAGAGACCGTGGCATGATAGCAGATACATGTGCCGTATATCGAGGCCTCGAAGCACCTGAATGATGAGAGTATTCCTCCCGTCTGCCTCGACGCCGAGAACGGGCGTCTTCCTTTCGTGATCGCCCTTTGGCTTGATCAGCTGGGATAAGCTCGGCGAATTATGCACAATTACGTATGTCCAACATCCGGACGCCACGTCCAAGGGTCATCGCTGCAGCGTAGTTGTTCGGCCTGTCAATAGAGCAAATATGAGCACTGGAGACCGACTGAGTACGTATGAATCATACATTCAAAGACGTTCTTCTGACGCGGCGAGATAAGCCTTCTAGAGTGGGTGATGCATCACCACAGCTTGAAACAACGTTGCAATGTCACAGCTATATGAGTAGAACCGAAAAAAGGCGACGAGGCTGACGAAGGCATCTCAAAATGCAGACAACGATGTTGATTTCCACGACGTTCGGCATACCACATTGGCTTCTGCCCACATCATTGCGTCGAAACAGCCTGAAGGGGCGAGGCTATACGGAGAAGCCAGAGTACGAGTTGTAAGTACGTATGTTTTCGATGTGGTGGACATACGAAAGAGGTAAGAAACCAACCGGCCCGACTCGGCCGTGCAGCGCGTCAATAATGACAGCGTGATCCACGAGCGCCGAGCAAGCCTGCCCTGCAGCTGCGGCTCTGCGCCGCTGAGCCTCAGCTTGTTTCTTTCGTCTAAGGACCAGCATAGTCGCGATCCCTGCCTTGTTCTCTGCTCGCTGTAGTGGCTCAGCCGACACTGTGGATGATGCTCGTGCGGCTTTCGGGCAGCCTATTGAGGGCTGCTCCTCAGCGAGGCATGCAAGCCCGGAGGACTAGCACCTCCACCAAGTCAGCGCATGCCCAGTGGTACGCGGAGACCGTGCCGGCCATGCTCCCCGTCGCGTTGTTGGGCTCGGCAGTCTATCTGGCGAGCCACCTTGCTTCCCTCCCTGGTCGCTATTCTGAAGGTCTCGCGCTCATCACCCTTAGGGTCTACAACTGGCCCAGGTTTCGCTGGCCGCGGACAAGGAAGCGGAAGAGCTCAGGGCACGGGTAACAACGCTGGAAGCAGAGATTGAATCGTTGAAAGAAGAGAGAAATCGCCAGTCGCGCCTGACCACTGTGGCAGGCTCTGGTTCCTCACTCAGACCTTGGTATACGTGGTGGTTCTGACGAGAAGAAGGTCAGCTTATGGAACGCATTTCAGAACGTTCACTTCTGAAGTGCCCTCCGCATCAGGTTTCCGCAACCTTCACAAGCTAAGCGTACGGCATCTGAGGCAGAGGTGAATCTCCTCCATCTCCGTACCAGTATCTCGATTTCATTCCGCCATGCAGACCTGCCTTTCTACGGCCACAAGAAGGTGAAAATATTGTTGCCACGGCGAAACGCACCGGCATCAGATCATGAGGAAGGTTTTGAATCTGGACGTCCTCCGGTTTCATGAACGTCTGCGATCGCACGTCCATATCCGCCGTACCCCGTTCTGTGCCATTGTTCGCCACTTCAGTATGGGTAGCGTTTGGCCTGCTCATCTCAGACGGCTAGAGAGCACTATGAATGCGCATGCGGGGATAGGCAGTAGATAGCATACGTGAATGCAGCGCCGTTTTGTGATTCTCGGGTGGGGTCACTCCGGAAATAGCGTGGGAAAGCAGCATGCGTGGGCGTCATGCCGGAAATACGTTCTCAGCGCATGGTACACGGATAACTTTGTCTCTCAGCACCCGCCATATACCCTGCGCTCGTCGTCGCCGCCGACATCGAGACGCCTAATATCGATCCGGGTGGACGAGACCGGCGCCAGCAAGCATGGTCGAGTACGTCTACGCACTACATGACTTCCAGCCGGAACATGAAGACGAACTCCCGTTCCGCGCGGGAGAGCGCATCGAGGTGATCGAGAAAGATGATATGTACGGCGACGGATGGTGGCAGGTAAGTTTCTCCGGCGTTGTATAACGCCCTGCGCGCAGAGCAAGGGTGGACACCTCCTCACCCTCCCAAGGATGACATTCTCACTTGGTTCGTTTTTCGGTCAGGGTCGCAACTTATCCGGAAGACTCGGTTTGTTCCCTCAATCGTACACCACCCCTGCAGCACCTCTCGCGCAGACCGAGCCAACCCCAGCCCCCTCCTCTACGGTTGAGCCATCGCCTGCCGAGCAAGCGGCAGCGGCTGCGACCGTTCACTTGAACAACAGCAGCATCCGGCAAGTCGGCACCCAACTACACCCCGTGGACGAAGAGCCAGAGCCACCGTCTGCCACCACCGTCGACGCGAATCCAACAGCGTCGCCTTCGCCCTCTCCCTATTCCCAGCCCTCCGCATCGCCCTTCTCCCAGCCTACCACATCACCTTTCTCCCAACCCTCTCCCAGCGCTAACGATGCCTACGACGGTTACGCGGACTCGGAAGCCTCGCAATCCCGTCCCTGGCTGCATGGCGAGGCCGACGATACCAGTCCGGTCGAACAGAATGGGCGAGTGATGCGGGAAACGATGACGGATGTTCAGAAGGCGATCGAGCAGCTTGGCCGAGGACACGGGCCTATGGACAGCCGCTCCTTCAGTTTTGCCAGCTCTCGGGAGGATTATACCGACCGCGGAAGCGAGACCGAGGGCAGCGAGTTCGACCCGGATGCCGAGACGGAGGGTGACGACGAGGGTACCGGGTGGCATAAGGAGGCACGCCAGAAGCTTGCCGAGAAGGCTCGCAAAGCGGCGCTGAGGAAGGAGAGGGAGAGTCGGACGATGAGCGTCGCCGTGCGCATGATCAGCCCCCCCATTGACGTGGAGATGAGTGACGAGAGTGAGGAGGAGGACGAGGGGCACACCGCCCATCACCGTCTCAATTTGGTGGAGTCGCCTTCTGACGGGCGTCCCTTCGGTCATCAACGCTCCCACAGCGTCATTGCTGAAGAAAGCGGAGAGGACGAAGGTCAGTCGGCCACCGTGTTGCCGAAAAACGAGGGTACCCCGGAGCCCACGGCAACGGCGACCCAGACGACATTCCCGACTATCTATCCACCACCGCAAGCGAGCGCGCCGGTACAGAAACGTCTCAGCGCCATCTACCCCGAAGTCGAACAGCTAGGAGGTCACTCAAGCGAGACTTTTACAACCGCAACCCCAGGAAATTCTATTCCTACACCGGTGACACCCGTGTCTGGCCCTTCCGAGGTTGCCCAAGAGGCGGCACCTCCAGCCAAAGCTGAAGAGATGCAGAAACCGTCAAGCCCACCCGTAGAGCCCGCACCGCCGGTTACAATGCCTACCCCCTTACCCTCGGTATCGTCTGTCTCGCGAGACTTTGCTATGGGCCTTCCTTCCCCCGCTGCGTCAGCTGCTTCCAACAGGTTGCAGCAGCAGCAGCAAACAATAGCGCCGATGCCAACGCTCAAGACTGGGCCCTCAGAGTTGGCTCCTCCGACCGACACCGTAAAATCACCTACGTCCCATCCTTCGGAATGGACTGTTGAGGAGGTGGTCGAGTGGCTGAAGTCAAAGGGCTTTGACCAATCCGTCTGTGACAAGTTCGTTGGTGAGCGCAAAACTGTTGCGTGGTCGCATGAGGTGCTCAACTTTGTGCAGAGCAAGAAATAACAGGAGATGTACTTCTCGAACTAACCGTCGAGGTTCTGAAGATGGAAATCGGGATCGCACAGTTCGGGAAGCGCGTCAGGATCGCGAATGCGATCGCGGACCTGCGACGCCCGCCTTCTGTCTCCTCAGACCCCGACACGACGTTGGCCCCATCTCAATCGCATTCTATCGCGGACAGTGGCCTCAGCCCGTCGTCCGGCACGTTCGCACAGACGCCGGTCTCTTTGGGCCGGTATTCCGTCCAGTCATCCTCTCACTCGGCAGGCAATCGCTCTGCTCGCTCGATTGTCAGCCCTGAAAGCCCAGGTCAATCCACCGACATGACACTGGGTGGCAGTCCCGTCGTAGTGGACCGTCAGGGCCACGCCAGGAAGGAGAGCGATTTAGGTAGCGGCCATAGTATACGTTGGATTACGGACACGGAACGCAATCGTGACTCGGATCAACTGCTCGCCGTCAACGGCCGAACGGTTTGTCAAGTCAGGATCTTTCACGTTCACCTGACCAAATTTTCCACTAGAAGGGTCGACCGACTCAACTCTCCTTGTCACCGAGCGATAGCGCACTTGGGGCGAAGGCAGTCGCTCATCAAAATATCCCCGAGGAAAGAGGGGAGGATGAACACGGGGTAGCGAGCGAGGTAGGTGTTAGCAGATGGAACCCTCACACGTCTAACGTCCTCGTCAGACTGAAGCACATCAGACCGAGAAGAGCAAGAGGAGACGGTTCTTCGGACGTTCCGCAGAGTCCACCCTGAGCGCGGTCGACGACAGACCATCGTCCAAGCGCAACTCTGCGGATGCCAATGGCGGATCTATTCGCGATTCGGCGACCGAAGTTGACAGCGTCCATAGTATGTCCAGGCACGGCAAGAAGAAGAGCTTTGATGGCACTCCGAAAAGCCATGACCGACTGAGCATCTTCGGGAGTCCGTTCAGTGGCGGGCTTGGCAAAACCAGAAAGCCGGCACCTCGTTACTCCGTGTAAGTCCTGGAAGTTCGTCAGTGTATGCATTTCTAACGTTTCGATGAAGCGCGATGGACAACGCAGACTTGCCGTCCGAAAAGTCATCGAGGAGTCTGTCGCGCCTAGTTGGTTCAAAGCGTGGTAGCGGTCGGCCAGGTACTTCCGATGGTTCGCCAGCGAACAGCCCGACCAAGACTAAAGAGGGCGCTGGAGAGATGGGCGAGAAAACGGAGAAACCGTTGAAACCGCTATCTCCGTCGGCGGTAGCGGACATCAAACCCAAGGATCCTGCGCTCCTGAGGAAGCGCACGTCTTCAGCAGCGGAGGTTCCTCGGGTCAAAAAGGAAGACGGCGGAAACCTGGGCGCTCTTAAGTCTGGACAGAACATTCTCGAGCAAATTGGCACCCCTGATCATTATGGCTGGATGCGCAAGCGCGGTGATCGGTATAACTCGTGGAAGCTGCGATACTTCGTACTCAAGGGGCCCCATCTATACATACTACGCAGCAACAGCAAGACAGTGCGTGGTTGGTTCTTCCTGTTGGATGTCACTGATGCTCGTCTTTAGGAGACGAAGATCAAGGGTTATATCAACATTCAAGGGTATAAGGTCATAGCAGACGAGAACGTCGACCCAGGACGTTACGGGTTCCGGATCGAACATGACACAGACAAGACGCATTACTTCAGTTCGGAGGAGCAGCTCGTCATCCGAGAATGGATGAAATCCTTCATGAAGGCTACTATCTCAAGAGACTACAACAGTAGGTGTCCGTTCATCGGAGTGACGCTTGATTAATCTACGCTGTAGAACCTGTCGTTTCGTCCGTGAACATCCCGACCATCCCATTGGCTGTGGCACAAACTATGAACCCAGCGCCCCGCCCACCTTCGCCCACGGCGCGAGATGCCACGCAGAAAGCGCTGCGGCGGGAGAACACCAATCAGCTCTCGAGTCGCGACGCCAGGGTCCTTATGGGTCTGCCCTCTGAGACAGCTGATGTCGATCCTGTCCCTGAGCGTACTCGCCTCGAGTCTGTCTTCACAAGCCCTTCGATCCCTGTTACAGCTAAAGCCGAGGGCGAATCCTCGTCGCGCAAGTCTAGCACGTCGCTCCGGCAGACGCCGTCCGTTCCTTCCACCCCAAGAGCGGCCGCTCCTCCAAGACCTTCTCGTGAGATGCGACGTATCAGCTCCACACAATCCGAAATTGTAGGCATCCCCGTTATTACGTTTTTGGGCCGAATCTAAACGTTGTTCTGTGTTGTGTTTGGTGAATCTTCTCTAGACTGTTGCTTCGGGCATCGATTCCGACCTGATAATCTGGGCAAACTCGCACCTTCCTCGGGCGTTGAAGATAACCGGCACCACCGAACCCCTCTGCGGCGGTCTCACGCTGCTTCGACTCGCAGAGCACATTAAGGGAAGGCCAGCGTCCCCTCCCGTTCTGGACTCCGCCTTCCCCAGTGGGCCGAACGACGACAAACTAGACGGCTTATTCCGTCTTTTCGACTTCCTGCTGGACAACGACGTGAAGATGGGCAGTGTCAGCATTAACGACGTGCGACAGGGTAAGAGGGACAAGCTGATTCAGCTGTTGAAGGCCCTGAGGGCTTGGGAGGACAAGAAAAAGGCGTTGGCGGCTTCTTTGGAGAAGATCCCTACCATGCAACAAGGGCCGATTGTGCTGTGGTAAAATACGATGCCTCATTTACGCATACTCACGGACATCTAGCATGTAGCTTTCCTCATTACCTATCACGGAGGTTTCTTGATATTGTCTATATGGACATATTGCAGGATACCGCGCGATGCACAAGACATGAATGTGAATTGGAGTGCCACAAAATCGACGAGGCGCCTGTTCGCGGTATCGGTATGCTGAGGAGGTCCCTCTGCGACGTGGATGGACAACGTCAAAACAGCGGATGCATATACCCTTCGCTACTTTCTCGGTCCATCCTGTATCATGCCGTTTCGTTTAGGGTCGACCTTAAGTTCTAATCGCTTGGCACCCCGTCGCTGCGTCGAGCTTAACCTGGAATCATACTCTCACAACCTTCCTCCATATGGAGCGGCAGGCCACGGGTGCTCGCGGTGGGATTTCCGCAGTCGCTCAGAGCATTTGGGCCAGCACCCTCGATGTCATGAAATATCAGGGGAGCGAGCGTGTGGTTCGGTTCGGCTCGGCTCTCTCGCAACAGGTGGAGCAGTGTCCATTCGCTTTCTCTAGTGGCCCGAGTATCGCTCGCAGACGTCGGCGGGCGCGAAGGCTAACATCACGCCCTTCGCGGTGGTCTATCTTGGCTTAACATCATAAGGCCTCGAGCATGGGCTCTGTGCAACAGAACGTCAGCTAAGTTGAAACGAGTATCCAGTGGAGCATGCACATGTTGCGTTGTTCTTGGTTCGTCATCGAGCACATTGTCACAGGCAATGAGGAGAGTATGCATCGCTCGAGTGCAATGCTTCTAGTGAAGACAAATCTTAGAGGTTTCTGGATGCTGTACGGCCATGGGGTGTCCATGGTTACCTCATGTTAAGTTGGAACGCCGAGTAACAGGTACGCCCACACCTCGGTCAGGGCCTCGGAGAGCTAGACGTGGAAAAAGCCTATGAAACTTCTGGCTCTTAACATCTCGCCATTTCCGCTGTCTATGAGATGATATACCTCGCCTGATATCCGGATGCTACGAGTTTCACCCATCACCCTTGTTGACGCGTCCTTTGCATCCACCCCGGGAACGCGCGTGATTGAACTGGCCAACTCAGAGGTCTGCCGGAAGTCACGGCTATGTAGGTCACAACGTTGCGAGAGCCACCTGGCACAAGGGTATGCACATTGCCGAGGCATTTCTGCTGCCGGTATAAGGATACAGCTTGATCTGAGCCTGCTCCGGCATTGCTGATATCGTTTCCAAAGTACCAACCGCGGACCTGGGGGGCCTCACGGACAGGATCTGAGATACGTCTTGTATAAGCATTGCACCACAGGATTTGGCGTTTCTGAACCATTGGGCCGAAGGATTACTTGCCGCCATGTCACCGTCCAGCTCCGTCACGGATGCGATGGTTGCCGATGATAGGTAAATCTAGAATAACGCCATGCATGAAGATAAGTATATATGTCGACCGAGTAAATCTGCTCCATCGCGGCGAGAAACTGGTGATCTATTATATCTTCAGTGTGACAAGTCGTACCTTCATCGGCCGATCTATGTGGTCCATAAGTATTCTGTTCTACTTGATTCCCGGAGGACGGCGCAGGTAGGAATCTAACAAGCCGGACCATTGCTCCGGTGCAAGAACCGGGACAGGGTGAGATCGAACCTGCAGGCCGTTCACCAGGAGCTCGAGATGCCGTCCACGTAAACCTAGCGCGTCGCAGCCTACCCAAGTCCATTCAGTTGGCAAAGCGTCATGCGAACAGCGCTCATACCAATGCATCCGTTCTCGAGCGTATCTCCTCCTAAAGGGCGGCCCAACTTCGGTTGCATTTCATTAATAGCGAGCGTATTCGAGAATAGCGCTGCTTCACGGGAAATGGAGCTTCTACCGCCGCCTGGGCCCAGGACGAAAGTTCGCCGCGGAGCCACACTGGTAGATGTCATGCAATTTCATGCGTATCGTGCGGGTTCGACTTGCGCTCTCTCCCTAGGGCGGCGTCCGCATCCGCTCGAATAGTCAATGCCAAACGGCCATGTACGTGTTGTGGCTTCAGGCACGGCTGCGTGTGTCCCATACTCAATCTGAACTGGGACCGTGAAGAGCAGGCGCAGCATCATCCGTCGATGGCCATCGAATACTAAGTATGCAAAGATCGGCAACACCTGGCGGGGGGCTCAATCCTCGCTAGAACTCCGATTCCCGGCCACGACAAGAGAGCACTTGGTTCTAGTAGAGAGATCCGGCGGGTCAGAAGAAGCCCATGCCGGGTTCGCTATCTGAAGTTCACCCACCGATCATACAATAGATTTTCACGGGACGATATTCTCGACAGTGGGATACTGCTGCGTCTTGTCTGCGCCTTCTGTAGCGTGCAGGTTACCTGGGTTACGGCTTTCCGGGACACATGGAGGACTCTCTTGCGATCCAGCAGTGAGGGCAGAAACGTTACAGGCTGTGCAAAGGTTCTTTCGTTACACGCGACCAGAACTTAACGTCAAAGTTTGGTGAGAGTGTGTGGGCAAGTGTGCGAGTTCAAAAATGACATGAAGGAGATTCAGGGGTCTTCTGCTTCAGATTCAAGGACCCTTTTCGTCATGGTTTCTGCAGGCTGTCGCACGAGTCACAGATAGCGAAGTAGGACCGATTGCGGAATGCGTAGCGGACGTGGGTGTGGGGAGAGACGGCAGTTGACGCCAGCCAGTGAGGATGAGCCAAGCCGCCGCGCAAAATGTCGGCGCTGAATTGTCGGGAAGGGATCCGTGGCTTGACGCCCCGAAGTCGGAAAGTCGAATCGGGAGCGACGATCAACAGGGGGCATTACGAAATGAGGAACGACGGCACGAACTCCGGGAAACGTGAGAAGGCCTGTCTTGATCGCTGCAGAGTGCGGTTACAGGCATCATCTCCGAGAACCATGGCGGCGCCGTGCTTCTGGGACCAACCCGCCGTGCCATTTCCCAAAGTATATCCGGTCAAGCTTATGCTCCTCAGGTGACCAGGGGGCGGCCGCGCTTGGTCCGTCGATCCTGATGGATGCAGCTTGCAACCATCGTCTTGGATCGAAACGAGGTAGGAATCGAGGGTTCGAACGAGATGAATGTAATCAGAACGCCTTGCGGACGAGAACGCTGGCGCGCTGGGGTCTCACGCTCGCTGTTCGCCTGCGGGGTTCCACGATTGGGGAGTGCCCCATACGCCAGTAGAGCGAGCAGGACGCTGGTAACCAGCGTACCGATGCGAACGTCGCTTGTCATCCCAACACATGCGGGGCGAGGATGGCCACGTCCAACCGGGAAACACGATGCCGGCCGCAGCGGAAAACTTTCAATTCGGAATGTATCTGGTGCAAGATGCTGGCGGGAACTCCGCGCGGTGAATACACGTCCACCGGCGCAGAGACATATCGAGCCCATATAGATGCAGCTTCGGCACACAGGCAGAGAGAAACTGTGGCAAGTCCTGCGACAAACCAGTACAAGGGCGCAGCTGTAAAACAAACCCACGAGTCAACATATGCGCGCGGGTGCGTACAGGGGCGGAGGCTAACGCGAGGAGGGACTTGTCTATAGTTATCTCGTCTTGTCCGCATGGGCTCTGGGCGCCTTGGTAAGATTTGTGCGGCAACCGCGGTTTTGAAGTCCTTTGCAAATCACGCCTTGTCAGTGCACGTAATGATATCTTCTAAAGCGCGAACAAGAGTCAAGGATCGCATGAGATGAGATCACAGACCAACCTGGAACATCTAGGCCTACCAGACAGACGATGCTGGCCCTGCTCCTAGGCCTAGCTAGGGAAGGCTTGGTCCGGACGCAAATCGCTGAGGAGAGAAAATGATGAGTGAACAACGTGCTTGTATGGAAACTCGGGCGGAAGAAGAGCGTCAGCGCCGCTGGGCCTAGAAGAGCGACTTTGGAACCGTGTCTGATGCGCATATACGGCAGGCTGCTTCGCGTCTGTGACTAAGAAGAATCATCAAACCAGGGAGAAGTCCCAGACGTTGAATTTCACATTGGGTAAGGTAGAATACAATAAACGGGGGAAGTGCATCGATAGATTAAGTATGGGAAGCGGGGATTCGGCTCATATGAAATCGCAGCATGACTGAGGGAAAACGCACGATTTCACGGCCGCGGCAGGGCCCATGGTCAAAATATGTTCTCGCAAGCGTCCATAAAACGCTTCAGAAGGGGTGCCACGTATGCTGCGTGCTTCATCCTATGCGATCGGTGAAATCCTGATTGAAAATGGAACGCGTGGGGTCTTGCTTGACGCGTTCGTCCTTGATCATTCTGGGATAGCGTTGCGTCAGGCGTCGAGGCGGATCATCAAATGGAAAGAAGGGCCCACCTCGAGTCAATACGAGCATCTTCGCCCTCAACGCCTATTACAGGCTTTGGAGTCTTGGCTTCGAGCACCTAGAGTTCGTCCGTCCCAATCAGCATGGACCACAGGTTGTACGGCGCGGGTAGCACGCACATAGTGATTGTCACAGTGGGGACAGTACTCGTCGCTCTCGTCGTACTCGGCGATGTCCTTCCTGAAGGCCTTCTTGCACTTTTTGCAGATGAACGTCATCTCGGTCGTCTTGCGCAAGGGATGGTCCTGGGCCTCGGCATGGCACTCGGCACAGTCGTACCACTGCTTGCAGCAGGGAGCGCGGATAGAGACCTGTGCATTGAGAATGTGTTTACTGCGGCAAAGTCGTCAGCCGTGCGGCGACGGTGAGAGAGAGCCAACGGACCACATCGCGACAGAGCCAAAACGCGGTGTGACTGCGCGGACGAGCGTGACACCGGACGGGCTGCCGTGACGTGACTCATGCCTTTATAGTTACCGGTACCGCGACGCACAGTCACGTAAGTACATTACCGGGATTTCGATCAGCGCCTGGCCACGCCCGCATCTCGGCCAGGCTCAGGGCGAGAGACCTGCCCGATATGGAGATTCTCGGCGGTAAGCTGATTACGTCCGGCTGGTCTCGGCCTCGGCGCCTGGAGCGGATCTGGCTCCGACCCCCGCTCGACCCCGTGGGAGCGCTCGAACGCGGCATCTTCGTCCTGACGAGGTGCGGGACGAGCGATGTGACTGCCCCTCATAAGCACCAATTCGCGGTCAAGCCCGTCCTGGCCGCCCCGAACATGCTCTCCCTCGATCGCCACGGCGCGCTCCCGCCCCCGGCCCCGCTCGCCGGCAAGCGCCGTCACGACGACCTCGGCGATGGCGAACGCCCCGGTGGAGCGTCGAAGCAACCCCGGACGTGTCTGCACGACTCTCCCACTAAGGCGCATCCCGCCAGCCCGCCGCCGCGCCCAACCTCGCCCCCGACGCTGGGACGCGTCTCACCCGACAAACAGCCGGCGTCGTCTCCCGGGTATACGCACAAAGCCATCGCGCGCGATTCGAGGTATGCATCCCCGGCTTGCATACCTTTCCGCGGCCGGCGTCGACTCACCGGCCCGCCGCCTGCCGTATATGTAGCCCCGACTCCCTGTTCGACTCGCCCTCGCCCGGCGATACGCCGCCGGTGCATCTCATCGTCGATCCGGAATCACCGCTGCCGGTTCGAACGCACAACAGCCTGATGGGCAAGCGCCTACCCATGGGAAGCGGCTTGCCAGATCCGACACCTGCCAAGCGCGCCCTCTCGCCCCGAGCGATACCCGGGCTGCATTTCAACCCGGGCTTCCGCATACCTGACGACGTTGCCGAGGGCGTCAGACGGGCGTGCATGGAGCAGTATTTCCGCCCGACCGACGGCGACCCCACCGGCAAGCCGAAATTCAACCAGGTCCAGCTCTTCGGCCTCTGCACGCTCTCGCCGGCCCTCCAAGGCTTTATCGTCACCCTGGCGGAGCTTATGCGACCGCATCTGTCTCCGGAGCTACATGACCTTCTGTTCAACCCGGACTACCCGGAACCTTCGCAGCACAAACAGGACCTTTGCTCGCCGTCGTCTACCACCCCTTCCACCTCCTCCGCCGCCCCGAAGCGGCATCGGCAAGCCATTTTGAACCTTTACGAGCCAGGCGAGGGTATCACCCCGCACGTCGACCTAGAGAACCGGTACGGCGACGGCATCGTCGGCGTTAGTCTCGGCTCGGGTTGTGTCATGAACTTCCGGCATGACCTGCGTGGGCAGCACGATCTCTACCTGCCCAAGAACTCGGTCGTCGTCATGACTGACGAGGCTCGTTTTCTGTGGCAGCATGGTATAGAGGGGCGCGAGGTGGATCTCGTAGAGGGCGAGCAGCGCCAGATGGGTGTCAGAGGACGGTCTGGAAAGTCTCTCAGGGTCATTTCGAAGCCGAAGCCAGAGATGATCAAGCGAGGAACGAGGTTGAGCATCACTTTTAGGTGGTTGCTGCCAGAGGTCGTGCCAGATCCGCCGGACGCGGCGTGCGATGGGGAGCCATATCTATTCGAGGAGGACGAAGAGGACGAGAGCGAGATACCTCTGTTTGTCTGATGAAACGGTGATTTCGGATTCACGGCGACTGAACATTGATTGTAATTCCTTCTGTCTTTGGGCGTTATGCCGCTGCTTAGAGGAAATAAACGTATACGCCATATACGTGGGTACGTAATTGAAGTTATTTTTCGCTTCCTATTTAATTATCTCCATTCACGCCAAATCCAACACACCACTTTTACGTCTGTCACGACGTATGTTGTATTTTAGCATATTCCGCATCGCCTGTATCAGTATCTCGTGCAATGTTGTCGTCGGTTGTGACCGTCAGGCAGTTCCTTGCGAGTACCGCGGTCCTCGCGCATAGTAGAGAAGGCGGACCTTCCTCTTTCCTCTCCGCAGAGATCGAAGGAGGAAACCATCTCGTCGCACTGCTCGAGATAAGTACTCTGCATATCGCCGAGCTGCAGTGCATCATGTTCGTTGGACGATAGGTCCGTCGCATGTATTGTCGACATACGTCAAGAAGCCCAACGTTCGGCGACCCTGACGTGATTGAAGTGCATAGTGAACTTGCCAGCAATCGTCGCCAACATTTTTGTCATCGACCGTTTGGTGTTCACTGATCTATATAGTTTTTTTGGACAGTCCGACCGCCGACGAGATTACACCTACTGGATCTGGTACCCATGGACTGATATCATCTATATATTTTAGGACGCTGAACTCAACACATTAAGAGCATCTATGAAAGCACAAAGCACACCGACAAACACAGGGCATAAGCACACTGCCGAAAAATACATAGACAATCATGAACATATTAATCCTAAAGTTTCATGAGACTTCGTGCAACAACATAAACGCTGGCTTATCGTCTTCGCTGGTATCATGGATACTTCGCCTGCCTCCAGGGTTGTTGTTGGCATTCATCTAGTTGCGCATTCGCTCGCGGACACGCATGAGCGCTAAGCCAAGCCGATTCGCCGTCTGTGCGCCGGCACTCCAAAAACCATCGGAGAACTCTGTGTAAACAAGCTCACGGTTCCCGGTGCTCAGCAGGAGATTACCGAGTTCCGGATGTTGAGTAAATTTAAGGTAAAGCACTTCATCGACCTGTCATCGTCAAGGGTTGCGAGTTACTCCCTGTCGTTGTAGAAAACTTTGCACACTTCGCACCTTGTCCATGACGACGTCGTTCCAGTCAGGCCGCTGCCACTGCGCTCCGCCCGTCACAAACGCCTGCACCTCGCCGATGGTTTGACACAGCCGGACCCTTTCCTGAAGCTCCTTCAGCGGAGCGGGATCCCCACTATCGTGCATGAACCGCATGGCTTCGAGAAGGTGATACGCAGTCGGCCACAGCACGTCCTTATACAGGATGCGATGCGGAGAGGAAAGTAAGAACCCGGAGTACTCGGGCGCGTCTTGCGATGAGAAGGTGATGGGCCGTTCGTCCGTCTGCGGTTGTGGCATTCCGAATTGCTGCATCCCTCCGAGCGCCGGGCTGTAGGGGCCCGGAGTGGGCTGAGCTGACGCAGGCATCAGCGGGGTACGCGCAGGCCCGGGCGAGCGGAACAACGTCATAGGCGAGAGTGCAGGGTTGGCACCCGGGGTTCCTCCCGATGCCGCGGTGTTCTGAAGGTTCATACCAGCGACGGGCGAGGCCGTCGCAGCACCGGCAGGCTGAGCACTAGCGCCTGGACCTGGCGTGGTCATGACGTACACCTGCGCGTCAGTTCCAACCTGATTTTCTGCGCCGCTAATCAGTGCCATGAGCGATCGCGGTATATCAGGTCGGCGTTGGCGTCCCCTCGTGGGTATAGGAGCCTGTCCGGCGCTTCCGCCCGTTGTCATAGAGCGGAAGAGCCCTCCGCGCTTGCTATTCTTCTTCGGCTTCTTCTCCTTGCTCTTTGAACGCCCCCAGGAGCTGAATAAACCCCCTCCGCCATCTGAGCGGGAGCGTTGGTGCCCTGATCGTGCACCGTCAGCATCGAGCTGTTCTGTTCGCCAAGGGTATGCCCAGAGGCTTTGGAGGTCCTTGGTCAATGTGCGATACGGTTCCAACTCGTAAAGGTCTCTGGGCGGATCCGGCAGAGGATTGCGAAGAGGAGTACGGGGCCGAGGCCCCGGAGGACCATAGACACCTTGTGGTGGAGGGGGCAAAGGGGTGGGCATGCCTGGAAGGTTGTAATACGGTGGCTGAGGCAATGGATTGCCCGCAGCAACATGTGGTGGTTGCAGATTGCTGGTCATTCCAGGTATGTCAGGACCATCATCGCTGTCCGAGGATGAATCAGAGGACTGAGAAGACATTTGGTTCATAGGATGGAACGGAGTGGCAACCCGCTGGGCTAACGACGGGCCAGGCTGTGGATGTGGTTGCGGTTGCGGTTGCGGTTGCATTTGGGGTTGTGGTTGAAAAAGTGGGGGCTGGAATTGAAAGGGCTTTTGGGTCTGAACGACCGTCTGTGCGGGAATGACTTGGGGTTGAACACCAGCCTGTTGCCCTTGAGGGAAGAATTGTAGGCCTGTGTTCGGCTGTGCGAAGTATCCTTGCTGGCCAGGCATATCTGCTCTCAGACAAGTTAGGTCACAGAGAAAGGTTCGAGTCTCAAGGGAAGATGAATGATAGCACGCACATTGTGGTTGCCCCTGCATGACTATCCCCTGGTATGGCTGAGACGCAGGCATAACGACTTGCGGCTGCTGAGGATAGGCGTACTGCTGCACGGGGTAATTGTAGTAGCCATCCGCACGTTCCTTGCCCTTCCGACTCGGTTTCCGACCCCCGTAATAACCATATTGGGGATCGAACTGTATGGGCTCTCCGAAACCAGGTTGAGGAAGAGGATACGGTTTCGGCTTCGAGTTGGAGTTGCCCATCGTACGAGTGAGCGGAGTGCCGCTCGATCTCGGGGGATGAAGTGGCTATCGACGGAGATGAATAGCTGCCAGATCTCGCTCGCGGTTCATTTGCGGGCTGGTTAACACGAGGTGAGGCCAAGTTGAGCCATGCGTTGAACTTTGGCCGTGGTGGCCACGAGACAGTTCGCCGCGGCCATTGCCGACGCTCACGTTGGAATGCAAGTCCGAGTCAATTGGGTCAATCCTTAAGAAAGACTTGCAAAGCACATACGGTACTGAGTACTGATCATGAACTACGGGATCCTTTTAACGTCAATCCGTCTGACGCCTCCCCTCAATCGTAGCGTCTCCTAGGAAGGGGGCTACGAGATCGCGGTGACCTCGACCGGGGCCTATCCCTGCCTCCTCGACCTCCGCGATCGCCCCAACCACCACCGCCTCGGCGTGGAGGCGGAGGCGACTCTCGCCGTCTGGGCGGCGGCACCCTTTCGTCCCTGAGCCTCTCCCTATCTCCACCGGCTCTGCCTCCCCTTCCACCTCCTCTTGGCGCTGGGGCATCTGATCCGCCTCTCCAGTGCCCTCCGCCTCGCCCAAGCCCTCCAGGCGGTCCTCCCGCAGTTCCAAGCGAGCCTCCCCATCCTCCGTCGCCTCTACCGCCAGGCGCGCTGGCCTTCCAGTCCTTTCCGTTTGCACCAGCCGGTGCGGCGCCTTTAATCGCGAGCTCGCCCGTGGGAGTCGGCACAGTGAGATTCTTGGGCAGGATCACCGACAAGCAAAGGTAGTCGCCAGGTACGAAGCGCAGTTCGTCCAAGCGCTCGTCTTTCTCTCTCTCAGTGAGCTCCCTCGTCGCTTTAGTCGTAGCGTCCTCCATCTCTGTGCCCTCCTCGACGCCTGGTGCTGTTCCTGGCTCGTAGTCTTCTAGGAGGCGCGGTGCTGTCGTGTTGAGTGAGCCAGGTTCGCCCAGAATGTCGCGGGAGTACACTGTGCCGAGTTCCTTGCTTGCGAAGCGTCCGCGAGCGCTGGGATCTGCGTATACGGCGCGGAAGGAGTACCGTCCGAGAGGATGGCGGTATTCGATCTGAGTGGGCGCGGTATTGCGAAGCGTGGTCAACACCTCCCGCAACGTCGCATCTTTCCTACAGCACGAGTCAGTGAAAGTCATATTGTCACATCAGGTGCAGTAATAGCCACCAGGTGAATATCTGCTGTTCGTCCGTCGTAGGGAGGGCCCCATCCTCAAACAGCTGCAACCTATGGAAACCTCCAATCTTGATGAAGGTCCGTATGAGAAACGGAGCCGTCTGTGCGACCAATCTAGATCAGATACAGCTCCTAGAGCCGTGAAGCAGTCGCACCTTTCCGCGGTCAACAACTGGTTTACTGGTCGAAGAAGTAGCCTCCATGACGGCACGAACAAGCCTGAGTCAAGGGACAACGCGACTTGGGCTGCTTGCACGAATTTGGTAGTGCCCCTGAATGGCAGCTGCGAGCACCAAAAAGCGACAATGATACAGTGCAAGCTTCTACATGTTACACAGACAAAGCACAAAATAGGCAACACGGGTGGTATAAATCATTGCGCAGCCGAGGCGAACTAAACGGACGATTTATCGTCCCCCGCGGAGAGCGAGCACGAGATGCAGAACGTCCCCTGCCGCTATATTCTGTTCTTGCGCATTTTTGTCATCGGGACTGAAAAAGGATGGCTATCATCAACGTAGGCTCTCCATATCACGAAGTCGCAAAACACGCACAGCTGACGTCCCTTGAAGATGAGCCGCTGCTGTTGGGGTGGTACTCCGGACTGCTCCTCGACCTTCTCCTTTATGCGCGTGATCTGCGGCCGATAACGTCATGGAGCGTGCATAGTGTGCAGCACCGCGAAGCGTGCAGGGTGTACAGGGAGATCGCGATGTGAGCGCGCATGCTAGCGTGTGATTTGAATAGTATACTTGCCTTGTCATCGGGTTCGATATCCAACTCGATCTGCATGGAGCTGGTTTGATTCACCGCGCCAAAGATCTTGTGAGGACATGCGCACCTCCTTCCCCGTCAACGTCTACCGAGTGGCGCGTAAGTAATCTCGTAATGATGCAAACGTTCAACGACGCGTCACCTTCACTTTGATCATCATCTTGGGCAAACGTTGGCTTGTTCTATTGACCGAAAATAGTTGTAAAAGAGCCTCCCCGCGCTCGAATATTGAGGATGAAGGTCAAGTGTGAATGCTGTGTTGCGATGACCAGGATAAAGGCGGTTGAACCAAAAAGGAAAGCGTGATTATGCAACATGCATATCTTATCTCACCCCGAGTCAGATAGAAACGACCATCAGGCTGAGAGTTCCCCTTACACCATGAGAGCACTAACCCCCGGCAGAAACTATCTTGCAGCCTTCACTGTCGTACATTACAAGTCTTCTCGAAAGAAACTTAATGCGAAGATATCTCGACTCGGACTGCTCCACCAGGCAACGAACACGCGCACGAACATAGGTGTCGGTGACACATCTGTGAACGATAAAACGCGTCGATCGCTGATCGCAGCGTGATCAGCGCTCGTTGGTGAGGAAGTCGGAGGTGGTAGTGCTGAGACGTCGGTATCATGCTACTATGATCAGTCTTACGGACGGAGGAAATGTGCAGACGGCGCTCCTGTGAGTTAATCATGGAGGGGGCCGTTGATCTCCACTGGTCATCGTAAAATACATGCCAACACAACAACTCCAAGCCGTTCATCACCCTCACCGACCGTCCACTGTTTCTTTGCGCCGTTCCGTTACAGTTCCCTGAATTTCTTGATAATCAACTCCCCTTCAAGCTTGTCCTTCACGAACGCCACGACAGTCGCCAACCCTTCACCCTTCTCATGCGCATCGAACGCGGCATCATCCACATAGACCTCGTAAAAACCGAACTCCCGCGGGTCATCCGGGGAGATATGCACTAACGATAGTCAAAGGCGATGGACACGAGTCAGAGGGGCTCGCGCTAGTATTACTGGCATACCCACCTTTGTACACCTCCGTCCCGGGTTCCTGAAGTGATTTTGCCTGCCCTGCTTTGAGCGCTTCTGCGAGCCCAGCTTCATGACCAGCCTTTACGCGGCCGAAGGCGATAACGGTGAGCTTAGACATGGTAGGGTGTTGCGCTTGAACTAGTCGCAGAATGTCGCAAAGGAGCTCTGCTTAAAAAGCGGAATGCGCTAGTATCATCTCCACGATCAGCCGGTAGTTGCCGGTATAGCTGACTCATGCTGACGATAGTGTGTCAACGATGTTGCACAATACTTATGTATAATTAGCATACGACGACACGCCGCGGCGGAATTACGAGCATGGCTCCCGCGGGAAACAGGCTGAATCTGGGCAAAATAGATCAGAAATGATTGGCAAAATAATTCAGAAAAGCTATGAGCTAAGCTGACCCAAATGATGTCAAACCAGGGTTCTCCAGGGATATACAGTAGCTTTGAGCTCGAATCGATCCTCGGGGCCCATTTGAGTTGCGTAGGCATGAGGTGCGGAGCCCCATCCGTTGACCGACACATCCATCCATTCTGAGTGGGAAGTTCTGCTGCCTTGAATGGTGCCGGAGACGACCGGTTTCCGCCCGGCCATGCAGTGGTAGAAGGAGGCATCACGGCTACCATAAAGCCGGTAGACGGAATGGAACGGTGAGAGCGATATCGTGAGAGGTACTAAGCATGGTCGTTCTCTCCTCACGCAGTGTACCCATAGACGGATCGTACACGGCTCGCTTAGTCCTCTTCTCATGAATCGAGATCTTGCGGTCAAGTCTACTGAGATCGAGACAGCTTCTACGTTTCGAAATACCGATGAGTTTATTGCAGGCAAGGAGCGGACAAAATCGAAGGCACGATTACGCAGGGCAACCCTGGAAGACCGACCAGACGAATTGGGCCATGATGCGATGCGTTTGATACTAGCGAGCGAGGTCAGCTTCTGCAAACGAATGTCGAAAAGGGTGCGTGCCTGTGGGTGTGCGGGGATCCAGTACAAGTCTATCACGCCGCAGATGGTTAGATGATGACGTCCCAGCGAGACTGCTTAGCGTCGATACTCACAGTCATCGGGATCCGAACAACCACCAACAGTCGTCGTTTCGCTGACCAAGCACGCACTGGTGTTAGTATATCCGAAAGATTGATAGTTGGCGAAAATTGCGTCGTAGAGCTCGGCCCAATTGACGAAAGCAAAGTTGATTCCCTTTGAGGAACGCAGAGACTTGGCTCCCTGCCAAATCCGATTATCGAAATCTTGTGACGTCGCTCGATCGAACTGGACCGCTGATCAAAGCAGTGTCATACATTGAGCAGTTTGCAAGTACTCCGATTGTGAGAGGATGGCGTACCGATGAAGAGGAAGTTCTTGGCACCCTGAGTGGAGATCAAGTATTCGGTCTGGTTGATGACCTGGGCAGCTGCAGCCGGCAGGTTGGCAACGTTGTCTTTGATACTCGCAGCATAATCATTGATTCCGAAGAAGACCGTGTACAATGTCGTGTCCTGGTTGAGACCATTGTTCTGGCCAACGTAAGTTGCAACTTGCTTCACCATATCGCCGTTGTTTGCCTAACATCAACGTCAGAGACATGCTTTTGTGAGGTATGGAGAAACTCCGTCACATACTCGCGAGGGCCATAAGGTATGATCGACCGTGCTTCCAGCGAGAGCGTAGTTCTTTACAATCGTGCTGCTGCTGATGTTGGCGGCCAGGTCCTCCTCCCACATCAGTCCGTTGCTGATTCGTCCGCCATATTCGGGGTTGGTCCCGCTGGCGACAGCAGGTGACGGCGTACCGCCGGCATGCTGGCCGTTGTCCGTGTATGAGTCGCCAAAGGAGACTACCGTCTTGATGTTGGACAACTGCACGCCGGCGTTTATGTTTTGGAAAGTGCTTGAGGAGTAAGTCCCGCACGTTGGGAACTTGACTAGGTGGACCTGATTCGCACTGCCGAGTACGAATCTCGGAAGGGAGAACAGAAGTAACAGTGCCAGGTGCGAGTGCATGATGGGCAGTGCGGAACGGTATGAAGCGTGGAATGATTGTTCGATTCAGCGTGAGGTCAAATACATAACGGCACGCATATCCCGGCCCGTTGAACCATGTGCATAGAGAACCCCGGCGGCAAATCGGAACAAGTAGTTGGAGTACGCACCATCCGATGAATGTATACGGAATCAGGAACATTTTGCATGACGCGCATAGCAAGCGTGCAACAACCTCGGATGCTGGCCGTATTGCACAACCAATCTGTCGTAGGTGGAGACCCCACGAGTTTTTTTGAGATCGATCCTGGCTGCGCTTAAAATGATATGGAATCGGGTTTACTACCTGGACGCACTCCAAGGAAGGGGCCACCGGGAGCAGAATGCGCTCTCATCACCATGGCGCCCGCAAAAACAGTCGCTGGCTGCTTCCGATTGCGAGAGACGTGATTGGGACGTGAAGGTGTTCGGTTGCTCAGATGCAGGTCCAATGTGCAAGAAGCAGGTTGAACGGGCCGACAGAGAGATCATGTGGATGTCCGACCTTGGACGTCTTCGAAATGCAGCACAAGATAGCCTGAGCAACCACAAAGACCGATATCGCAGCTCACATGCGTGAAAGTCTCGTCGAAAACGCGCCCAGGGGGGGCGGGGTATGGCCTACTAGTCGTTGGTTGTTGACAACGTTGACTCGTTGACGATGTTGCATGCACGAAGGCAACGCGCGAGTACAGCAACATGTGATTTCTGCTATTTCTCAGGCTTTGGCACCTCTTGTCCCGGAGTCAGCCTCTGCGCGCAGTCATGGCCATACGCCGTCGGGTCCCATTGATCGTCGCGGGGACATCTGTGCCGCAGATATGTCGCCCACCTCCAATACAACGATTGGAAAGATACCAGCCGGCGAGCTCAAAGATGGCATGCAGCAGAAACTGTCAACGTACCGAGGATTTGCACAGGAGATGGTCAGACGCACAAAGCTCGTTGAAGTGGATATGAGGCCAAATGCGGAAGAACCGACACGCAAGGAAGCCAGAGTTGTCTGTGAGGTGGATGTACAAGACGGTGTGTAGAATGTCCGATGATACGATGGAGCGTTGCTAAATAACGTCCTAGATATGCTCAATCCTCATAACGTACATGGAGGATGCATGGCCACTCTCATTGACAAGTTCGTCTACTATAGATCTAACTGTGGGCATCGTCTCTGATCGTTGCCCTAGTTGCACTTCTCTGCCATTGTCCGTGTGGAACGTAGCAGCTGGAGGACCAGGCACATCAGGAGTGTCACAATCATTGGCAGTGTGGTATCACGCCCCAGCACCCAAGTGAGCACAAATTCCGTAGAACGGATGTCCGACCGATACAAGTACGAATTTTTAGGGGTAGCCGTCTCCGCTTGATCAGCACCACCACGGCAGTTGGGTCTCGAACCATGATGGTTCGTTGCGAGGTAGGCAGGTCTCAGGCTGTTGTCATTCTTTAAATTTCGTCGCTCAAACCTTCGATAGGTTTGGGATATCACTCACCATCGGCTGGTAGCAACCGGCGTCCATACCAAACTGGAGCCGTCCGTCTCCAAGAGCAAATTGTAATGCGTCGGAGGCCAGTGGGGGCTCTAAGCCGACCATGATAGCATGCCTTGAGCCTGTATCGAGCTGAAACGATAGGCTGCTTGTTTGCATATGATGACCGATATGAATGAGCCCCGAACTTCCAGCATCAGTCGTTTATGACCACGTTAGGGCGGTGGCATCCGCCTCGCTATATACCTTCAAGCATCTTTTTCGTACGAGAGCGGTGTTGAACACATCAGTGCCAGTGTTCATGCCATTAACCCCTTCTCCTTCGCTTGCGTCTCCTACCATCCCCTTCCTGCACTTCCATTTCCCCATTTCGATCCGGAGCTGGCGAATCCGTGATCGCTTTTTCCACTGCTTGCTTTCGAACTTTCTCCGGTACCTTCTCCCAATACAGTTGCTCCTTCCTGCCCTGTACCAACTCTAGAACTATTGTTCCATCCCCCGCTATGTCTTGCTCAGACCCGGCGTCCAACCCATCCTGCTGTACGGTGGGATGTGACTTGAAGTAGTCGACAAGCCTCTGGGCATGTTTGGCGCTTGCAAGACGCAGGTAACACTGAGAATTAACGTTAGACCGAACCCGCTCTGCCCAAAGTGCATGGTTAACACGAACCGTATCTAGGCCCTTGGTGAAATCGACATAGTCAATACCGTCGGATGGAGCGGCTGAGGGAGGCTGGGCACGCAATTTGAAAGCGACGGAAAATAAGGTGCGGAGGGTTGTTTTGTTCGTTTGTGGATGCACGCGCCGCACAAACACGAGGCAGTCGAGAGGATAAGGCGACCATGGCTGCGTGCTTGCGGGGGATGGTTCAGCCGCTGTAGACGGAGGCGGTATGGCCGGACTCTCTGTGACCGTGCTTTCTGAGACCGAAGGGGGAGGAACTGATCGTGGCCCTGTTTGTTCGGCGTCCGCTGCCACAATTTCGTGCAGAAGCTTTTGGCGATACGCAAGGTATTCATCTTGACGCTTACTCCACTCTCGCTTGGAAAGGCACCTGAAACCGAACTTTACACACTCCTGAACGATACTCGGCACGGGGTTCTCCTTATGACGAGCAGATGTAGGATCCCAAGGCCATGCGGCAAGTATGAATTCCGCGTCCTCGGCGGAAGAGAGAGTCACCAGCGCAAACCCCTTGCATTTCGGGGGGTCTCCGGGTTTGTCAAGGTGATGCGGTGGAAGAGTTATACTCTGTATTCGTGATGCATTTTTTGAGGACAAGTTCTCTCGAGCACAGTTTGAAGCGAGCAAGTCGACGACCATTCCATAGATACCTGGGAGGGTCCGATGTCGTGAAGGGCAGTTCTCCTGTATTTTTAGGTTGAGTAATCTTACCGGCCCTAGCTGTGTACTACGTACGATATAGACTGTCCTAGCATCCCAGTAATCTCCCGCGTAGTGAGCCACAAGAGTCTCCTCCCTGGCCCAAGCCTTCCTCCGGATCTCAAAGCCACCACCGACCACCTTCACGCGAGAAGCGTCCGGAGTGTACCAGTTCGCCTTGGAGGGCGCAGCGACGACCATCCTAACTTCACATTGATCGTTCAAGTGCGCTCTGATGCTCTTGAGTAGTTCGACCTCTGATATCGCATCCCGCAGTCCTGAGAAGACGGGAGAAAGACGCACAATGCGACTAAGTGGGACAACTGGGTGAATACCAATCAAGAACTGGGACCTGATGGGGATTCAAGAAGCGTACATCGTTCACTAGATGATTCAATGGACTGCCGGAGATCGCCATTAAGCCATAGGGCATGATCGGACAACGACATCGATATCAGAGACGCGTACTCGGGTTCAATGAACCGCTGCTCTCTGTGTTTTCCCTTCGATCGTGATTCATTTGTGTCTGACGGGGTCTCCAAGGGTGCGATGGGGCCTTCAGAACAGATCTGCGAGCTTGGTCGAGATATGGTAGATGAAGGAGCAGCCCGCGCATTCTTGGCGGTATCACTCGCGCTGGAAGGGCGTTTGGATAATTTGCGAGGAATGAATGCAAGCGAAGACATGGTCGACAGCCGACCACCACGAAGCCGAGGGCAACCGGTGGGGTGGGGGCTGGGGGCTGGCCAGGCCAGGGGTAGAGTCCCGTCACTGGGTGCGAAGAGATTCAACTGCCGTTTGAGCCATGACGTCACGCGTCAAGCTTACGATCGCGTTTGCCCTCACATCCTCGCGTTTTTGTCCTGCAGCGGCATACTTGTAAAAACTAAATAGGGACTGGATGTGTAGCGGATGAGATATTCAACACAGCGCGCTCATCTTCAGTGGGCCCAGGGATCGTGGACACCTCCTGTCGCCCCAAAGGTGGCGAACGGCATGAATAAAGCAACGTTCCATTCGTCACGTTTGCGCATTACTATTACAGGGGTATGAAGGTGTGAACTGCATCTATGTGCAGAGAAGGTAGAAGGGAGTGTATAGAAGCTCATTCTTCGGTGATATAGTGAAGCGGGGATATTAATGAACCTTCAAATGTTGACGGAGGTGTACAAAGCAGACGACGATATCGTGCTGAATCGACAAATGGGAGTCATCTCAAACTCAAGCAACGCAAACACACCTACCAAAGGCACCGCGGGAGTATACACTGCCCAAGAATCAATCTGCGATAACTCGAGAGCGACGACCCGGACCAGGCTTGTTGAATGGTATGATCTCATTTCACGGTTCGACGCTTCTTCTTCGGTTTCTCCGATTCTGTGGTAGCGTCTTCCTTGGTAGTCTCTGCGCCGGAGTCCTCAACAGCATCGTTCGCCTCTAAGACAACCGACTTCTTGCCTGCTCGCGCTTTCCTCGATGCGGGAGGGCCTTGGGACCGTGCGCGAGCTTTTGATGCAGGTGCTCGACTAGCTGCCCTTCGCGGTCGTTTCGGCTCCTTGGCAGAGCGCGACGACTTGACCGATCTGGTATCCTCATCGTCGGACTCCTTTCTCGCTGTTCTCGCACGCCCTCGGATGCTATCATCGGCGGTAGGGTCCTGCTCGTCCGTCTCCATGGGCTCGTCGTCACTGCTCGTCTCCTTGAGGTTCACGCTCTTACGACTGCGTGTAGAGCGAGTGCGCTTCCGAGCGCTGATCATGGGGCTTGCACTACCTGCAGCAAGCTGTACTCGGATTCCGTGGCAATTCCGCGAAAGGCACGATATGAGTTTATCCTCCGTGGGTGATGAGTCGGCACGATATCGTGCGCGCCTGATGTCCGTCTACGAACATGAATGAGCAGGATTGGGCTTCTTCAACGATCCCACAAGCGTACCGTATGTCGTCCCTCGTAGCACCAACCGTCCGGAGGACCTTGGTCTCCATCGCCCTCGACGGTCTTATCGCAGCATCCCCAGCGAGTTTCGAACGTTGCACCCTCCCTCACGGTACCACCCGGACCTTTCTTGCGCATGTTATTCACGCCAATACGCTCAACAACCGCGCTTTCGTCGTCGTGAGGTAGCAGGCAGCTCCTATCATCGTTTTCGATTTCGACGTATTCTTTGTGACACCGCACACAATGCAACCGTGGCGGTGGAGTAAGACTTGAGTAGAATAACGAAAGGGCCGAGAGTACAGAGGGATCCGCGTTGGGAAGATGCGAGAGTGTGTAGGCGTGGAGCGTCTTGGCGGGGACGGCCTTGAGATGGGCAGTGAGCGCATCAGAATCGGGAGGAACGCCGTGGATTTCTGGTAGATCAAAGTGGGTGCGAGATGGCGAGCCATGTCCTTTCGCGGTTGGAGAACCTAGAGGAGCAGGGCCTTGGCCCACGGATGCGGCCTCTGAAGGTGAAGGTGTCCGCAGTTGTTGTGCTGGAGCATGGTCTGAAGGTGCAGGTGCCTTCGATCCTGACTTGCGCGAGAACAAACCAAAAACCATGTTTCATCCAATATGATGGTACTGTGTCTATGTCAGCGTCTGTACAAATTGCGGGAAACTCCAAGTCAGCGTACCGATATAAGTACTTGCGTTCCAGTGATTTCGAGTGGGAGCGAACGAAAGGGATGATCGAGCAATGTCGGTGACGTCCTGCGTAGATAAAGCGTATAGAACAGGAAAGATGAACTCTGCCTCACGCAGAACTTGCTTGGACCACCACGGGGATCTCTGAGCGGTTGTCGCGCCGCGGCAGCGAGCAGAAAACGAGGAGTCGGAGGCAATGATACGCGCCGTAGGCACGTGGGCGTGGCTTGTTTGGTCATCGCGGTCTCTTGCTCAGTCTGGACCACAGACCTCGGTGAACGTCATTAGTGTGCTTACTACTATGACCAGTGAGAGCACAGCGGGAAAAGGCAATGTCAGGATGTTGATGCAATTTTGGGGCTCTCTTACACTCATATACTGATGTGCCACTCACTCAGCACGGCCGCCTGGCGAAATGGCATCGCGTCTGACTACGATCTCTAGCTCATTCAGCGTGAGGTAATCAGGAGATTGCAGGTTCGACCCCTGCGGTGGTCATTTTGCTTGCCTGACATCATGTCGGCTTTTTCAAGCCAAGGCTCGACGCGAGCTCCCAACAAGGCGAGATTTGTACACTGATGAATGCATACATGAGCTTTGACTAGGGTTCAGGCAAAGCTCTCATGTCGGCTGTAAGTTGCACGAGTGGTCGTGAGATGGTTTTTGTAGCCTGGCGGTGTGAAGGCTTTTGGCTGTGGTCCATTTGCATACACGGTTCCTACGGTAACTGGCACGGTTATGATGTTCCCAGAGCGAGGTGAATCGCCGCCTGCTTCAAACGCCGCTACCGAGAAGGGTAGCGTCGCGACGAAATACTATCAGGCATCAAATGAGGATGAATCCGTAGCTGACGCAGGCTAACGCACGGATATGTTCAGGATCGCAAACGATGCGCTAGGGATCGCCATGCTGGGTATTCTGATTTCACCCTGCAGCACTCGTCGCTCCGCCGAGCCTGGTACCTCCTGCGGCGTCCTATCCGGCCACCAAGCCGCAAACTCGATTTCTTTACTGGAGACGAGATAGTGTCCATCGATGAGTTTCATCGTGTCCTTCACTTTGCTCTTAATACCGGGGTGGCAAGTCTGCCGCCTGACAAGGCATACACGAATTGCATACGGCGTTGCAAAGAGGTCAAGGGCTTGTTGATCTTGGCTTTCGATGAGGAGGGAGAGTGGGATGATGCTACCCCTCGTATAGCAGAGCTAACATGCGCGATTCCTATTGAGTGCTTTCAGCAGATGCAAGGTTGATGTTGCTACATACCGGTCGGGCAAGCGAAAGCTGAGCATCAAGTCTACGATGAGTAAATGAGTTGATTCACTGATCGCGGGACGCACCGTACATCGCAGCTCTACGTGGCGCATCTTGAATATGGTGCCCTCGATGATAGCTGTCTGCACTGTGTGCCACCCGAGCGGATCTCCATGAGGGCCCAAGAGAAAATCAGCGTTCTCTTGATACACGAGCTGGCGAAGCGCCGATGGTGGATCAGGCTGTAAATGTGGAGAGTAGACCAACTTCCGCCCTAGTCTGGTGGGTAATGCCGTGAGTCCAACGTGATTCTAATGAAAACTCAATTCATGGCAACCTTGTATCGGCCTTGAAAGTACCGCGCTGTAAATGCGCAACGAGCTCATAATGAATCGAGAACTCCCCAACCCCTTCTTCGCAAGTCGGGGGTAAGCGGTAAGGCTTAGGCAAGCCATCATCGCCCACTTTCGTCGCAATCTGTTTTGGCAGTTTGTACGAGACTTCGCGACCGAGCTCCAACGTGAAGGCAAAGCTGTACTTCCCCAACAGCTTCGCCGTGAACTTTTGCCGGCTGGTGGACGTAGAAGTGGAATTAACCGAACACGGGTCACCCATGCCCAGGTTCCACAGCGTCCTCGATACGTTGAGAAACACATCTTGTTTGCTCTCGTGGACACCCCCAGAAGCCGAATCAGGGAATGTGAGTATGCCGACAACCTTTAGTATATCAAATAGAAGGTTATTCTTGGTACTGAATCAATCACGGAACAGGGTGATACTCACGGACACAGAGATAGCAATAATAGAATCGCCCTTGTCGAGATCTAGGTCAAGGGATCCTGTAATCTTGTCACCCTCGAGAAACTCGGGCAATTGCTGGGCGTTACGAGCGCGGCTCTGTATTGTGAGCGTTACCCAAGCTTTCTGCTTGCTGGTCTCCAATTGGATGCAATGAACCACTGGTTCACGAGGGACTCCGGCGATCGGTTCGGTATATGCGGGCAACGCTTCTCCATCCGCCATCCTTGGTGGGCCGTATCCTGGTTGCGGTCACTGAACTGCAGCAGGCTTTTGTCAGTCAACGATTGCACGGTAGAATGCTAGGTGACATACGACGGTGGTTCTGCCTACACTGACTCCCCAACAATGGGCGGGGGATCACGACATGCGTAGTGTTCCCTCTTCCTTATGACTGAAGCTCGAAACGACTGAGCGCTCAGCAGTGCGGGCCGCTGCGTTGATGAATCCATGATGCAACTTGCACAGACTTCACTGCTTTCGTTGATGCTGAGAACAGGAATCAGGATGCAGCTATTGACAGGCACACAACACAATGAGCACAATGCATCTATCGTTGTGAGCAACTCTAGAGAACGGGCACGTCTGAGCGTAGGCTCGTAAACCCGCCTCTAACCAAATGAAGAAGACAATCGTTCTCGGGGTTACTTAGGTTGTATCCAATGGCAGAGATGATGCAGGATAGAAAAAAGTGGACACACCCGAACTCGAATCGGGGACCTCTCGCAAGCCCAGAACTTGTCGATGCTAAGCGAGCGTGATAAACCAGCTACACCATGCGCCCGTATGTGTCCTTTACCCCAAATATTTATAAGGGTTGAAAGCCTGCAGGATGCGATACAGTTACGCGTATGAACCTAACGCCGACTTACTCCTGCCCGAATAGCGTCGCTGATATCGGCGTCGCGGCAGGAGGGACAGTTCCGCACCCTATTATAAGACGTATGAGCGCGATGCATGTGGAGAAGGTGGATATGAAGATAGCAGGAATGATGGGCGGCGAATGCTCCGATTGCAAATTATTTCCCCTTCATCCAGCGCATCTGGCGGTTATCAGTCGTCGCAAAGCGATGGCAGAAAACGCAGCTCAGACGCTAAGGAACGGCTGTCCAGGAAGGATGCTTGTTTTCGTCATGGCGGAAGCGGCGCGATAGGTGTAAAGAGAGTGGAAAGCTGAACACGTACCGCGAGGAGTACTCCGACTGTCCACATACGTTGCTGATGAGGAACGCAGGTCTGAGAACTCTCATATGTATCGTTGGATAAGCTCAAGCTTGCCTGGAGCCTAAGCTGTGAAGCTTTGACAGAAGTCTCTGAGGCGACGTTGTGCCGTTGGCCAAAGAAAGGCTACGGCTCGCGTACAGCCACTCGTCAATGGGCTCGTACGGTTCAGCCGTGGCCAGTACCTGATCGTATAATTAACGGTGATATCGTCGGACGCCGTATCTGCGATCACCCGCAAAACTTATCTTGCTCGGTGCCTCGTCCACTGGTTTATCGGCCAGAGCAGGCCTGCAGCGGGCACATGGACGGACGTGCCGGCTCGGAGCACGGTGCGGCGACTCCCATGGACCAGCTGAAGCTTCTTCGCCCCGGAATTCCAGCTTCAGATGAGCGTCGGTCTTATCGCCCCTCTCCAACGCCTTTATCTCCATCCAGCGAGCTCAGGCCCGCCGCCGGTCCACAGCCATGTCTCGCAACCCCCTGCCCGAGCCCGTCCCTGCCGCGCTCGTCGAGGATGTCGACGTCAAAGACATCAAGGCCGTAAACGGGAGCGATATCGACATCGTCGTCGACAATGTTCCAGTCGTCTCCGCATTCGTAGACCCCGATCGCGAGCCCGTCGTGACAAGACGCGAACTCTGGTCATACTACCTTTACTACAACGGTGACAACGTCTGTCCTTTCGTCTGTCAGCGCGAACCACTGCTGACTCCCTTCCAGGGTGTGGGGCCAAATGGCTACTCCATGACCCTTTTCCAATCCCTCGCTACGTCCGCTGGATGGGATCCCGTTCGCGGCAAAGGCTCCTCATGCACGGACGACGGCGCATCCGGCAGATGCGTCGTACCGTGGGCAGGTGGATCTAAGGGAGTCACTAGCGTGGTCCTGGTCGCCAACGGGGCTAGCTTTGCCGTGAGTACACCTCTCCTGAACACGAAGTTGTCGGCAGGGAAGCCTGATGACGGGTCCACCAGATCATGACCTTGATCTTCACGACCGTCGGATCTGCAGCCGACTACGGCGGTTTCGGTCGCTGGGTCCTACTCTTCTTCACCGTCGTATGCTGGGCAGCTCAGTTTGCCTCCATGTCCTTGACCAGTATGTCACTCGACCTCCCTGAAACGGCTGGCTTATCATGAACTTTCAGAGCCTTCGCGATGGGGTGTAGCTATGGCTCTGTACATGGTCGGTTTTATATCATACGGGGCAACACTCGTGTTCTACGCCGCAGCCTTCCCCCGGCTTGCGCGCAACACTCCGTGAGTGAAGACATTCATAGGAATTGCAACGGCATTCTGTCGGGATTGGATCGGCACGCATATATGCTGAAACATTACTCCCAGACACGCTCGTGACCTTCGAGAAAAGCACGAAAAGGGCGAGATATCTGCGGAAGAGTACGAGCAGGAAGAGTCACTCGAGAAGAACCGGATCTCCAACATCTCTACCGTGCGTTCGACCTTGCTTTACTATGACGTTTTTAGAAGTTTTATACCCCTTGGTTCAGATGCATTCCAACATAGGGTATATCTTCACCCTTTGCCTGAACCTCTCGCTTCTCCTCCCGCTCGCCAACAACCCCAAGGTGGACAACTACGTGATTGTCCTCACCAACGCATACTGGGTCCTGCTAGGAGTATGGTGGTGTGCGTACTGTTGCCTGCATCATTGGATGACCTGTACTGATCCTCGGTACCAGTTGTTTATCAGCAACCTCGTCCCGGGCCTGCGTTGCCGAAGGGCGAACGTTACACGACAATCGGCTGGAGACAGATCTGGGTCGCGCTGAAGCAGTACAAGAAGCTGCCCTACACTTTCATCTACTTGTTCGCCTTCTTCCTGCTCGCGGACGTGCGTCCTGTTTCTGTTCTTTGTCATTTCATGTATCCTGATCATTTGACTGCATGCAGGGCTTGAATACTACAGGAACGCTTGTCTCAACTTGCCAGAACGATAAGTTCTCGTTCTCCTTCCTCTACAATACGTATCTCGGACTGGCGCAGGCGATCACCTCGACTGCCAGGTGAGAGATATTCTTTTCTCCCCTTTCCCCATGCTCAAAGGGCACATAGCACGCTCGGCTTCTGGTACATTCAACGGTACTGGAAGATCAGCACGAAGAAAATGGTGTGCTTCCTATATCCCATCTCTTGCTGAATCAGAACTGACTCGGCGCAAATAGTTTGTCGTGACCAACGTTGTGACGATCATGATACCGTTGTGGGGCATGATCGGTATCTGGACCAACAAGCTTGGATTCCATAACGTCTGGGAGTTCTGGTACGGCTTGCAAAGTACACTGACCTCATCGCAGGGCTAACATCGCGCATAGGGCATACAATGTCGTCTTCGGCCTCTTCCAAGCGCCGTACTACGCCTTCTCGCAAACGATGATGGCGGAGCTCACCCCGCCCGGCTTCGACAACATGGTGCGTGTCGGTCATTACTCTACCCCCCTATCCCTTGCTGACTCGCAGCTTCCAGTTCTTCGGCCTTTTCGGGTTGTCGAACCGCGCTTCGTCTATGATCGGACCGAATGTGATCCAGGCGATCATCGACAACGCGGACGGGAACAGCTGGATGGGATTCCCGTTCCTGTTCGCCATGTGCACTGCGGCGTCGCTCGTGATTTGGTTCGGCGTCGATGTGACTAAGGGCCGACGCGACGCGGTAAGGTGGGCGGCAGAGAGGAAGGGGGTGAAGCTTTGACGACACTGTTACCATGTATTATGTTTCTTGGCCACGCTGACGTATATCTGGACCTCCGTGACGACGTTTACCTATTTCACCCATTATGTGGTTCGCTCGAAAGAACGAATGTGGCTCAACGAGGCATGCAAATCCATGCGGTTGATTTTAGAGCCAGCGTTTATGAATACAGATCGTAAGTTTGCGTAAACGGATGTCCGTTGCATTTGGGAGAAGCAGTTGTTGGTGATTTTGTCTCGTCTCGTTCGGAAAACATGTCCAGCAGTGCACTCAGAGGGCGCTCGTTTCTTGATCATCACGACCATCAGTCCAACTCGTGCAAAACGCGCATCGCTTGGCCTGTGGATTATGCGCAACGTGGTAAGCATACTGAACGATATCAAACGGCGAGTCGAAATATACCTTTGCACTTATCGTCTTACGGCATTGGGGGCATTTTCGAGTATGCGTGATGATGGAGTCGTGCGAGACCCATCCGTAGAAGCTTGCCATACCATATAGCACCATGCCGATGCCAATGAAGTTGACGATGTTGTCAATGAAGATACTGGATATATGAGATTCGTTAGCTCGAGCCACCAGATGGGCATTGAGGGCACGCACCCATACGCCAGCGTCACTGCACCATCATCGCTCGCTTGTTGAAGCGTATTATAGCCCTGTCCCCTTGGGGATGCATGGGGACCTTTCTTCAGCACCCAGAACTTGTCGGGTAGGTTGCGGCTGATGAACGGTAACAAGGAAATGACGGGAAGGATGACGTCCGAGACCAGCGAGGTTACAACCTTCGTGAACGCTGCCGCAAGGCTGAACAAGATATATCAGTTTCTATTTGCGCTTGACGGGTGGAAACGCGAAGTGTGCCCTTACATTAGACCGACGGCGACCTCCAGCACGTTATCACGGAGGGCAAAGTCTTTGAAGCCCTCCCAGGTGCGTTTCACGCGCGCACCGACGGTATGGCCGGCATTGAGGAGCGCTTGACGACCGTCTTCGATGTTTCTGTCGGACATGGCGAATGGGCAAAGAGATGTCGGGTGACGCTGAAGCCAAGGCCCAAGAGGGGCGCCGCTGAACATCCAGTTGACGTCATGATTTGCTGTGTCGACGCGGCATGGCAATATGATATGCGTTCGTCAATGTGGGCAGAGAGGTTGATAAGGGGGTCCAGGACCGTGGATGTTAGGTGAACTTGGGCTGAGCAGAATACGACAAACAATATCAACGTTCGTGTAGGTTTCGTACCGGCGCTAGTAGTTTGTGGACAGACGCCCGCACAGCCTTACCGTGCTTTTCTCCTGCTCTGACGGACCGTTGGACGAGCGTAGAGCCACCGCACGCTGCACCTTCACAATGTCAAAACGGTCTGCTTCGCCATCGCAGTCGGGAGCTCTCGTCAAGCGAGCGCGCGGAAGCCCACAACCCGAGACCCAGCTTGCAATCTCCTCATCTAATGATGCGCGGCAACAGGCCCTCATCCGCACCGTGAAGCGTACCAGTAACCTGGACGCGCCCATTGTCAGCTTGTCTGGCGCGCACTCTGTATGTAGCCGCAAGAAAGCCTATCTGGAGCCTTTTGTTTATACCCACATCCTTCCAGGCCGAGATCCTCAGCTGCAGGTTTGACCCCACGGGACAAAACATTGCTGCATGCTCAAGCGACCGAAGCGTTTGTGAGTTCTCGTGTTGAACGCGCCTGCATTCCGCGCTTACGAGCCGTACGTCAGCCCTTTGGCGCACATACCCTCCGAACACGAACTATGCTCTCCTTTCATCGTTACACAAGGCGCCCATCCTCGACCTACAGTGGTCTCTTATATCGCCGCTCTTGTACACCGCGTCAGCAGACCATACGATCATCTACACGGACCTCAGCACGGGCGAACGCGTCCGGCGCATACGTGCCCACCGAGGCGTAATCAACAGCATAGACAGGGTCGTAGCAGGCGGCGCTGGCACTGAACTCCTCGCAACCGCGGCTGACGACGGCACGGTCAAGGTGTGGGAGGGTGGAGACGAAGGTTCCAAGGAGGCAATTGCGACTTTCCACGTCGGCTGCCCGGTGACGAGCGTATGCTGGAGCTTGGACGGAACAACCATCTACGCAGGCGCGCTCGACAATGAAATACACGTACGTCGCGCGGGCTGTCTCTCGCGCCTCATTCTCATTTTCCATAGATATATGATTTGAGGAAACAAGCCGAGCTGTCTACTCTCTCGGGTCACACCGACACGCCAACATCGCTTTCGCTGTCACCTAACGGCGAATACCTCCTCTCCCCGTCGTTCTCCTCGACCACCCTCATTCACGACATCCGTCCATTCTCGCCCTCACCCAACCGCATACATCGTTCTCTCCAAGGCGCACCAGCGGGCTTCGAAAACACCCTCCTCCGCGGCAACTGGAGCCGCGACGACGGTGGGAAGAGAGTTGCCGTGGGTGGAGCTGACCGGACGGTGTGTATCTGGGACGTTGAGAGCGGGCGGGTCCTTTACAAGGTGAAAGGTTTTGTACCCGACTGCTCAGCACGTACTAACAGTGGTTCTAGTTGCCCGGACACAAGGGCACCGTCACCGCCGTGGATTTCCATCCAAAGGAGCCCGTTAGTGCGTAACTCCGCCTTTCTCAGAGCATAATTCCGAGCTCATCCCATCTTGTCTTACAGTCCTCACGGGAAGCAAGGACGCCACGCTCTTGGTGGGCGAGATTGAACCTTCCGTTGGCGCGTAACCTATATTCATGTGTACGATTGGGACAAAGCGTCCCTGTACGACCACTTGTCAAATGGATGATGCATTGCTTGATGATGTGTTCGAAGAGCCAGAAAGCATACTAGACTTCGCGCAAGAAGAGCATACAACGATAGCGAATCAAGGAACCCGGACGATACAAATACACGCGCAGTTTTTGTGTTATTCACTCATCATCAACGCTGTTCAGCCAGTAAAAGCTCGGGAGCGCTTGATACACCTGCTCCATATACCAATAGCCGCTCGGCGTGCCGTCCTTCCTCACAATTTGCTGATAGAGAGCACCAACTCCCATGCCGGGAAGCATATTCTCCGTGCCCGCCTCGGGCATGAGCACGGTGACGCTGTCCTCGCACGGATGGAAAGGTTTGGCATGAGCGGCGCTCTCTCCCTTCACCTCGCCGTCGATGATGACCGCCCCTTTGGACTGAGGCAGGATGGCGGGGTAGCGTATGTCGCTCTTCTGACGGTCGTCCCACCAGCCCCAGGGGGCCATGACGACCTTTGCGAAGCAGCGATCGAGCTCGGCTTCCGCCTGCTCAGCCGTCTCTATTTCGCCCTGTTTCTTCTTGGGGATCTTCGCGTTGGGCTTGATCACCTGGACGATCTTTCGCGTGCTCTTCTCGATGATGCCCCGTTCGTGCGTACGGGGCAGCGCCGTCGCACCCGGAAGTTCGTCCAGCGTCGGTTGCTTAATGTTCCCCCACCCACCGTCCTCTTCGGCGTCTTGCGAGGCGTCGTTGGCCCAGCCTCCCTGGCCATCGGACAGGCCCCATTCACCATCGGGCGCGGCTGCGGTCCAATCAGCGTCGCCGCCAGCGTTGTCATCTTCGCCTTTGTTTATCGCCGTCGGTATGTCCGGTTCCAAGCCCAAGTCGAGCTCGTAGTACTCCGTCACAGAGCCCCACGTCGTAGTGCATGCCCTCGAGAAGTCGCCGGGCAGGAGCTCGGATATGGTCTTTGTCATGGGCAACTCCGTCTCGGCCTTCAGCGCCACAGCGGCAGCTTTCTCAAACTGCTCTCCCATACCGGGGAACACCTTCGTCCGGATGATGAAGTTCAGAAAGAAATGAAGCAATTTCGGAGCATCGCGGCACCGCGGTACGCTCCTGTTTGTCATGTCCGTGAGCCGCTGCCCACCGCGATGCACACGATCTTACCAGATCAAGCCCTTGTCTCTGAAGAAGGACGAGAGGAACACTTTGATGGACGTCTCCGGGTCTTTGATGAAGGCTAACATGCGATTGTCATCTCTGTGCGCTGGAAGCGCCCTAGCCTTTTCTTCCTTGCCGTTAGCTGGAATGCTAGGCGTCGCTATTGGAGCAGGAGCAGGAGCAGGAGCAGGAGCAGGAGCAGGAGCAGACGCTTCATCTCCCATCCCAAATCCTGCGCCGAAATCCGAGTCGTCATCGTCCATATCCGCATCTTCGTCATCGCCACCGTTGGTGGATTTGGATGGCGTGGGGTTACTGAGAACCCCAATGTATCCACGATACTACGCGTAGAGCACATCAGGGCGTGCTGGTGTCACGATGAGAGCTGCGACGTGTACCTGATCCCACAGGTTCTGCAACCCACTCGTGTTGGGGGGCCAGGCTCTGCCTTTCTCAAAATCAAAGGCGACGTTGGCAAGCTTGTCGATCAGGCCAAGAGTGCTGCACGATGCCACTCTTGTCAGTTTATGTGCTGCAACGGATATCGGCGCGTTGAGCGCTCACGGATCGAGGCGCGAAGCGAGGCCGCGTTGGCTCTCTCCTTCGGCCCAGGCCTCCCACCAAGGGATAGGGCGCGTAGGGATATCGCCGACGAACGCCTGTCCCTTTTTCTTCTTTTTCTTCTTCTTACCAGCGGCACCGTCGACGGCGTGTTTGGTACGCAACGCAACGGTGGGTATACCTAAGCCATCGACCTCGACGGCATCCGATGCGCCTTCGATCGCGTCGGTGATGACGATACCTTTCGGAACAAAGACGCTGAACGGCATGATAGTCACGGCCGGAGGGGCTGGGGGAAAAGGAGGAAACCTGAGGAACGGCTGGTCCTCTATCTCGTTGATATCAGGCCCGTCCGCGACCGCAGACGGAGTCAGGGTCTCCGTCATGGTACAGAGCAGACTCCCGACAACAGCAATTCGGGGCAGCTGCGTGCGATTTAATCACCGCGTCCGCTTTCCCACGCGTACTATTGAAGCTTCTACGACCTTGACTCCCTGTCGAACGGGCACATCTCACGTTGTGGACGAGTTGCAAACAATCGCTGCCTGAAAAGGCCAAGCTCAGGACGGTCCTTTGGAATCAACTCGCATATCGGGCACTGCCCTGTTAAGCGTCAAATTGCCATGCTCGGCGTGCGATGCGTTAGAACATACTGCGCTTTCGATGTCGTCGCACCAGTGCAGCAGAACCCATCATAAAGGGGTTGGCCTGTTTTTCGCAACATTGATCTACGCTCGATGAGACGATGTGATTCGGTTTGGAAACCTAGTTGAGCTACACATAACCCATGAGGAAGTCCGGATCGCAAGCCTCACGCCGGGTGTCTGCCGATCTCATGGTCGTTCGAATCGCGATGCTCTAACACACTGGGACATGACCTTTCATCTTGACTGCGACCCAGTGATCGAGCATGCTGTCGTGGACGACTCAACGATATCTCTTCTTGACGTCTCTGTTACATGAAGCTGACTTGGGGAACAAGGGGCGATCTACGATTCACCGCAGTTGTATAGAGAGCCTACCATCGATACAGGAGGGTCGTACAAGAGGATTCATCGGTAACACGGCATTTTTCATCCAGACCAAACTGCGGGGCCGGGGAATGTGTACGACTGCAGGTTGTTGTAAATGTTAACCTAACGTAGCGCAGATCAGCCGACGATCGACCCCATCGCGGCCTGCTGCATACCGTGATACCAGGGTCAGTGGGTTTGTAGGCTCCGGGAAGGGCGACCGTAGGAGGAGAAGCGGTGCCGCCGGAGGTGATCTTGACCTGAGCGCATCCTTTAGGAAATAAACAAGATGTCTGAATACATGATGCATGCATGCTGATGCATCTATCAGAGAACTGACCGATGTAGAATTGCGCGCCCGGATACGATTGTGCTACGTGTAGTGCGATCTGAGGTAGAGAATCAGCGATAAGTGCTTCTAGATTGTGAAAGTGATATCACAATTTCGGCGCGTAGGCTATGTGCCAACAATTGTAAGTGGTAGATCAATAGCCCATGCCGTAACACTCACAGGTACTCTCCAGCCGGAAGGGACGCTGGGATTACGACGCTGTGCTTGCCTTGGAAAATCCGTGTCTAAGCATGGGGAAATGCATCAACTATCGTATACCTACCGCCATTCGCATTCACAACATCCGTCGCCCATTGCTGGGTCGAGGCGTCGAGTAGACCGGACTGGTATATTTTGGTCCAGACGGCTCCCTGGCCATCAAACGAAGCCGCCGAGGATGGAGCCTTGGCGATATAGACAAGAACTGGACCTTTATGGCCCCCGGAGATCGCGTCCTCACCGGTCCGTTGGGCATGTTGGTGCCACTCGAACGTTATCTGACGCAGGAGATCGTGGTAGTGCGACATGAGGGAGCATCGAGTCGACAAACTCATAGATATACTTACATTCGATCCTGCCGGGATGGACACGGTTGAGATACCCGTACCGGAGAGGCCATTGACATTGCAAGTAAGATCCGTGCTCGTCACGTCGGTGACGGGATTGTTGTTTGGCGGGACACGAATGGCTGTATTCTGACCTTCGTCTAGCTGGATCACGGTCGCAGTGACCCGGTCAGCTGGTGTTATACGACACTGCAGTCACATACGCCATTGTTCCAGATGTACTGCATCGTGAAATGGGCATTGCAGAGCGCCGCCCCTGTAAGGAGAGAGAGAGCCTTTGCGAGCTTCATTCTGCCTGGGTAACAACTCAACCAGGTTGACTATGTCGTCCTCGCTTTATAACCCCTTCTGTTGCAGGGCGGGAAGATACTCTCGCGTCAGCACGAGCATCGTCTGAGAGGTCACGAAGGCTCCTTACGCCGACGTTACGGCGCTATTCATAGGCGACTCCGATGGCGGATCTATGGGAGAAGTCTCTCAGCCATCTCATCGATGACCAGCGCACCGCGGGCGTCATATAGCGCGATAAGGAAGAGTCTCGAGCACTGCAACCGGAGGTTAAAGAAGGGCTTGGCAACCGAGCTTCAAGCGTCAAAACCACAGCACAGAGAAGAATAGTGTGGGTGGCTATAATAAAATCGTCATGAACAAGGCAGAGACGGGTTCGCAAAGGTCGTCAAGGGAGTCACAAGGGCCGAACGTAGATACCTGGAACGGGCAAGAAAACCTACCTTGCGAGTGATGTGAGCTCCCGGAGTAGGCTCGGTCAATCATCAATTGACACCATCGCGCGTATCGCGCTCACGGATCTGGTTTAGTATTGATCGGATCCGATGATGGTACTTGTCATACATTCCTGGACGCGACGCAGTGTTCGTGTTGAATGTAAACAAAAGGCATATGCATGCCATGGTTGTAGCGTGAAGGAAAGATTCGAGGCGCGCTTCAGCCACCGTGCCCCTTCCCTTCGTCACCGTCCCTATTCAGCAGGCTGGGCAGCCGCTTATTGCTGATGTCTGTCCTGTTCGAAACATCCCTCGGGGACATTGTTATAGACCTCGAGGTCGAGAGTTGTCCTAAAACATGCGAGAACTTTCTTAAACTATGCAAAATGTATTATTATAACTTGAACGCGTTCTTCAACGGTGCGTCTCATTCTATTTCCCATCTGGGGGAAGCATACTGATTGGAACATAGTCTCTAAGGATTTTCTCGCGCAGACAGGTGATCCTACTGCGACTGGAACGGGCGGTGAATGTATCTGGTCGTACATCGACAAGTCGAGCCCCCGTTACTTCACGCCTGAACTCGTCCCAAAGCTTAAACATACCCATAAAGGAACCGTCTCCATGGCCATTGCGCCTGCATTGGAGGATGGAACTAAAGGAGGCTGCGGGAGCCAATTCTTCATCACTCTTGCGGACAACATTGACTACCTCGACGGGAGACACGCCGTCTTCGGACATGTAGTTGAAGGATTCGAGACACTGGACAAGCTGAACGACGTTTTTGTGGACGACCAAGGGAGGCCATTCAAAGATGTGCGTATACGCCACGTCGTCATTCTTGGTGCGTCCTCACTTCAGGTTGTGCATTGCCAGTGATGTCTTAATCTCTGCTTCGGCGGGTAGACGACCCATTCCCGGACCCACCTGGCCTTATACAGCCACCTTCGTCTCCAACTCGCCCACCGGACAACTCCACTCGCATTGCGGAAGATGAAGACCCCCTCGCGACCCTTCCCGAAGAAGAGGAAGAAGAGCGGCGGCGACAAGCGGCCGCGCGCGCATCTGCGCTGACGCTCGAGATGGTTGGCGACCTACCGTTCGCGAATGTTCGCCCCCCAGAGAACGTTCTTTTCGTCTGCAAGCTCAATCCGGTGACTCGAGACGAAGATCTGGAGTTGATCTTCTCTCGGTTCGGTACAATCATGAGTTGCCAGGTAATACGGGACAAGAAGACGGGGGACTCGCTGCAGTATGCATTCATCGAGTTTGACAAGCGCGAGCAGGCCGAACAGGTGCGATCAAGTCCCCAGCCAAGAGTTCGGTAGTCTGACAAGAGTCGGGTCTCAGGCTTACTTCAAGATGCAAAATGTTTTGGTGGACGACCGCCGGATATGGGTAGATTTGTGCGTAGGCTTCCCATCCAAGAGCCGTACGGCACAGACTGAACTCCCTGCTCTAGCTCACAATCCGTTGCGCGGCTCAATAATACATGGTCAAATAACCCGAAAATGGGATCGAGGATGGGTGGAGGAAGAGGGGAACGTGAAGAAGGCGGGCGTCGTTCAGGATATGGTGGTAGGGACGATTTGGAAGAGACTAGCAGATACCGAGGATCGGGCGGTGGCCGAGGGCGTGGAGACGACTACGGCATGGTGTTTGACTTGGGTGATAGGGACGATCGGCCGAGGAAAAGGCGAAGCCGAAGCAGGGACGGAGAGAGGGATGGCAGAAAACGGAAGTTATCGAGATCGCGTTCGCCACCGCCACGGGATCGCAACAAACGGAGCAGTCGGAGCCGCGAGCGGCAAAGGAGCAGGAGATAGACCCGTGTTAGGATGAAGGTAGGTAACTTACCACTTCGGTTTCGGTGCTTGTTGTTAAGGGCACGCTCTGATACCCTTTACCAATGCCAGGACGTTATATCGAGCCACTGTAAAAGCCCGTAATATGCCCATTGATGCGATTTACATGACTTGAGTACTGCGGCCCTCTGACGCCTTCATGGCACGTTCGTGGCGCTGGAGCCTGGCATCATTTTCGTCTGTGCAGCGGCTGATGCGGATCATCTTCTGGTCTACCGCTGCAGGTACAGCCAGTGATGATTCTCTTCTCCTTCGCCCACCGTTTATCGCGAGCGTGTCAAACCTGATTTTTTGAATTTGAAGGGCAAATCAGGCGGGCCGAGGGCAATGGTCCGAGCACGTGACGAGATAAGATCCGACCGCATGGCCCATGATGAACGGGACGCCGTGCGCCATCCGAGCTATTACTATAATATTCTTTCTGGACGACATCGATAGCTCCTCGCATACATCATAATGTCTGTACCACAGCTCGCCTCGTTTAAAGTCCCGGAGGTGGCCAATGAGCCTATGGTGAGCGCTTTGAACGCGGTCGGGACTCGGTGCTCACTGTTCGACCCGACCCACAGAAAAGTTATGCCCCGGGAGCCCCTGAGCGCAAGGCACTGGAACAGGCCCTTGCAGATCTACAGAAAGAACTTCCGGTCGAGGTCCCCTGCGTCGTGAATGGCAAACCAGTACGGGTGTATAAACGTTAGCTGCGAGGATAGATCCTGATTCTTCCTCTTACCCTTGGATGTCAGGTGAGGACAGGCAAACTCGCAAAGCAGACGCTTCCGGGTGATCATGCTAAGCACCTGTGCACGTACCACGAGGCCGATCAGGCTACGGTTGCCGCCGCCATTGATGGCGCGCTGGCGGCCAAGGCCCAGTGGGAGTCCTTGCCCTGGAACGATCGTGCAGCAATCTTCTTGAAGGTACGTTATGTCTGAAATCCACCTGTTCCGCGCGGACTGATCGAAGCCTCAATTTTGCAGGCTGCAGACCTCGTATCTGGCAAATACCGGTACAAGCTTCTCGCCGCGACCATGCTCGGACAGGGAAAGAATGCATGGCAAGCTGAAATTGATGCTGCAGCGGAGGTAAGCGATACCTTGCCGAACCTGAAGTCGGAAGGTAATGCAGGCACTCCCCAAGATGGCCGACTTCTTCCGTTTTGGCGTCAAGTATGTCGAGGAGTTGTACTCGCAGCAGCCACCCAAAAACTCATCGGGTTCATGGAAGTCAGTTTCTCCTTTAGTAATGACATCTCCACCCGAACCGCTGCCTGACTGTTATCACTGTAGCCGTGTCGAATACCGTGCCCTCGAAGGCTTCGTCCTTGCCGTCTCACCCTTCAACTTCACTGCCATCGGTGGCAATCTCTCTGGCGCACCTGCACTTGTAGGCAACGTCGTGGTCTGGAAGCCGTCACCCATGGCTACATATGCGAACTACATTACCCACCAAATCCTTACCGAAGCTGGCGTTCCGCCCGGTGTAATCCAGTTCGTACCTGGACCTGCTGAGGAGGTACATGAGAGGAGGCTACCTCGCATCTCTTTCGTTCTGACACCCTCTTTAGGTAGTCGGCCAGTGCATCGACAACCCGTCATTTGCCGGCCTGCACTTCACTGGCAGTACTTTCGTCTTCAAAAAGCTCTGGAAGGATATCGCGCAAAACCTTGACAAGTACAAGGGATACCCCCGCATTGTGGGCGAGACTGGTGAGCGACGCAACTCACATGCTTTCCTTGGTATGGTTTCGATATCCGATTTGTGTGACTAGGTGGCAAGAATTTCCATCTTGTACACTCGAGCGCAGAAATCAAGAACACTGTCGTGCAGACCATCCGTGGTGCATTTGAGTACCAAGGTTCGTGTTCCGTGTACCGTTGTGTATGCGAATTAGGAAAGAGAGTGATTTCCTGGATATACAGGCCAAAAATGCTCAGCATTGTCCCGTTTATACGTCCCTACCTCTCTCTGGGAGAACGGCTTCAAAGATACGCTCCTAGCCGAAACGGCCAAGATCAAGGTTGGTCCCGTTACTGATTTCCAGAACTATCTGGGCCCTGTTATGTACGTCCTCTACTGTGTCTGGACTGCCGATTTCTCATCTTGACTGCGTTAGCGGCCGGCCTGCGTTCGACAAAATCACGAGCTACATCCAAAAGGCCAAGGATGCAGGTGGCGAGATCCTTATTGGCGGCTCGGGTATGGTTCTTACTTTACGTCAATGACAATTTCACTCACGCATGACCTCCAGCTGATGACTCAACCGGATTCTTTGTCCAGCCTACCATCATCCAAACCAAGGACCCTAAGTCGGTTACTATGACGGAAGAAATCTTTGGTCCTGTCTTGACTGTGAGCTCTTGCGTTACCACTATGGTCCAGGTTGACAACTATGGAATGATTGCAGGTCTATGTGTACCCTGACGCTGAGTACGAGGCAACTGCGGCTCTCATCGACAGCACCTCGCCGTACGGTCTCACCGGCGCCATCTTCGCCACGGATCGCTCCGCCCTCTTACTCGCTACCAACAAGCTCCGCAATGCAGCGGGAAATATGTACTACAACGAAAAGTGCACCGGCGCGGTCGTTGGGCAACAACCATTTGGTGGTGGACGCGCTTCAGGCACGAACGACAAGGCTGGTAGCGTCAGCATTTTCTATCGGTTTGTCAGTGCAAGGAGTATCAAGGAAAATTTCGTTGGATTGGAGGAGTACCTGTACCCGAGCAACTTCGTTTAATATGCATCGTTAGCGCATGCTCGATTTCTGCAATCATGGAATGGAACCGGGCGAAAGTCAGAATCACAGTGGATGGGAGGTCGATTGACACGGATCAATACGCTCCACCCCGCTACCGTTAAATTGCGTATTGGTGGAATCACAGAGACACCGTAAGAAAGCAGAGAAAAGTCGGTTTACAAGAGAATACTGCAAAAAAAACAAGATAAAAGAATGACACTCGCAGGACTCGAACCTGCAGCCTTCTGGTGCCATCTGGTAATCGAAGCCAGATGCGCTAGCCATTGCGCCAGAGTGCCTTGAAATGGTGCATCACCAGTGCGTATATATACCTATGCAAATATCAAGTTCGCAGCGAACGAGCAAGAACTGGACGAGAAAACGAAGCGCAAATAGCTCTCTATCTTTCTGGGGTGAATCCTCTGCATTGTATGCGCCAAGTGCACAATAAATCACTATAGCATCGCCCGCCCGCATAATCCAACCACGGAACGGTCACTACCTGTGCCGATCGTGCGGCGCTCTTGAGGTCGAACAAACTTGTAGATCTGGGCCGTTTTGTTTTCGCAAATCTGGTCTCAAAAGTCCGAAGGAGATGTGCAAGTGTACGTCGCGGCAATAGATTACGCCAATTAGTGCAGGAATGACAGGTATACAAGCACGGCACGGTGTTGGCCTCTCTGAGATCCGATACGGTATCATATTAATCCAACAAGATCCACTGGGGAAAGAAAGCAGAATATGCGAGTGGTTGTAGCTACGCGCTGGAACAGACATGATCAGCTGGATCTTGGCCAATCAAAAGAAGCCGGCCACAACTCACAGATACCCGTATGAGGTCGCAGTTGTTGTATAAGAGGTGGGATCTTCGATGAGATTAGGATAAGGTGTTGTAAGCGTTGCGAGGTATATAGGGCAAGTGGGGGCAGTCGACGCCGCATAATGGTCCTCCAATGCTCTGAATAGAAGATGCATGTCCTCCATGCATCCTGGGTCTACCGCAACAATTTGCTTCACAGCTCCCCCGATGTCGTACGAGCACCGAAGGTCGCCTAAGAGTTCAGTTCGTGACGTTATTCCAGTGCGCTTCGGGCTCCTAGAGAGGCGCGGGGTAGAGATAATGTAGAGCTGCCCGTCTTGGAAGAAGAGGAGGCAACGGTAGGTTTCATGGGATGGAGGGCCAACGACGAGAACTTGGTGTTCATATGTGTTGAGGTTCGGTACCGCGGGAGCACCTCTGGAAGATCCTAGGGTCAAAACAGAGGGGGGTATAGAGGGGTCACTGAGAACGGTATGGGCGGAATTCCGTGCCGAGCTGCCTGTACTCCGCTGCGCCTTGACGACTCTGGGTTGTGGGAGGTCATATGTGTGAGGCGAAGACCTCTGTGAACTGGCTGTGCTGTGCGCAGCTAAGATGTGGTGGGGGAACTGGTGGTCTTGGCCAGGATGTCGTGGAGAGTCGGCCAGACCGCGCTCGGAGGCCTGCGGTGAAGGGAAGTCGTAGATTGGGACGGAGTCGCCTATGGGTTCTGGATAATCCAGAACTACCCATTCCCCAGGCCCTGCTGGGTAGCTGGTGGGATAAGCGTGTCTGGCGGAAGGCTGAGCCTCTACGGGCATCACTGCCTGGGGAAATGGCAGCGGGAGCAAATTGGGAGAAGGTCGAGATGACGATCGAGCCATGGTGGCGCTCGTGGCAGCACTGAAGTGCAGTTTGACTACGTTACTTATGTACATAGGATACACATGCCAGCGGGCGCCTACGGAGAGTGGCTGCAGCGAATCAGTCGTCAGGAGACGCAAATTCCTGCTCGTGGAATTCGCATGGTCGATTCCCGATAGCGATCCCTTCTCCAGCTGCCAACCGCCTGACTGTAGTCTCCCAGGTGTCACCTCCGTCGTAGCTGACTTGCACACGGACACACGGCTCATCTGTTACCTCGTCCTTGAAATGCAAGCCACCGCACACGCCTTCGCCGAATGGGTGGGGAAAACACGCGTCATCCTCCGGTTCCTCAGGATTAGCTAAGAAAGGGTGGTACAGCACGTCCCGCGACGTGATGCGTTTCGTGCAGTCCGGCTCGAGCAACAACTCGACAAGGTCTAGTGCAAGATTGACGTCTTGCGCATGACCGTCGGTATCGTTGACAGGTGATGGTGATCGCGAGGATGAAACGTGGTAGGTATTGTAACCTGAAGAAGGTGAAGATGAAGTTGGCGGATGGCTTCGCTCGTCAGCCATGCTTGACGTTTGTGTGTAAGGGAAGAAGCGAGGATCTCGCTTTGGCGATACCATGACCTTGGGATTCTGCCGGAGAACGAACTCCCGCCACTTGATACCATCTGGGGTGATCGACGGCACATTGGTCGAGAACGTTCGACCTAAATTACTGTCAGCAAACATGGTATGCAATCTAGTGCAAGTTCCGTACTATGCAGGGTTGCAGCTCGCTCCATACGCTTTCTCCCGATGATAGCAGCAATTTCCATCAAAGCTTCAATGTCGTCGCTGGACTGGAAGAGAGGAAATTTGCCAGTAAGGAAGAACAGCAAAATCATCCCCGCTGACCACACGTCGATGGCTAACGCCATTCGTCAGCATTCGAGCTCCATCATGACCGGAATGGAGGCCAACCTCCGCTTTGGTCAGCGCATTTCAATAACACTTCAGGGGCGCGAAACCCTCTTGTACCGGCTCGGTTTGCCTTCGAATGCGGTCTGTAACAATCGTCAATCGTATAGACGAGGCACATCACAAGACTTCAGTACCTTTGATCGTGATCTGGATATCCGACTCTATCACTCGCCCAGGAACTCTTCTGTCTGGCCTCCCTTTGTGTCAACTTCACACGTTCCACGTCGGCCGTAGACAACTTCTTCAACCTCCCTGTAGCATGGTTCAGAGCAGAAAACTGGTAAGTACGATAGCCATCTCTTGCCATGAGGATGTGCGCGAGATGGTGTATCGTGTAGACAAGCACCAAGGCGCATAGTGGGGCCCGTTACCCTCTGGCGTAGCGAGTGAGCTGCCTTGTCGTAACCAGTAAGAACGGACATACGCAAGCTAAACCGAAATCACAGAGCGTCCCAAGACCAGTTGCTGGGTCAAACAAGAAGTTGGCTGGTTTCACATCCCGGTGAATGATTTGTCTCGCGTGGATGTCCCGCAATGCGCGAAACATGCAACGGAAGTATGCTTTAATGCATGGCATAGGGAGCTGCCTATAGTAGTCCTGTAGTAGGTTGGTTAGGACAATCACTTTGCGGTGGAACAGGCCAGACTAACCCGGAAATCGTCATTCCGATGATATGGCATTATTGCCACCACCTGATCACGGTGCCGGAAGGCGGTAATGAGTTGGCTGACGTGCCTGCACCCTCTGCAGTCCTCCAATATCGAGACTTCATTGCGAATGCGCTCGGGATTGCTTGTCACGTATATACGTTTTATGGCCACGAATACCTTGTTTGAAGACGGTGCGGGCTGCGTCGGGTGAAAGGCGGATGAAGACGACGGGCAATTTCGACCTTGCCATGGGGTGTTGTCGAAGAGCTCGTAACGGAGGTCAACAGCCTTATAGACCGAGGAGAACGTGCCTGTTCCAAGTCTGTCTACGATGCGATAGGAATCCGCCAGTTGTGGTACGGAGTCGTTCAAGTCCCGTATTTCCGCCAAGATCTCGGCCTGCTCTTCCGGCGATTTTTGCAAAATCGAGTACTCCTCCTCATCTGATTCTTGGTTCGGCTGCTCATCTTCTTCCAAGTTGACTGCGTGGCCTTCGGTGATAGCCCGTTCGTCCTCCTCCACGTCGCCATCTTCGTCGAGGTCAACTGTGGCCGAGGCGCCTCGCTCCCTTTCCGCCTGTATGGCGGCGAACTTTGGAAACATTGGAGCAAGGTGTTGACGATACATCTCCATGTCCATTATGTTGGAACCATGTAACGGGTCCTCGGAAGAGGGTACTTTGGCGGAGTGAACGCGTCGTCGCTTTGCGCTGGGAGATCCTTCAAGTGGGTTGGAGGAGTGATGAGAGATGAGCAACATTTCTCGGTCCTTGATGCAATTGCTCTGAGAGGTACAAGAAAGTGGTACAAGTCGATTTCACTTATCTGCATGAAAGACGCGGTTGGAGAACGACCTCGAACGCGGGGGTGATCAAGAAGTGCATGCACGTGATCGTATCTGTACTTGACCAGATACACCCAGTCCGACCGGCACCATGTCGCTGAATTGGACAATGCTCAGTCCGGAACGGACTCCTGTACCTTTACCCCACGAAACTACCATAACAACGCTAGAAACGAACGTTGAATTGACGGTGATCGTGCCAGATGCCCCACCATCCAGGTCCGCTCCTTCTGGCGGCTCAGGCGGCAGCAAGAAGATGAAGGAGGTTGGGCGCCTCTGGCTCACCGATCAACGCGTGCGCAACGTTCGTCGCCCCTCACGTAGGAGTATGAGCTAAGGTGTACTCTTCTGTATTCGCCATGTCTTCGTTCTATCAGTTGATCTTCGTCGCTGCTCCATCGGCATCGTTCGAGTCGCTCTCCGTGCCTCTGCACTCGATACTGAGCACCAAGTTCGAACAACCATACTTTGGCGCGAACTACGTTACAATTGACATCAAGCCATCGCCCGAAGGTGGTCTCACGGACGGGACTAAGGCCGAAATCCGCGTCAAGGATCAGGGATTGTTTGGATTCGTCAGCGTGTTGGAGAAAACACGCGAACGTGCGATTTACATGAAACGGCAGGCTGCGCTCGACGAAGAGGCTCTCCGTAAGTGCAAATGCTGCGGCGATCAACACGGCGATCGAGTAGCTGAAATGTCGTTTCAGCTGAATACCCCCCTCCAACTCAAGCAGCCTCTGTCCCAAGTACTTCATATGCCGCAGATGCTCCGCCTCCACCTCCGATCCCCGATGAAGCTCCTCCTGGTTATGACGCCTGAATGACCAACATCGGTAGCCATAGGGATGGTCAATTATCCATGCCTTCGGTTGACAGTTTCAGAATGTATGGATGACGGAAAGGAAATACTGTATGTAAGTATGACGCCACATCTTCGCTGTGCGCTTTCGCAAAAGGACATGAAGTCGCCTTGACAACTACATTGGCACAAACGTTATCTCTGCCGCGCCTGATGGCATTGATGGGTAGGTAGGTAGGTAGGTATACATAGACGGAATTTTCTGTCGGTGTCCGACTATCGTATCCGAGTATAACGTCGCCGGAAGCAAAGTACTCGATGATTACTCTGGTCGTCGTGTGATTCAGGCACGTTCAGCGTGCTTTTCGATCGCGCGGCGTGTCCGGAGACGATCAATCGCATTTGTGCGATTTCGTGTCTGTACATTATGGCCGACAATATTATTGTTTGGTGGTGGGCTCGTCGATACTAATGGTGGACAGACTTCAAGACATGGGTATTATGCGCACCTCCGTTTCAGCTCCTTGGAGAACGCCCGAATCTCTAGATATTATCCTGACCTCGATCTTCGACCCAGCATCCAGTCGGTCCCGAGGTCAGGACTCAGCGCACGCGATGCTGTTCCCGTCTCAGTACGCGCCATGCACACTAAGTACCACTTATAATCCGTCCCATTATTGGCTTCAACACCCTTCCGCGCTCACGTCTGTCGTGCCCCGGATCATCACCGACGGGCATCGCTGTGCCTCGGACATCCTCTCCCCTTCTATACGCAGCCCATGCACCGCGACGGTCATGGGCAATGGATCCCTTGTGTATGTTGAATACTCCACTTCTTCGGGATGCGAATCACTTATGGGCCTCCGAAAGCACGCCTGTCCGGCAATCGTCCAGTTGGGGGGTGGAGTCAGATGTCCCTATAGACCCAGGCTTTTTTGGATGATGTTCAGCTCGTTCGGTGAGCAAAGGACAACTCTGTGTTACGCGTTCGATGCTCTATTGATTCGGACACATCTATCTCTGTTTTACTGGATTTACTGTGCTGGCATACGACTACGTGCTCACTCTACCAGCCAAAATTCGCTTCGTACTTTGGGGTTTACGCAGGCGTGTTCTGACCGATCACTCGCCTCCCAGATACGTTACATATGGCAGGGAAGGAGGTCCTTCGTCAACATCTTCTTCCTTTAGAGCCGCTATGGAAACCTAGGGTTACTTGCTTTAGTATCAGCCCAGCAAGGCGGCTACTGGTCTTCGAGGCCGTATCAGCAAGCCTATATTCTTTGCCTTTCGGCATCGAAAGTGACGGTTTGGGACAGTTCTGTTTCTGGGCGACAATGTTGACCAGTATCCTAATGTGGTTATCGCTCGCATCAATGAACGGTTTGATATCCCCGTTTGTTCATATGATACGCCATTGATTTCTCGACAGTGCTGGTACTCCTTCGAGTGTGGGTACTATGGGCTCAACGCCGAAAAGTCCTAGTTGCGCTCTGCGTAGCATTTGCACTGTATGCTGCATTGACTGAGGCGCTGATCATCTGGGGCGTTATCATTGGTGGAAGTGAGCATTGGTTTTTTTTTCCTCTTGCGCCATCTCCTGAGCGCTAAGCTTTCCATGTGTAGATGATGTTTGTGTTCCGCGAAGTGATAGGATCCTGCGTGAGCCCTTTACCAAGTAAAGGAATTTGATCAGAGGCAGTGTGCGGGCGCTGTGCTGACTCCGACGGCTTCATCAGGTTGGATGATGAGCGATTTGATGCTCCAACACGAGCGCAAAGGCAGTCTGATGCAGAATAATTTCAGTGGGTGTTATGGCTGCCCCCGTGAGTGGGCCGCTGATTTTGCGCATTGCAAATCCCTTATCGTGCGGGAGGGAATAGCTTGACGTTACAGACGGTTGCCTTTGGTTTGACGGTGGCCACGTTGAAGACCTATTTCAGGCATGGCTCGCCCAGTTCGGCATTAGAACAAGCAATCCAAGGACGATACTCTCCGCTCATGATGACGCTACATCGGGACGGTCAGTATTGTTTTCCACATCACAGCTGCCGTTAGTGAATAAGATCGAATGTTCCGCAGGCATCCTCTTCTTCGTGGTAATTCCTCAGTATCGGAGACCTAAACTAAGCTCAACCTGCTTGAACAGGCGGAACTTGCCAGTAATGTAGCAAACATAGCAGCATGGTGAAATACTTGATCTCGATGTGACGTCCGATTATACGTCCACGCATCTCGTATACAGGGTCCTGTGGCCTTTCGTACGTCTTGGGAAATATGACCGCTTCTCCGGAGAATGACTCTAATATACCTTGCAGAGGCCTCTCAATTCTGTTACCTTTGTGTGCGTTCAAATCGGGAGCAGCAAACCAGGTACTGACCTCTCGTGTCTGTAGTTTCACACTTTCGCTGGTCTCTGTCGTGTGCTGAACATCTGTGAACATTATTGAGCATATAAAGTGGTATGTACTCTATACGCGATATCTGTGGGTGGTGCCCCCAGTGCCAAAGCTGTGTATATATGTAGAGATGAATAACGATGTAACCCAGTAAGTATCATCAACCGGTACCGCAAGAACAGTTCTGCAGATGCTGGTGGGCTCCTATGCATGTATACTTCAGCCCACCATCAGTGCAAGGCAGTGAATACGGACAGCCATGACGCGGCTCATCTCTGCTCGGTGCTCGCTCAGCCTCAGCTGCAGCCAGCGAATTGGAGCGACGCTATATTCTAGGGTCGCTGTACTCTCCGTCTCCGACCCATAACACCCACCCACTCCGTTCCCGCTACGTGCAACCCGCGTAACACCGCCGTCGTGAGTCCATGGACGCCCGCCTTGCCTGATTTCAGATGACCTGGTCGGACAACCTGGCAACTCTCGCGTCCCAGCCCGTAGTTCAGCAGCTCGCACCCCTCGTCGTTGTTGTCCTAATCCCGATCATCGTACTCTCCGCACACCAACACGTACTTGGAATCTTTGACGCTGTACTGGAAGCCGCACGCATGGTCCTCGAGACACTCGGCCTCAACTTCCTATGGAACCGATCGTCGAGCTCGCATGGTAGTCGTGATTCGGCCTCGGAGCGGAAGAAAATAAAGAAGAAACCGCGTACGAGAGCAGAGCAGGTGGTTCAGAATGGTTCCGGTATGTGCTCGAGGTGTATATCGCCACAGGCACGTAGCTCAGCATCACACACGCAGTCGCACGGCAGTCAACTGGAGGCGATTTCCATTATTATCCTGGCCTCGTCAACATATCCGGGACTTACTGCTTCATGGACTCCACCCTTCAAGTGTGTAAATTCTTCCCTTCCAAGTCTTCTATGCCTTATCCGAGCCCAGGCAATGGCGTCTCTCTGTTACCTGCAACCATATCTGAACGCTATACACGCGAAAGCGGAAGCACTCGATGTCCCTACCCCCATTGTCGACGCTCTCTGTGATCTGCTGCGCAGTACGTCACCTCTTCGTTGTCGGATCAGTCAATTCATGCGGGCCTAGTTCTTAACACACCCACATCATCTCCTTCTTCCCTTCGCCCTCATGCGATCATTCAGGCCCTTGCTACGTCCAAACCAGCCAAGCAACGCTCTCTGTTTGCTACACGCGAACATCAGGACGCTCAGGAACTGTTTCAACTTATATCCGAATGCATAAAAGAGGAGGCTCTCGCCGTCGATCGTGAAGGCCGCCGTGACCGTGGTCTGAGTGCGTTAGCACTCGCAAAAGATGGGGATCTAATAGGCCGTGAAGTAGGCCGGAGCGTCTTCGAGGGGCTTACTGCCAACCGACGCAGTTGCATGCAATGTGGCTATACCGAGGCCGTGATGCACTTCGGTTTCGACAATTGGCAGCTGGCCCTTCCTCCTCCGACCGCTGGCGGAGGTGCATGCAGGGTGGAGGATTGCATAGCGGAGTATACGAAGTTGGAGGTTTTGACGGATTGCGTGTGTAGAAGGTGTTCCATGGTCGCTACCCATCGCAAGCTCGTGCAGGAAGTGGAGAGATTGTCGGTGGTCGTCCATAGCGACGAGAAGGCTACGAAATCGGCGCGGAAGAGGGCACGCGAGGCGAGGAAACTCGAGGCGCGTGTCCGGGCTGCTCTTGAGGAAGGGCGAATAGAGGATGATATCGACGGAGTGAAGATGGAGAAAGTGATCAGCGGCCCGAGTACCAAACAAGCTATGGTTGCCAGAGTACGTCGCAATGCACTCCTGCGTTTATATCTTTACATGCTCACGATGACCTTCAGCCACCTCCTATCCTTGCTCTTCATCTCAATCGCTCGATACACTATGGTTATTACGCCGGCCGCAACAACACCCACGTCATTTTCCCCGAGATCCTGGATCTGACTCCCTTCACCACCTCTGGTTCTCTCTCTACTAATCCCACGTACCCTATCTCATCTGCGCCGTCCTCCTCTTCCTCGTCGTCATCTCCTTCCCGACCTCGCACACCACCTCCGCGCACTCTCTATCGACTTTCGGCCGTTGTGTGCCATTACGGCGACCATTCGTACGGTCATTATGTTTGCTATCGGAAGACACCTCGCCCCCCTTCCGCTGGATCAAAGAGGTTTTATCCGGCAATACAGCAATGCCCCCTGGGATGCCAGTGCGAGCGTTGTAGGGCATATGGCTTGATCAGGGAGAGCGACGACGTCATCACTGCCAACGAGAAGGCGGGACTTCCAGGGCAACCGGGACTTCCAGGCACAGGATGTGGTTGGCTCAGGATCAGCGACGACGATGTGAGGGAGGTAGGTATAGAGACTGTCCTTTCGGAGGGCAGAGGTGCGTTCATGATTTACTATGAACGTGTCCTCGTGCCGGTGCCCGCTCCCGCTCCACCCTCGGCTCTGCCTTCTGTCCCCACGCATGCAGCGCATCAGCGGTCGCTGGAGGATGCGAAGCTGCAACCCATTGCCCTCCCGCAAGCGCGAGCGCAGTTTCCTCATCGGCCTGTCGAGACAACTCCTAGGAGCAGCGAGGAGACAATCAAGCCTCCGACACCCACACCTCCACGTCCGCAGGCGCCAGACTTCGCGGGTTACGGCGACGCCGGGAGCACTAGCGCCGGCTCCGCCCACACGCACGTACACATGCCCCCTGGATCTGCCATGAGAACCCCGACCGTAGTCGCTTCGTCCAATCTTCAGTCCATTACCAATCGCGCGATAATGAACGGGACGATGGCTCGACCTACACCCCCGTCCTCACCTTCTACGTCCCCTACCCCAGCGTTGACCTCGGGCGTTGTCTATCCCAACGCGCACCCCCTGATACCTCTCCATCCTCCTCCCCTGCGCGCCGGGTCTCTTCCCCGCGTAGTGCGGAACGTGTCCCTCAGCCAGGCCAGAAGCCGAGCGGGTAGCCCCGCCAACCCCAGCGGCGTATCCACTCCACCTCGAAGGACGGCATCTCCAGTAGAAATGGGGAGCGAATACCGCATGCATAATGGGGCTGGACCGTCCCCCGGCACGGCGAATGGACGTCCGAGGGCGGGTAGCCGTACGTCCCATATGACCCATGAAAGCGTCCAACAGCCCCCCTCCAGGACAGAACGCCGGCCATTGCCTATACCACCTCCGCAGTCGACCTATACGACGGGTGCCATGCTCTCGCCCTCGCCCGCATTATCGCAGCTGTCGCAGCGACCGCGGGCGTTATCTAATACGACGCAGAGCCAGGCGCAGGGGCGGACGTTGCCGCCTCCACCGAGGAAGCAGTCCATAGTGTCGACCACGCCGCCCGCTGTGCACGCACAATGACCCCGACGTTTCCGTTGTCTTTTGCTTCTGGGGGATTTAGCTCCGCTCATCTATGTTAGCGTATTACTGCATGTATCAATAGCGCACGATTGGACCCGATACTTCCCAGTATCTCAGCGGCAGGTTTTTTGTCACGCTCCGAAACCATCCTTGGGTTAAAGCAAGCGTATGGAGCGAGAAGCCAATAACAATATAAGTATGAGCGAGAGTCCCCAGAATCTAAACTATGTACAGATGCGTAGAATATACAAGCTCCTTGCCCTTGATATCGCGGTGTGTTGTGACCGTCCGGTAGACTGTTTTGAATAAATTATACAACCACCTTCCTCAGTCGACGGAGCACCGTCGATTACTCCGGCTGCACGACGAAGCATGGACCGAACGGCGAGTACAAGCCGTTCTATGTTAGAAGCCGGCACGGACCATCAACTTTTGCTGGAGATGGCCCGATTGCCCCGCGTTCGTCCAGTAGACATAGGAAAGCGATGGGTCAAAAGTCCAGGTCTAGTAGTAGACGTGGCGTTCGATGGTGCGGTGCTTCGCTGGGGCTGGGAGACGGTTGTGCACAACACGCTTGACACGGGTAACGGCGGGGTACCAGGCATGGTAGACCTCGTGCGTGGGATTGTCCAGCTGCACTTCAATCACTTGCCGTCCCTGAATATCTATGAGAAACATAGAGGATCCTGGAACGGGGCAACAACGTACAGCGTAGTCGACGTGTGAACCAACAACGAGACCTTCTGTACGGCCGTATGCTCCGTGGTTTACGGCGACGATATCACCAGGCTGCAAGTTTCCCGTGTAAGCTGGAGCAGGAAAACGAGGAGGAAGTGGACGCACGATGATAGAGTCGTCGGTAGACGATGTTACCGTCGTCGTAGACACCGTGCCATACGGGACTACGCCAGAGCCGAGAGCAACGGTAGCGCTGGCGAGAACAAGGAGGGCTCGCGCTAATTTCATCTTGAGCTGTTGTGTGGTGAGCGGAATGACCCGGGACGTCTTGAGCAGAACGAATAGCGCGTGGCGTGCGGAGCCGGAGGGTGGTCGTGCGGGGTGGAGGGGTCGCTGGAGGGGACCGGAGCGCCGTGGGCGAGAACGACGAGGATGGGACGGTAGCAGCACGGGCTGAGGGAGAAAATCGGGGACCTTCCCGAATTTATAGCGGGGTGACCATTGTAGTGCTCGCGAACGATTAGATCATGGCACCCACGAGGGAAACATGAGGCGCGCCCCGTCGCCCCGCTCTCCCGCGGTCGTCTCTATGGCGTGGTTACCATTGTGCGTCTGCATGTCTCGACAAAGTACAACGCAATATGATACGTAACATAAACGTGCGGGGCGCTGTATGGGTTGTGAACACTCTTGCCAGCGCTCATGCCTTCGACTCATCTCCTCGCGATAACCACATGGCTGGCCGTTCCGGTGCAATGACACCAAGTCCGTGCAGAATGAACCACGTCCAGATGATCTGCATGCCTCGCTTGATCGCGCAAGCAGTCGTCCACAGCATTCACCAAGAATAAACAGGGAGGGAAGGGATGTGCTTCAATCGTATGTGGTCAAGTGACCAGCTCCGTAAGGGTATCCTCTTCTGGCGCGGATGCGTGGTCTTGCATGGTTTGATGCATTCGTTCTGGACTGTCAGAAGCAACCGCGTCGAATGATGCGGGGTCAGAGTGGATGGAGTGTTCGCGTCCGCGTCCGCGTCCGAGGTGCGACGAAACGGCCTCTCACTCCCGAGCACTCCTTGCTCCGAAGCGTCGCGCGAGGTTTTGCACCCAGCCCCGGAGCACATCCCTAATCCGAATCACCTCAACCTGCGGTCCACCATTCTGCCCCAAGCCCGCGTCCTCAGTCCATCCGACCCGCTTGCTTTCCTTCCCAAGGACCTTGATTCTCTCCTCCAACTCCCTCACGATCGCCTCGCCGCATCGTTCATAACATCTCCGTAGTTCTTGTTCTCTGTCGTGGTATGCTCTCCTCACTGCATAGGGAGCAATGCCATTGTACCGCCTGACGGCATCGTTTATCTCCTTGATCGCGGCATCGTGATACGACTTCTCCTGTTGCTCCCAGGAGCTATCGCGTAGAGAAGTCGCGGCGGAGAGATTCGGGGAAGAAGCCAGCTTGCGGAGCGTGGAGGGAAGAAATGCAGGAGGGGTGCTGGCAGTGATATTGCGAACAGCACGCCTCGTCCAAGATTGGAGGAGGATCTCACGGAAAGAGTCGAGGGTAGATTCCAGCTCTAAGAAGTATAATCAGTGAAGGACGGAAGTACATTGAGAATAACCTTACCATGTTGCAACTCCACCCATGGAGGGGCTGCTCCATTCCGCTGTACGATCCGGTTCATGAGGAACTCTTCGCGAGCAATAAACGGGTTGCCTTCGTCGTCATGCCTTTTGATCGGCTTGCCTCGCCCGGATATTTTGTTGAAGTGACCTGCTTGGCGCGCACTCTCGATCTTCTCCTCGACTAGGCTCGCCCAGCCTTTCAGTGAGCTCGGGTTCGCTCGACCACCGCCGGCGCCTCCTCCGGGATGGCGCATACCGAGTCGGTAGTCCAACGTTCTTTCTCGAGCATCGGTCAAGCGCGTGACGACCTGCGTGCGTTTCTTCAATTCTCGCGCTTTCTTTAGGGCTTTCTCGTCTCCCGGCGCGATGGATTTTGTCGGGCTTGTGCGAAGAGATGGGAAGTGGCCAACACGGACTGATGCGACATGCGAAGGGGCCTGCGACGGAAGGAATCTAAGATGCGTATGACGTTTGATCGGTGATTTCCATACCTTGTAAGTAGTCATCCAGGGTCGATGGCCTTCAACGGGCTGTAGCAGAGGTACATTCGCCATCTCAGCTGGCGAGAGTTTCTCCTGCACTCGCGGTACCGTATCTAGACCCTCGACCTTCTCGATCATCTGTTGTACGACCGACCCTCCTGCTTCAGCGGCGCTGTTCCCTGCCTTGGCCAAAGCGATGGTCTCCTCCATGCTTAACTCTACCTCTTCCTCTTCTGTAGCCCTCCCTGCGACCTTCGGAGGCTCAGCCCGTATTTTATCCTCGGCGCTCCTGATGTTCCCCGTGCGCATCGGCTTGTACTTGTCCATGAGCATCCTCAGGACCGCATCTTCCATGCTCTCCTCGCCGGTCCAGTTCGGGTGGCCGCCGTTGATCACCTCCAGAGGTAGTTTGGGCGGGCGAGGAGGGTTCGAAACGAGTTCAGCCTCTTCACGCGCAGCATCGGCGAAAAGCTTGTCACTGGCACGGGCCGGCGCTGGAGACGAGGTTCCATCCGCGTCAGGGGACGTGCTCGAGCCCGACGTCGAGGAGGTAGCTCGGAGACCGTAGTAGACAAGAATTCTAGCTCTTGTGCGGACGTTTATGCATGGTAAGCGCGAGATAGAGGCGCGAGGGAGCATAGGCCAAATATTGGACGGGAAGAAGCAACCATGCTTGCTGATATGGAAGGGGGTTGGTAATAGACCGTGTGAAGGTGGGGTGCTTCGTCTTTGAGTTGGCCCGTTCTGAGTTTCGCGTCTCTTGGATTCTGCAACATTCGGTTCCTCATCGTCTCTGCATTTGCACTCACGCTTGACCTTACTTGCATGGCATACAATGTATACCTCCTACTGTCAAATGGCTGCCTGGTATCTACACAATGATTATCGCGACATCCTGGTGCAGCATGAATCAGTGGCAGTGCCTTTTCTTTTTTTCGTACTCAGCTCAGCGTCGCTGCTTCGATCTCTACGAGCTTCATGTCGAGCATAATTCTTGAGCCGCTCCCCACACCTATTTCCTTACCGACCATCAAGTCTGCATTGATTGCGGTTCGACAGAGCGCAGCGGGAGGACGAGGGGTGTTCGCAAACGAAGACATCCCAGCCGGCACGCTAGTCTACACGACGAAACCTACTCCCGCCAGCGTGATCTATCGTATATTCCGTAAAGAAGTTTGCTCGTGGTGCTTTGCTTACGACTCGGGACGAACGTGGAAGATCACCAGCGATCATCCGAAGAAAGTGCTCGGGCCGTTGGCGTATTTCTGCTCTGATCGCTGCAAAACGGACTGGGAGGACGACCTGGGCAACGTGGGCAGAGAAGCGTGGTCTTGTGTGGAGACGTGGATGAAAAAGGCGGGGAAGAAACCAGATGAGTTGGCTGAGCCGAAACCAAACGAGGCGGAGATAAACTCGGCTTGGAAAGAGGCTGAGAGTGTCGGCATGCAGATTCTCGAGTCGAGGTCTACGACGGCACCGACCAAAAATCATCGCCGAGCCCTCGCCAATGCATTATCGTTGCCACCGTTCCCGGACACGATGGCTCTATTGCTCTCCGGCATTTTGACAGCTTACTCTCGACCGGAGATGTTCAATCTCATGCTCCACTTGGAACTAGTCTCGCAGCCTTACCGGTCGCCGATACACTTCCAGAGTCATCTCTCGTCCTATAAAACGATGCTGGCCCTACTTCCCCGGGCACTGTTGCCGTTTGTCACTCCGCGCAATTTTCGGGCAATAGCGAGTCGAGACGTACACAACAGCTTCGGGATCTGGAGTCACCCGGGAGATTCGACCGCCGAAATGCTAGGATTTGGAATTTGGCCCGACGCCTCGTTCTTCAATCATTCGTGCGCGCCGAACATGGGGACGAAGGATCGGCTTGGTCGCGCATGGGAATTCAGGTCGTCCAAACAAATTCAGAAAGACGAGGAGCTGTTCATATCGTACCTGAGCTTAGAAGAACTTGAAGAGATGGACGCGTTCGCGAGGCGGGAGCGGCTTCAGAATGTATGGGGTTTTGAATGCTCGTGTCATAGATGCAGGATAGAAATAGAAGGCAACGAGTCTTGAATAACTGTTTGTATATGTCGTCCCGCACAAGCGTCTTCCGTCCGTTACACAGACGGACGGAAATGGTTAGATCCAGAGTCAGTGTGGACGGGCCGCAAGATCTACGCAGGGGTCCGCAGATCCACTGAGCGCTGGGAGGACCCCCGAGTATCGGGCGCTAGGATGCGACGCGTCCAGTGGCATCGTCGTCTTCTAGCTTCGTTCGCTGTGGGCGACATCGTCGGCGCGGACATCTCCTTCGGCGTCGTGCTCTTGACTTGATTGCTTGCGCCTACCATCACGACCAGCTTTGCTTGCTCAAAGCTGCCTCCTTGTCTCGATTCTGGCGCTTGGCCACCCGACCCCGGATTTCAGCCTCTAGTTGATGATCATCCACGATGCCTGTCCGACGCTCATCGGCTTCGGCAGGGCAAGTAACGAGCAGTGCAACCACTAGCTCCACCAGAGTGCACAAGGTCAACGAATCACATCATCATCTACCACCCGGACCCTCGTCTTCACTTCAGATGGCCGTCTATCATGCGTATAACCAAACTGTGCCGACACCTCAGCAGAAGGTGGTATACGTGTTGGTGAACAGACTCAGGAACAAGGTGTGTTATGCACCACTCGTTGTGGGCAACGCCTTTATTTAACAGGCCATGATACGTAGCTGCCATGCTACTCTGGACTGAGCCTCGAGGTCATCGAGAATGACAACGCCATGGTGCAGGCGATTGATTCTCTAGTTGAACTCTCAAGAGACTCTCTAAACATCATAGCGCACACCCTTGCTGAAACGCTCGAGAAATTGGCCAAGGCGAGTATCTCGTGACCGCGCCCATCCAACAGCTAACAGCTAACGTCGACAACCCCCACAGCTGGCCGAGGAATCTGGGTACACCGTCCAAGTACTCCAGTCCCAGCTCTACATTCTCAAGGTCTTGTCCGTGGTCATGGGCTCGCGTTGGCGAACATATCAGGGCGAAAATCGGCCAGAATCCAGTCTGAGTCATCGTGTCGACACCGGGTCTGGAATCACCACCCCCGTAGAAGCAGTCACACCTGACTCGCGTGGAGGTTCTCATGGACAACGATATGCCTCGCCTGCCGACCATACGCTCCAACAAGGGCAGCGGGTAACGCCGACCCCGCTGGACGACAACTGTGCGAAGTACATACTCATGGTGATGGTGTTGTTCCTGCGGCAGGCAGCGCCACCCGCGGACTCCACGCAGATATCACGTATGGCGCGTTTAGCTTCACAGCTCGACTACTCAACTTGCAAGCTACGGGACGGGGCGAATCCGTGGAGTGACACCTGGGAGAGACCAGAGCCATACACTCGGTCCATACGCCCCCAGCCTTCGTTCATGTCGGCGGCATCTAAGTCCACCAATACGGATACCCGAATGCAGTTCGTGATGCGGCCCGTCGAATTCGAGAAGACGCCACGAGTATTGCTGAGATCGCTTTCGGCACTCAATCACCTAGTTGGCAATACGGCTGGACTGATCGTACATTATCTATCGACCTCCAACTGGCCTGTGGTCTTCACGCGCATACGAAATAAAATCCACTATCTCGCCAGCGCTAACGAAGACGATCCAGACATTGTCGACCTTGAACTCGTCGCCCACGCTGCACTGGATCGTGTTAGGTTGATACAGATACTCCAAGGTACGTTGTCGAGCGCTCGTATATGTCACAATCGCTTATCAGAGCATGAATGATATGCAGAAACTTCATCTCTTCTGTTGAACATGCGCAGAGAGTCGCAATCCTTGTGCTCAGGGCCTCTCCGTACGGCGGTATGGACCTGGATCGAGCTATGTCCTATCGAGTTCAACGATACGCTCTTGTCAGCGCGGAGGATGGAAGGTGCCCCAGAACGCGCGTTCGATCTGCTTTATCAGAATGCCGAGTACAGCGATAAACGCTTGCTTTGGCCTGCGTTGACCACCCTTCTCTGCCTGAGCTCCGAACGCTTACGTGATTTCCATGTCAATCCATCCGTAGCCATGCAGAAGAATTATCGCAAGGATTGGCATTTCATGGAGCAACTGTTCAAGAATCTGACGCCGACGTCCAAGCTCCATGATGTGGCTTTCCGGTGCCTGATAGACATCTGCAAGGCGGCTGCACACATACGATCTGACAAGGACTTGCCTTTGAGATCAATCGCCCTGGACGTTGCTCATGAGATCAAGGTATGCTTTTCATATATAACGGTCATTCAAGCTGTCTGAACAAGCTCCTGGCTCCAGTCCGTGCTCCTCAAATATCAGAACCAGCGACCATTCTGGGAGGCCGCTGATGAAATCGACAGCGACCTATTTTCCGATGCCTTGGTAGCCGTATACCGATTTCTGCCGAAGGACGAGGTGCTGCCACTTATTGGCGCATGCTTGGAGCCAGTACGCTCGGATGGTGTAAAGATTTGCGCTGTGCGGGCTTTCCGGCAACTGGTCCTCGTCGTACGCGCACACGTTCAAGTTAAACAGCTCCACACTACTAATCAGATCGACAGGAGGGAATGATCCCGTGGCACCCACCTACAGCCAGTTTACGGGATGCGTTCGCGACCCGGATTCGAAGAATCTTCCTGGTGAGGGTGTTTACACCTCCATATACGAGGTTATGTTCATATCTGACGCTCTGTCAGGCCGCTATTCTTGGCCATGGCGAGATTGATGAGAGAGGGAACCTTATGAGGCCGTCTCCACGACCAAAATTAAAACGCGCATCATCTGAAACCATTCCAGATCGTGAATGGCTGTTGCTCGCAGTGCTGGCTCTGTGGAGAGTGGACATTGATTTCTACCTCCAGTGGCTATCTGTCGCAGAAAGTGCTGATAAGGGACTCAATGCCCTCAAACTTTGGGACTCGACATGTGATCTCGCTGTCAAAATGGCCCTCGATCTCTCCTTCCGATATCTATCGAAATATGTCTTTGCGTTGAGTCCAGACAGTCCCTATCTCTCGGCCGCCGTACCATGGTTGATGCAATTCACGTACGCATCTCTGTTTGGACATGTCTAGATCGCCTGATCGTTTTCACAGGCCCTACGCGTTGCTATCAGCATGCACGAACTTGCTCGCGGCACGGGCAGATTTCGAGGCACAGAGACTTTGGGTCGACACTGCACACGGTCTCCTTCTGCTGTACACACGCGATACCGACGTAAGTCTCGGTTGTACAATGATCATAAGTCCGCCACTGATGACTGCCATAGCATGAACACGGAAGACAGATTCAGTTCTCTCCCGAACGTATCCCTGCCTTTGCCATTGCTGAAATTGCTTTACTTGTCTCGTTAACGTCGGCGGATGCGAATGTGTCCTCCACAGCGGCATCGGGTCTTCGTTTACTCGCTCAGGCGGAATCGCAACAGGACGCGCCGCTTAATGATGCTATGAGCCCTGAAGAGAGATCCAAACGATTCCCCATATATGCCCAACTTGGGGACCCGCGGCAAATCATTGTCGGTGAGATCGTCATATTGTTGGGCCTACCTTTGTCCTCAAGAATGGCTTTTCAGGTCGTGTGGGGCACCACAAACGCATACGTAAGCTTGTTCGTATCATCGCCAGTGCGTCTCCTGCGCACATGGCAGTTTGGCAAGAATGCTACTGGAGATGGTGTCATTTGACCGAATTGGCCATACGTCCGACCACTGAGAACGGTGCTATCGGTCCCGACAGCATGCAAGTTACCGTTTTCGATAGGCAAATGACGACGGAGGTCCGTTTCAGATATTCACGGGAAGTATTCACACACTGATGTCAGCGCAGGAGGTGCAATTCCAGTGGAGGGTATTGACTCTGTTTCTCGCTGCATTCGCCGCAGCATGTACACCGACAGACTTCGACCCATCGGCTGTCACATATGTCGTACCGTCAGAGTGCTTGCCGGATGAGATACGGATATTGAGGGATCCCTGGGATCTAGCGGAAAGTTTCATTTACAGCCTGGTTGACCTCATGGTCGCCGAGTCCATCCACGCTCGCGACGTTGCTCGAGATGCCACGGGCTCAGAACTGAGTCCGGGCATATATCCCATACTTTTCAAGCACATGCTGAGGTACAGTTCATCCCTACAATCCACTCGTTGGGCAAAACCTGAGTAGGGCATTGGCAGTGTTATTCACAATGTCACTGAAGAAGTGAGTGCAGAATGGGCGGACCATTGCGCATTGTTCCTGGAGCAGGTCAGTGGGAGCATACTAGAACACGCGCAGTATGCTCATACATGACCTGCGACAGTTTATCGCCACGTTCAAGTTACTGTTGGATAATCCGAACGCGAAGCCTGAAGAGCTGCTAACGTTTGATTCGGGCGCCACGCTTTCGGCACTCGCGGCTTTCATCGCTCGGATCGACGATCCCGCCACCTTCAAGATCAAGGTCAAGTTTTGCGCTCTATGCGAAAGCATCAGTGCCCGTGCGGAAACCTTAGCGGTTCGGAAGGACTTCACGTGCCACGACGTGCTGGACGTGATCATCGAGTGGATTCAAGAACCTGCCTCTGTAAGCAGTACGGGGGGTATCTAAACCCGTGATAGGACCTAACATTCTGATAGATTCAGGAATCGGAATTATCGCGCAATCAGATTGAAGTGAACATGGCTTGCCTTCGCGCAACGGTGAAAATTCTGTCATGGCTACCCCTTCGGCCTGATGACAGTGCTGGCGGAGATGGCGCAGATCATATCGCGTCGAGGCTTTTCTTCCGCTACTCCAGCTTGTTGATCAAATTATTAGACTGGGATCGCGGTGAAGGAGTACGTCATACTAGAGACTATGTCTGGTTCCTTGTGCTGACCGAGCTGCAGTCAACGGACGATCGCGGCTCCGAGATATCTTCGCGCTCTCAGGTGGGTTCTCCTCCGTATGGTAGTAGTTATCAGTCGTAAACTCTGAATGGCACAGCGCTCCCGGGCAGCCTCGAAACGACATGCTGAAATACGAGAGCTGGTCATCACCGGCTTATCTCACCTCGTGATGGGCAATGCAGATGCCGGACTCAAGCACGGACTTTCGCTCGCTTACGATGATGATACAAGCAAAAGAGCGATATTCGGCTATGTCTTCTCTCGAGTGCTTAAAAAAGGTACCAAGTTTGAGGCCAAGGATTCAGGAACGGATGCAATTCGCCGTAGCCGTCTGTGCGAGCTCGTCAAAGGACACAACGTAAGCCGAAGCAATCTAATGTTCATGACAACACAAACTTATTATACCCCTCGGCAGCTGGTGTTGGCGCTGGCCATCTGCGAAACTTGTCCTGCATCAGAAGTTGATATCGTCATCCCAGTCCTATTCAACCTTTTTGACACAAGATCATCCTTGATGCGACTGCTGAAGGCCATGATTGACAGGGAGGTAGCGCGTACCGGTAAGTCCTTCGTATATGCAGCAATAGACTGTTGATCTGAGCCCTTGCAGACAATGAGGCGGCCCTGTTCAGGGGCAATAGCGTTTGTACGAGGCTCTTGTCCGCATTTGGTAAGCTTCACGGGTACGACTACCTGCGTAGCTTGATTATCCCTCTGGTGAAAACTATGACCATCATGCCGGAGGGGTGCAGCTACGAAATGGACCCAGCTAAGGTCGGCCCGCGGCAAGCCCAACTTAACCAACAGAACGTGGAACGAGTTACGAGCGCCTTTTTGCAAATTATCGCCTCTTCAGTTCCAGCACTACCCCCGTAGGTGTTTCCATTTCGTCGTCTCTGCATATCTTCTCATCTTCCATAATAGTATGTTCCGAGAGATTTGTGCGCATATAGGCAAAGCCGTGTGAGTGTGAGCATTGTGCTACGCGGAATACCATTAAGCACCGTGTCTAGGAACGAAGTCTGGCCGGACGCCAGATTTGCAGCCCTTGGCGCATTCATGTTCTTGAGGTGCGTATCATGGTATTCACTGTTACCTTGTACTGAATACATCAATAGGTTCATCTCGCCAGCCGTAGTCGCGCCGGATTCCGTCGATGTCGAGTTCCCCAACGATCCAGTACAACGACGAGGACTGTTGGTCATAACCAAGATCATTACAAACCTGGCCAACAACATCTTTTTCGGAAAGGAAGCGTTCATGGTATCGCTGAACGGGTACCTCGCCGATAATATCGTCCATGTTACCCGGTATCTCAATGATCTTCATGTCAGTGATGTTCACATCACTCGCATATATCACGATTGACGTAGTATCCAGAAGTATTCAGCGATCAGCACTGAGGAGGACGACGACGAATGGTTGGGAACCACCTACGATGACACGGACACCGTTGTTCTCCATCGTTTCTTTGAGAAGCATGCGGATAAGATCGGAAAGGAGCTGCTCAGTCTGCCGCCAGGGATGGCACAACCTGATTCGGCAGCTGTCGAAAACAAGGTGGCATGGACGGATCTATGCGGCGCGCTCGTGGATTTGGGACAGCCCCTTGATGTTCCTTCGCTGTCCCCGAACTCAACCATAGACCATCGGGACTTCCTCGAACTTATGGCAAGATCACAGCATCGCAATGTTGATTCCGTACGCGAGATATTCATTGATGCATCCTCCTCAGAGGTATGGGTATATGGTCATTAACCTCGTTCCTACTACTAAGATTCCATCCAGGAGGGACCCGCGCTTTTCGTGTTCAAAGTGCACAAGCTTGACGCGGAGGCTCTTGACATCGACTTGCTTATGTATCATATCTTCAAGGTTTGTTTTTCTTCCGTGTGATGGGGTTGCGGGATAACAGAAGTCGTTCCAGAGTCTTATGCGTCCTGAATACTCCGCTCGCACCTTTGAAATCGTCTTCGATTTTACCTCGTTCTCGTCCAACTCCGAAATTCCAGTGCAATGGTTGAAGTATTGTTGCGAATTGATTCCTTACGATATCAGGCAACGATATACGGGCGCACATATCCTTAGCCCAAATGCGTTAGCGGTACGCTATCTACGTCGAGTGCACAACATCTTCGCAGGTTTAACACGTCTGATTGCCGCCACGGTTCCTCGCTGACGTACTTGCTTAGGCATGCCTACGTTTGAACAAGTTACCGTCTATTCCAGTGTGGCCGATCTGTCTCGCTTACGATCGGAGTTGATTTCCGAGCGCTGCCTGTCGGTGTTGACACACGCAGGTGATGTCTATTTGTACTGCAGCTACGCTATCCGTTGACATGCAGACAGTGGAACTGGAACAAGAACCGCGGCAAGAATTCAGGGAAGCGTCCATGAGACACAGTCATCAACCTCGAACACCAGTAATCATCAGCGTCGCAGCTTCCCACCTGAGGATCACCTCGGTCAGTCTTCGTGTGCCCGGAGGAAATGATATACTCAATCGTAGTAGATCAAAGCACAGACAATCACTCCAGCACTATCGTGCAAGTTCACGGAGATAGTCATGTTGACGGATATCAGCGACATCTACAACGTTTCAACGGGTCGTGATACGTTCGAGTTCATAATCAGACGCAGACACGGCACCACCATGTATTTCTCGTCCTCCGCGAGAGAGGCCATAGTCAAGGTAAGGCTCGTTCGAGAGCTGATGGTAATTACTGAACGCGTTACAGCTGGTAAGAGAGGCGAAGGGTAGATTGCGCAATATCCACGTATCTACCTCCGAGCGCATGGGCCGATTCTCAAACACTTCTGCTATGTTGCTCCACATCAGCATGCTCGGCATTGGCTCCGAAGACGAACATCTCCTCGATGCCTCTTCTGAACTTCTTTCGGCGGTTTGTGCTCACTTGAACTACGACGACGCTCCCGTCGTAGCGTCCCAAGGTTTGTGTTTGCCTACTCCTGTGCCATGCTTTACGCTCATTTGTTAGGGATAGCCGGATTCATCCCTGGACACCCTCGGACATTCAGTATCCAATTAAGTGAAAAACTGGCGGCATTCGCACCTCATCTCACATTGGACTTCATCCACGAGGTGTGCGCTGGGATGGAGAAGACGAAAGTGGCACAGAAGATTCACTGTCTCCAGTATTTGAGTCCTTGGATGAAAAACCTCGCGTTCTTCCCGAATCCGGCGCATCCCCTCTATGAACACTCTGGGGCGAAGCTGCGAGATTGTGTCAGGCTCCTCGTTGATTTGACAACGAACGATAAAGATGTACGCGTTCGCGGCTTCGGTTCTGCTACCCTATCTAACCCTTCATGCAGCTCTATTGCATGGTCCAGAGATATGTCTGGGGTGAGATTGCAAAACTTGATAGTTCTATCTCCAATCTCGTTCTGGATGAACTCACACGAGCGGCGGTCGACTCCGGCATCAACACTCGCCGCTGCGAAATCATCGCTGATACTATTGCGGCTCTGGCATCCATTGGTTGGCGAGGTAGAATCATGGCGAAACTGCGAAAGGTCGGTCCAAGCATTGTCAATGCATGTTCAGTTGCCATAACACTATCCTTCAGATGCTAGGCAAAACTTCCACGAAACCCACAAAGACCCTGGACGAGAACGCGCATTGGCCGGAAATTGCTGTGTTAACTCGATTGGCTTTGGTACCTGGATCTCACGGGAAGCAAATGGGTCATCTGCAGCTCTACGTGGCCGAGATTATTCACATCGTCACGCTGATCGCAGCGACCGGAGAGACCAGCGTCCGCAAAGTGATCTACGCGGTCGTCATCAACATGCTGCAATTCACAGACGTTTCAAACACCGAAGACGAGAGCCGCTCCGTCATCCGGTCGTTGTTGGAAGAGCTCGCGCAACCTGAGACGCTCAATCTGTTTGGTCTTACACGCGATACACCTTCAAGCGAATACATCAGTTTCGATGCGGCCACTGATACGGGCCGAATCGATGCTCAGGAGAATCTTTCTCGTTTATTGATACGCGTTCTGGACGCCATAGCGGGCAGTCAAGGCAAGTCAAGTTTTTACGCTAATCGAAGCGTTGGTACTGACCGTGTGACAGGCGTCCTCAATGTATGGCGAGCGAGATGGATGAGCCTCGTGACTTCAACGGCGTTTCAGCTTTCGCCTGCTATCCAATCTCGGGCCTTCTTGGTTCTGGGAACGCTGGCTACATCAGATGTCGACGACGACCTACTTTACCAGATGCTGGTAGCCTTTAAGACAGCGTTATCCCAATCAACGGAGTCGGACACAAGCGCGGTCGTCAGAATGCTCCGGTGCATCTACAACGTCGTGCCGTCCCTGATCGAGAACTCGCGGTATCTGCCTCATATGTTTTGGCTTGCTGTCGCCCTGTTACAGTCTAGCCACATATCATACTATATGGAGGCCACGCAACTGCTCGTCTCTACTATCACGACCATGGAGAAGCAATCTGCATTCGTGGAAGATGGTGTATCCACAACCCTTTTGAGCGCTCGGACGCAGATCGAGGACATCGCAGGACAGCTGGACCACCTCCTCGGTCTTTCTTTCACCAACGCCTTTTCCTTTTCTTTGGCCACCACCATCTTCAAGGGTGTTCGACATTCTGGCCTCAAGGATTCTGCAGATTCTGCTCTACGAACTTTGCTAAAGGCTACTGCGCAAGCGGCAGCGGAGGCCAAAAGCCATCCTTCGCCCCTGTGTCCTGACGCATTGGGCTATTTCCTCGCTCTCCTCCCTCTCTCCACCAATACCGAAACTTATCGCCAACTATTACGTGACAGCCAAGTGGACGAGTTTTGGTTGGTCGAATACCTCAATAACCCCGGCGAAAAGGGGGCCGTGCCGCGGGTGCCATTTGAGCTCTTAGGGGTTCAAGACTCGACGACAGCGTTGCTCGTCACATCTTTCGTAGGGGCAATGCTGGAATCGGCCCAAGGAGACGACGCGGAGACCGAAATCTTGTTCAACGTTCTCTCGGACGTCGCCGTAGCATTCCCGGAGACCGTTTCTCTTGCGTATGTCGTACGATTGCTTCTGAACGGCTGCTCGATCTGACTTCTGCGGCAGCTACGAAGGGCTCCAGGAGAGGATTCGAGACACCTTCACTAACTCCACGAACCCCGCCATATTGAGTGCCGCGTCCATGGTTTTCCGTGTCGCCATCAAAGACCCGTCACGCAATGGTAACTTGCGAGGTTCGCAATCTACGTTGAGCACGCTGGACGAGGCAGCGGCCAATGGGCCCGGTCAACCTCAGCTGGCCGCGCTTGAGGTAGGCCGCGTTTCTGATGCTTGGACGCTGTTGGCTGAATGCCTTGATGCAGGCCATACACATGGAAGGACTGGCCAGCAATTTCCAATTCCTCCCACCAAACCGAGGAGTAGCCACCAAGATGATCAACTGGATCCCCGAACTTGTCACAAGGATAATAGAGTAATAATCCCCTACTGTACAGTCTGCTGTTTTGCATATTTTCAACCGGTTATTCGCGGGGTTATCCGCTGGGCAGTTGTTGTACGGGTCTAAACGTTGTTACCCATCATTGACAGGACGATGCCGTCGGTCCCATGAGCACTGCTTTCACGCACGTGTTATTTTTACTCCTGCTCAGCTACCGACATAATTTGCCATATACTTACTCGGAGGACTGACCATCGACTCTCGGGGGTAGCGACACAGGCGCATTCATGTCTGTCGCTTCATCATCGCGTTCTATAGCAGGCTTCGCTGTCATCCCTGTTGCTTATTCTTCGTCAACTCCCCACTACATCTACGCCCGTGCTCACAGTGGGACGAAGAAAGCGAATAAGACCCGATCTGGTGACCAGTATCCGGACGGTCGTACGCTTTTCTTGGTAAACGTACCACCTGATGCTACCGAGCGAGAGATCATAGTATTGTTCAAGCACTGTGGAACGATTGAGCGGGTGTCATTCCAAGGCGCAGAGAGGGAGCTGAGTCAGGCCGATGGCGACGAGGATTCGAGTAGCTCGGACGATGAGGAGCTCCATGCGGATGTCGACGAGGAGCCGCAACCGCGACAGCACAAAAAGCGCAGAGTCAACGAAGAACAACCTCCTGCCGTACAACCTCTACCCTCGACACCCCTCCGGACACTGAAACCCACCGGCCGTTCCGCTCACGTTGTTTTCCTTGATTCATCATCACTCGACCGCGCCCTCTCCCCCTCATCCTTCTCCAATACAAAACTCCGGCCATGGCTGACGTCCGACGAACCGTCCGGTCTCACTCATTACCTCTCAAAATATCAGGCCCAGCGACCTGCCCTCGACATCGTCAAGGCCCACGCTGATACCTACATGGAACGGTTCGAGTATGACCTGGCTAAGAAAAAGGCAGCGGCGAAATCCAAGTACCGAAAAGGAGAGGCGATCGTGGACGAAGACGGATTCACCCTTGTCACGCGAGGGGGCGCATATGGGCAGACGGTTGGTGGAGGTGTGGGTGTGGCCAGCAAGCGATTCCAAGAGACTGCCTCCGGCGAAGCGGAGGGAAAGAGGGGCCGCGGGAGGAGAAAGAAGGAGAGAAAAGAGAAGGAAGGATTCTACGCATTCCAGTTGCACGAGAAGAAGCGGAACGGTAAACTCTGCTTCTCCTGACTGTCTGGGACACGTACTGACATCGAGCAACTTCAGAGCTCTTGGATCTGAAACGCAACTGGGAAGCAGACAAGGCCAAGATCGAAGAGCTCAAGGCATCGCGAAGATTCAAACCATACTGAACGCGAACACGGTACTCCATATCGTAATTGTAGACTCGCACTTGGCTGTCCCCGGCAGGGACTGCACAACGATTTAGCTGTTTTTGCCCTCGTGTTTTAGTAAGACGACCAGATTTTTCATTACCAGGGCAGTGTACTTATGGGACTAGATTGAACATGAAAACGAATAGCTGAGACGGGGTACAACGAGAACGGACTAACGATGATTTCGGAACAGAGGGCAACGAACGATACGTGGTTTTGAGACATCAATCGACAACGAAGGGACTGTTCTGCGAACGAGACAACCATGGAGAGCGATGTGAAGTTCGAAAACGAGTTTAGTCTGCGATTTAGAGCTGGGATATAAATGATGAGATGGATTGAGAGTAATAGAAATTCTGAGAGCGTGTTGCGTGCTTCAGGCGGCCGTGGCATGGTTGCCCGCCGCGTATCCATGGCTGTCGAGATCAAGGCTCGCAAGCATGCCGTTCAAGTCCTGCAGACTCGCCATGCTATCTTCCTGGGCGTTGCCGAGGTTCACTCCGGATTGGCGCTCGTACGAGTAAGTTCTGCCGACGACGGGGTGGTGCTGGGACTCGTCGCTTCGCTGCGTCTGAACGTGCGCTGCGTCTGTGAACGTTCCGAACTTGCCTGACGAGCCTGGGCGGGAAGTAGGGGTGACAGGGGAAACCTTGCCACTGCTGCTGCGACTGGCACCGACAACTTTTGAGGCGGCGTGGGTGTCGATGGCGGCTGGTACGAAGTTCGAGACATGCCGCGTTGGGTGCCGCGACTGGTGCGACTGGGATCCGCCAAAGTTGGAGAAGTCAGGCCCTTGGTGTCCCTCCCGAGCTTGCGAGTTCATATCCGGCGAGAAGGGAGAGAACATCGAGCTCCGGCGATCCGTAGGTCCGTTAAACGAGTTGCCGGTAAAGTCTCCCATGGCAAAACTTTCGAAATGGGACGCTGCCGCGTTCGCTTCGCTCTCGCGAGTCCGGCCACCGTCACCAGGCGCAACGCGCCCCGCGAATGCATCACTGTTCGAGGGGACTGCTCCGGTAGATGCAAAAGCGCCGAGGTCAAGACGCTGAAGCAGCTGCATGGCCTGTTCCGTGGTCAACAGCGGCGCTGTGGGTTGCACTTGCGTCTGCAACTGGTGCTGAAGGTGGGCTTGCATAGCAGCCGCTTGAGCAGCCTGTGCAGCGGCCTGCGCAGCTTTGTCTGGGTTGTGAGGTCATGTCAGTGATCAGCAATTAATGCACAACGCGCCACAGACGCACATTGGCTTCGGCCCCAACTCAGGCGAATACGGCTACCACCAATGGGGAAACCCTGCATCTTCTCGATAGCCCGCTCCGCGTCGGCTTTGCGAACGAACTGCACGAATCCGCAGTGCTTTCCGACGGGTACTTTGACCTGTATACGACATGAAGAACACGGATCGGTGATGAGGCGAAGGGACGTACGTAGTGGATATCGCCGAAGGGCGCAAAGAAAGTTCTCAGCGTGTCCTCAGAGATAAGGGGCGACAATCCGCCGACGAAGACGGTTGTGTTATAGGGGTCCATCGAGGTGAGCTGCTCGCCGTTCGGCCCAATGAGGTTCGACAGGATTGCCCGCGCTTGAGCATGATGCTTCCAAGACTCTTCGGAAATGACGTATTTCTGATCCATGTCACTCTCCTGGCGAGCTTGCTGCTGCTGCTGCTGCTGCTGGGCAGCGAACGGGCTCGTGATGGAGTTGACAGCGCCCGAAGACTTGACAGCACTAGCGGCGTTGCCGTTGGCGTACTGCGCTAGTTGGGCGATCACATCGGGAGGTAGATTCTTGGTAGCATCTTCCACCGACGTGTTCACGAGCGTCGAGGAGCCTGAGGTGGTGGATGCTGCGCTGGAGGAGGGCGTCACGCCTCCACTGCCTATCTGGTTGTTGACGGGCGAGCCGAACGGCGGCGGCTGAGGAGCCGTAGGAGAGAAAGCTACAGGAGTAGTGACACTCTTCTGCGGCGGGATCGACGCTATCTGCGATGGCACGCCCGCATTGGACGGGGTCGAAACCTGCGTGAGTCCGTTGGCAAGCCGCGCGAGGTCGGCAGAGTTCAAGGGATTCAGCGAAGTCGGCGGCTTGAACTTGGCGGTGGCGGGGGAAATCCGCACTAGGCATCTGATCAATACAAGTCTACGCATATCAGCTTGGCCGCTTACTAGGACGAGACAAGCAGTACAATCCGTGCATCTCGACCAATGCCCTCTGCTGATCGGCTTCATCCGTGAACCTGGAAGACACGCCGTGAGACGAAATCATACGTCAACTTCCTTCGCCGACGTACCTAACGAATCCATAACCCTTCGAGACGCCGGTGGCAGGATCGAGCATAATCTTGGCGCTCTTGCAGCTCAAGAACGGTCTGATGAACTTCGGCTCGCGATCGTTTCGCAGGCCAAGGACCGGATTACGGAAAACCGCGACAAGGTCCGAGTTGCTCGCCTCCGGGGCAAGGTCGCCAACGAATATACTGTACTCCTTCTGAAATGGCTGCCCTGGAACCGAGTTCGGAGGGTGCATCGAGGTGTTCAGGGCGGACTGAGGGATGGATGACGCCCAGTTGAGTGTGAAGGGCCGAGTCGAGTTGGGCATTATCGCGGCGTTACCACCGTTGCCATTGACCTGGGCCAGAACGGCGGCGGCTTGCGCGGGGTTGGAGAACGAAAGGAAGCAGTAGCCTGGGTTGTTGGCCTGTGCGGATTGTCCGGCCTCCGCTGGCGAGGGCACCTTAATGTCGACTGGGTTCCAGCCCATGAGGCCGCAAACCTGCTTGGCGTATTCTTCGTCCATCCAGGGTTCGAGATTGCCCCACCAAAGTGTAGAGCGAGAGCTAAGGGTCGCTGTAGATAGGGTCGCCGGATGCGACTGGCTGTCTGCGGAGCTGATTGGGATGTGTGCCGGAGAGTCGAAGCTAGCAGTAGAAGCGGTAGGGTTGGTCTGACGAGGCGGGGAGTAACGGCGATAGTCGCGGTGATCCTCCTGCGGCGCAGCGCTGGAATAGGAGTTGTTTGTTGGATAGGCGAACGTCGTTTGACGAGCTGGCGGATGAAGCTGGGGAGCGCTGAAGCTCTGCTGGATGGGCGTCGCGGGGTTTTGTGCAGGAGCTGTCAAACCCGATGGATGTCTGTTCATATTTGGCCAGCTGTCAACGACGCCACCAGCGCCTAGCGAAATGCCGTCTGGGGAGTACTCGTTCATGCCAAAGGTGCGGGGTGTCATGACGTTGGAAGGATAGGTGGATAAAGGATGGCCCAGGGAACCCCGCCGCTCGGACGACTGAAAGCCGTTCGCGTTATGGGACGATGCGCTGTGGTGGTGGTGGTGATGATGGTGGAAGGCGGGTTCCCTAATCATACCCTGCGGCAATCCGAACTCGGAGGCTTCGATTCTGGACATGCTGGCGTCTTGAGGCGAAAACTTTCGGAGTGATGGCAATGCGGGTCCGGATTCGCTGTGAGTCACGGTGAGCACCGAGAGGCCACGCCCAATTTCCGCGAAAGGGGGGTTCGGGGACGCGAAATTCGCGGTTAGCTGAGGAAGAAGTAGCGAAGGGAAGAAAGCAAGAGGTAACGACGACACGCGCGTCAAACGTGCTTTGAGAAAATGTGACGATGGGAAAGCGAGGAAGAGATGCGACGGGTAAAGGCTGATAGAGGAGAGCACAGAGAAATACGATAGCAAACGTGGAGAGATACTAGGCGGCTGTAACGGCTTTAACGGGCAGGTATGTCCACTACGGTAGTCTGATGCGTGGGTAAGGCTCTTATCGCTGGGGCGGCATGCAGGCTGGAGATGGGCGGAGAAGGAGGCAGAGAGGAGCGACGACGCAAGCAAGGTCCAAGCGCAGCTGATCAAAGCCAACACATGGGCCGAAGAGGGCCTTATAAGTTCGAGTTCCGGCTGGTAAACAACATTTTCGCGGCGGAATTCGGTCACGCTCGAAGCGTCGATCGTGATCAAAACCTTCCTTTCTGGGCCCGACAATGGCGGTCGGCATCGGCGACGGAGTGCAAGGGCGGATGACGACGAGTGCTTTACCAGGGAACAATGGCATGATGGTAAATGAGAACGCCTCAGAAGCTGGTGCTTTGATACGTTCTACGTCCAAACAGCGTATCAACTGACGGACCCACAGCGAGGTGGCGGTGCCGCTGCCCGAAGCCCCGAGTGGCCGAGTGGCCACACTGTCCGTCACGCCCTACCGTCACGCTGGCCGCTGCGCCGTGACCTAGGGCTTGTGCTCAACAGGGGTGTCCCTTGTTAATGTGGAGGTTCCATACACACCGCGAGTCACAGCTACGTACACAGGGGGTCGTCCTTGTCTCAGATGTCCGCATCCCGCCGTTGTGTCTCCCGCATCCAAGTGCGGTGCATGTTGCTATCGTCCGCCGGGCTGCCGATACGTCTCGGATGCGACGGGGAATCCGGGATATCGACATCAACCCCACCGCCAGCCCAGTTCCCGATGTTCAGACTCGGGAGCAGCGCCGCAAGGCCTGGCACAGGCGGCTCCGCGGAAGTTCCCGTCCCCCTATCCCGTTTTCTGCTCTGAGCAGATGGAGGCACCGCCGCCTCCGCAGTGACGCTGCCGAATCCGAAGCTCTGGATCTTGCGTCCAAACGCCTGAAACATACTCTGCCTGTCTTGCCACGTCTCCCTTCGAGGAGTCCGTCCTGCGTCGTCAC